TCTGGTAGGAAGAAGCTGACACTCAGGCCTGGAAATAGAAGTGAAATGCTGCAAACAGCTAATATGCTCAAAAGAAGTCTTGGATTGACAGTGCTTTTGTTCAGCTCATACAGTCTGAGTGCTATACAGTAAGGAATAATCATGAACAATAGCAGTATATTAATGACTACACAAGACATTAGGAGGCACATACAGAGAATCAAATACAGGAAGTTCAGATAAGCATGAGGCATGTAAACCAGTAGAGCATTTACTGCAAGTATCTTAAGAATATAGATCAGAATAGAGGATTGTTTAGTTGGGTTTGTATTTGTACCACCTTTACCCATACAAGTTTTAGTACTAGATAGTTGGTTGAAACGCCCTATGGCTGACCTCCATTGTGTAAGACTATCCCCCATCAAAGATGAGATGTGGCCCCATGACCCGATAGGCAGCAGCAGCAGCAGCAGTACGGAATGCACTCCCAGTCATTCTACTTGATAGTAACCTAAATAGAGGTAATTGCAGATATGAGAATTTCATTTGTGTTAAACAGGTAGTTGGAGGTAAAAAAGCCAGCTCTCACTTATTTAATACAAATAGGCATTCAAATAGTCTTGATAAATAAATAGTTGAGCACATTAAGTGAGTTTTGTATAACAAAGTATGTTAAGTAGATCAATTATTTACATGTATCGTCAACATCATCATCCTGAACTCATCATCATCAGTTACTACATCTGTTTAGATCTAACAATTCACATACTGTAAAACCTCATAGATAGTCTAACGTCATGAGCAACATTTACACTATAACAGCAGTAACGTTATGTCTCAGTATGCAAGAAGTTTTTTACGTTGCAAAAAACACACATTATTCCTAACTGGCAATAGCCCATATATACAAGTATAGAGTCAACTGACTCATTGACTTGAGAAAAGAAAAGTGAACAAATCAAAAACGAACCCAAAAAAAAATTCAGTTTTTCGAAAAAGGTAGATATTTACAATCAGAACAACAATAGCTTCCTGCAGTGCGTGTTTAAAGCAAACGTCAACTTATACATACCTTTGATCATTTATTTCTGTCATGTTTTCTTGAATATTGCTAGATTTGGGGAAAATTATTCGAAAAGTTTTGCCTAAAATTTCAACCGGAAATGGCATGTTGGATCACGAGAGCGTAATCGGGCAGAGTGTAAACAAAAAATTGTTGGCAAGATGACAGGTTAAGGGTTTGTTTAAAGTTACACTTTCGTAATGAGAATACAAGTCTAAGATCAAAAAAGAGTTACCAGATGTTTAAGCATTGACCAATGCACAAGTATGTACCGTGATTTCAATTTTTACTTATACATTAATCGAGACATGTCCATCGAGAGTCTGATGATAATTGCCTAATAATTTGGCATGGAATGACACTGGGAGTTTAACTAGGGTCAGCACTGCCTTGGATTTGAGGGGGGACTCTGGCATCTCTGGTGCTCGATTGTCGTTTCATTGATTCAAGAACAATATCAATGTTGTCTACTACACTGAATACGCGGATCTGTCCTTCTTTCGTTTTCCCAAAGATTTTGCCAAAGCCTGACCAACACTGATCAATTCCAGGGTGCTCTTTGAGATCTTGGAGAAGGGCCTTATTTCTGGGAGATAGATCATCATAAAGTCGTATGTCCGTGCCCTTTAGGAGACGCCTGTTCTTAATCACTGCGTCACGTAGCATTCGATTTTTGAATTTCAGAATCACCGATCTTGGTTTCAGGTTAGGTCCTGTGGTTTGGGGGAGGGGCTTGCCTGGCACTCTATGACCTATTTCGATGTCTTCTGGCGTTATTTTGGGGAGGATAGGGGTATCATTAAGCTGTTTGCACGTGTTTTCAACGCAAAGTGCGATGTTGGTATGATCTGAGCGTTCTTCTTTCGATTCTTTAATCCCATATAACCTCACAGTGTTTTTTCGCGAGTATTGCGAGTTGTGGTTCGTTTCCAAGATAAGTTCATCGATTATCCCTGCAAGGGATTTATAAGCATCTTTGAGTTGGGAGTTTTCTGATCTGAGTTGTTTGACTTCTTCTTTCAGTTTGCCAATCGGTTTTTGGACAGCTACATCGATGGCCTTTTCGATTGACTTGATCATTTTATTCTCCATTTTTTCTTCGAAACCACTAAAGAGTTTTGTCATAAGAGATGTCATATTATCAATGGTGCATGACTGACCTGATTCTAGTACAAATGGTTTCGTTTGACCAGTCTCGTCTACTGATGCCTCCTCATATTGATCCTCCTCTTCTGACGATGCTGCGTGCATTGAGTCACAAATATCGTTTCCTTTATGGACCTCGGAGGGGTCAGAGTCAGCTTTGAATCTCTTTTTGGCCATTGTGATGACTGGCGAAATTTTACCGTCGCCATTTTGTTCCACTGTTGAATCGGAATCTGCACACAAAAACTCAGTGATTTTACCTTGTGACATGTTTATAGTCCTAGATTATTCGGTTGAAGCGTGCACTGTATATTCGTTTTAGTGTTCTGATGTGGATACTTATTGTAGGTTTGCCTAATTACACGTAAAAGTTCGATTTATGCTGGAGCTAAATTACTTCCTGACTACTCGTTTATCGCCATCTATAAATCCATTTGTATTTGTTCGACATCTTTTCTTAAAGAAGAGAGCTTCGTCTTCACCTTTTCAGTTTACAATAAATCCCTGAACTTACCAAGTCATTCAGAGTTTGTCATCGAAATATGGATGGTAATTTCCTCTGACATCATTGCATAGTTGATGAGCATGCGTTTAGCATATGTTCCTTCCTCCTCACTGATTGGTTGAGAAAAGATCAGCATGGTAGGTTTAAAATGATGGACATAGGTCATGGGTGGCTCACTTTGCTCGCAGTGATGCAAAGCGAAATAATGACAACCCCCTGGACAATTGCTGGCTACGAACCCTGGTTAAATGTTGCACAATATGCTTTTGGGATAGATTCCCTGCCAACTGTTCAGATAACAACATTCTTCAAGGCTCTAATCTCTAATTACTAGGATAATCATTACCCAATAGAGGAATTAAATTATCTGATAATTTGTGAAAGCATTGTGTTTACATTTCTGGGTAATAACCTCGAAGGAAAGGAACCAATATTTAAAGTACATTCTTGCGGACATTTCAACTAAGACTGGGTAAAATAGATAGAATGTTCAACTTTTTTATGACACTACCAGAAGTGGTGACATATTGTTTTAGTCTCCATTTTCTTGTGCCAGGAGTTGGTGTTCGGTATTTGGCATTTGGTGGTTGGTGTTTGGCACTTGGCATCTGTAACAAATGGCAGGTTGTGACATGTTGCATGTTAATGCTTTATATATTTTTCTTCGTCTATTTCAAAATACAGTAAAAACTAAGGTTTGTGTTTACCTAACTGTGCATTAGAAATAAATTGTGCCCTGACATAGTTTAACTCTCTTGCCAGAAATATGTGATTCTTGTATATTATTAACCAAAATTTGAGGATATAAAAAAAACATCCTCTTGCTGAAGGTCTTCTCTGATCCTTATACAAAAACAAAACAAAGCTAAACATGTATTTCAAATGCTCTAGCCAAATTAGAAGGCTTACTCCTAAATACGGGAGCTTGCCAATATCTTATGGAACAGTGATTATTACCAATCAAACACTGTGGTTTTGGATGTATACAAAGATCAGTGTACATGATGCATATACAGGTATTATGATGGATATTATTAAAACTACATTTGATATACACCTGCTAGTCTAACTCTGTTTGTTGCATGTGTTTTTAACAGTTGTCATGGTAATATGAACTTAATATTCATATCAAATGGAACTTTGGTGGTCTTTTTTATTGTTGATAGAGTTTCAATGTAAAATGAATGTTAGCATGTTAAAGATAGAAAATGCAGTGTTATAATATCTTTGACTACATATAGTCAGTGATTGGATAAACGCTCTTTCAAAAAATATCTAAAGGTATTTAAAAGGTGAGTAAAGTGAGTCAAGTATATGATAACTGTAAGTTAAGTTAACTTGGTCATGAGATAAATAAATGTCAGTCCTGAAAAAAGTTGTCATTTTAGTTATAAAATTAAGATTAAGCTAGAAGTATTTGTATGTATTAAGTATGCATGTATGATACTTCTGAACTCCTAATTATTGTTCAGTGTCATTTACTATATTATCTATAAGTTGCATCCATCCCAGTTGAGTGATCCTTTTTTGATGACACTCATTAATCATGTTGAATAAATTACATGAAGCAAAATACAACAGTGGTCTCAGAGAACACTTTTGATATATACAGTACTGAGGAGCTCAGATATAGACTGATGGCCACTGATAGGTTGATATGACCTGTACTGATACAATGAAAATTAATATTTCTGATCAGCAAAATGTTGACTTGGTTCAAACTGTCATGAGTAAATGTTGTAAAAGATGGAACCTACATTAAAAGGTAACTCATCTTTTCTTTCATGATAACCTTAGTGTGTGGTCTTCTTGTAGATATTTCATACTTCAAAGTGCAAGTGTGAAGTGTTTTCATGTTATGATAGGACAAAGAGTTGTTGAAACAAACTTGTATCTAGTATCTTGTATCCACCCTTGTTTTGAGTCTCTCCTTTGTAAGATACAACTTGTAGAACCGAAGGAGCGAGTTGGCCAGTTGACAGTATCAGCAGATGATTCTAAGAATTAAGGCCAAGATAAATAAACATATCATACTCAAGGACCTCGCCATGATTTTGCAGATTGAGGATTGTCATACAAAGGCAGTGTCGCTTGTTAACTTTGATTTTCTGATTTTAGCTCGAGTTATTGAGGACAAATCAATGTATGCATGTTGTTTTTAGGCAGAGAGGTTGGGTTGAGTCAAAACGAACTTTGTGGTTAGTCGTGTATTTATACTTTGATGATGTCTTTAATACCAATGATGAATACACTCTATAGACATGTTTTGTAAGGCAGTGATTTAAAGTAATATTTCATGTTTTTCAGGTTTGTAACTATGGCTGAAGAAATTAACAACAATATGACATAGAAGCCAGTATGGAGGTTGAAGACATCATATCTAAAACACACCATATCTCAGACACTGACCAACATTACCAAATCAGCATGAGCTCCGTTACGCCATCTAATGGCACCACTGCGGCGCCATCTACCAACTGTGATGTCTTGGACTATAACTATGATATCCCCCCAGCAGTTATCTCAGGGTTCTGTTTCATTTTCGGAATTGTATATTGTTTTTTTGGTAAGTAACATTTTGATGCTGAACATGACATTGATAGGACGTTGGCATCCTTTGCATTTCCTCTTAAAAATTAATGAAACTTTTTCTCATCTGTTATACTAAAACATGGTTCAAGTTACAACATGGTGGTCCATTAAAACATTAAGCAATTTTTTAAGCCTGTCTGATTCAATTTGTTAAAACATAAAGTATACATTTTTAACATTCATCTTTTTTTTATCATAAGTAAAATGCAATGGATTTCCTTGTCCATTGGACATGTGACTTGTAAAAAATAAGGAAAACTAAATACAAGGAAAGTCAAAATAAACACGATCACATGTTCTCACGGGACTCAGACTTTTTACTCAGTTTCGAAACAGATTAATTTTTATTCACTTTTTATTCAATTTACAATAAAACAGTCACGTTTTATTTTTCAAGGGAAATGTGATAGAAAATAAGTGTTAGATTTTAATCATTTTGTTAACTGATACAGAACCTGAATTTCAATGGTAAATGCAAAAAAACTTGTAAGAAAAGTTATCATGCCCTCAATATCCTAATATGATAAATGCTTAAACTGGGTGGTTTCATATGTTAACAACACATTTTCATAATTTTCATAATCATGCACATAGCAACCTACTTAATTCATTCTTGGAAATTGTTCTAGTTGAAAGGTTGATTAAATATTTAGCGTTCTATGATTTTTATTAATGTAAATATTTTCAATTCTGTTCCCAGCCATCATTCATTTGTTTCAAGTCCACATAAAGATCATAACTTATTTATTTGTTTATGAGTTGTTTATTTATCTTGTTGTCAGTTAGATAAGGTTAGGAGTCAATAAAAGCAGCCTCGTGTAACAGGTTTGTGGAATAGCTTGTCAAAATGAGAAATATGTCAATAATCAGATTTAATTCAATCTGGAAGATCTGTGTTAGCCTATATGGTTCATTCACAGTTCATTATGACCTCACCAGGAAACATTTAGGTTTCATGAGATTAACAGAATGTTTAACATTAGTGTTTACAACATAGACAATTTTAATCATCTCGAGATTGTTGGGCATATCGTTTCAAAAATATGTCTCACTAGATGGCAGCATTGTACCTAAGAATTGCCCTTTTTGCTAAAAAATTGTTTAAGTCTACCTCTGTCATGCATTGGGTTACAGTTCAATAATCTGCCAACTGCAAGATTTCAAATTTAAAAAGTAGGATTAAGATCTATATGGAATATGTGTTGGTATAATCATGGGCTTCTAATTGAAAGCCCATGGTGTAATATGTTATTTTTAAAGATTGATCACGATTCCTTCTCTATTGCAGGATACAGATTCTTCAAGGCAGTAATGTTCCTGACAGGGTTTATATTTGGAGCATTGTTAACCTACCTTGTTTGCCTTGAAGAGAATCTCCTACCCTGGTATGGCAAGATAGGTGTCGCTCTAGGGGCGGGAATCCTCTGTGGACTAATCACAATGCTTGTACAATATGTTGGATTATTCATGACGGGACTTCATACAGGATTCTTTACTGCAGTCACAGCCCTTATTATCATTAACATATTTTATATGCCATCAACAAAGTGGATTCCAATAGGGATTATCTTCGGCTGTGGACTACTATTCGCCTTATTGAATTTATATTTTCAAAAAGGCTTCACAATGTTTGGAACTAGTGCATTCGGTGCAGCTTTGATGCTTGTCTGTTTGGACTACTTCGTTGAGAAGTTTATGCTTATGTTGTTTATTTGGGACCGGGTTATGGCGGAGGTGTCACAAGACGTTTGTTGGTATAGTTGGCTGTTGCTAGGTTGCTGGCCTGCTGCGTTTATCATAGGTACCATGGCTCAGTGCCTCGTCACAGGGAAAGATGTCAATCACAAAGAAGGTATTACATTCTCTATCAGTCAGATTTTCATAATTTCTGTTGTCAGACAAAATAGTCTTTATATTCACTTTTATTTTAGAAAATAATCACACTATTCTATATTCTTAAATAGTGAATGACATTAACATACAAAGTGTCTTATTTATTTTATCTATTAATATCATTATTCATTATTTGTAGTGACGCGGATACGAAAGAGGCGAGTTGTAGGCAAAAATAAGCAGAGGACAGTTAACCTGGAAAGAATCCGAGAGCGTGAGAGACAACATGAAAATACTTCCAAGTACCGCCATCTATATCAAGTAAGAAGAGGAAATGGAGACGTAATCTCACAGGTAAATAAAAACAGATTTTTCTCATTTGTTTATACTTTCCTTAGAACTTTTGCTAAAATGTTCAGGAAAATTCTGACTCAGTAACACTTAATACCCAAAACAATAAATTAAAATCAAAGTTAAGCTGAAGTTTCTTCATTCTTCTAAATGAATCATGACGCCCTGCAAAAATGTTTTCAAAGAAAATATTCAATTTAATACATGCAGGTGTTTATCACTTTACCTGTACATTTTTGTTATTGCAGGGTTTTATCCAGAACATCCATCGCCACTTATCCCCAGCAATGCGTAGTCTCACAAACATTGAACCAGGGGATAATGTACCATCTAGCGCCAATACTACACTTACCAACACTACCATCACTCGAGTACATATGGACCACACACCACCACAAACTGTCATTTCTGAGTAATACAGCTGAAGTAGGATGGTCAAAGAATTACTACTGGAATTACTGGGTCCATCAGTCCTTAGTACTATTTTGATCTAGGAAATAACTGTAATCCATTGTGGTCAAGAAACCACATTGGCATATTATGGTCAAGGAATTATTGGGCCCAATAGTGGTCAAGAAGTTTGTGGGGCCTCTCATGGACAAGGAGTTACTGGGCCCTGGGTCTTACTGTGGTTAAGGAATTGCTGGACCATGTGGTCAATGAATCTATATTCTATAAGTGTACTTCAGTTGCTGGAAGATCTCTTGAAAGCCCACAAGCTACCTTTTATATAATTCACTCGTAACTCCATGTATATAGCAAGTGTGTAGATGTCTACTTGGGTATTCCTACCTAAATGCAGTATTATATTGTGAATACCTGTTGGTCAGAGTGACCTATTACAATGCTGAACCCTTGTGGTCTGTGAATGAGGATTATGGCATCAATTGATATTTCAAGAAAATGCTTAAAGGCCCCATGTGTTATAAGCCAAAGTGGTTGAAACTTTACAACTGGAGCCTTTAACACTAGAGTGGCCAATAGTGTTGTTAAATGATGCAGTTCCATAATAAAATGCTCCAAACCATATATGAGGATAAAAACTTCAATTCAGTAGTTACATTGTTGGTGTATTCATCAAATGGAAATGTGTTTAATGTGTACATTGTGGAACTATATTGTATAGCATGTCACTTGTATGTGAACACATGTCTCAGTATATGGGTGACTGTATACCATAGTGCTAGATGCGCAACAACATTGTACACTCATACTGCAAACCTAGGAATAGAATATAGGGAACTTACAATTGCAGAGAATGACAAAACCCGGACATCACCTTATTAGACTATTAAGATCCATGGAGACATATTGAAAACAGAGGTCTGAGTAACAGGTTACTGTATCTCATTCCCAAATTACCATGTTATTAAATGGATTTTTACCTGTTAATCAATTCAGGTAGGATCATGTAAAAACAGCTGAGGGAAATGCCACTGTCACTGCCAATTTTATTTTGGTTTTAGTTTTATACACTGATTAAAATCATTTCATGTGAGAATTACTAGAATAGGTAAATGTCAGCAACATGGGCCTAGCCAGGCAATAGACGATAGACAGGTGAAGCAACTTTGCTTCACTTATTTAACTTTGTCTGGCCTATTTTCTGACCCTGGTTAAGCCCCTGGACAAGGTCTCTTGAGAGTTATATCATGAACTCAGAGGGGGTTGATTGGACCCATTTGCAGTAGAAGGTGCTAGAATAGATGCTATGTATACGTACTGTAGCACATATAAGTGTGTCACCATGTTTAAGATACTCAATACTAACACTGTAAAACATATTGATTTTGCAAACATGTTCTACTTTAACTCCAGATTCACAAAAGAATAATGTAAATTGAAAAGAAATTGTCTGAATTAAAATCAATTTGCAGTAATTTAACTCCTGCACCATTTTCAGGGTGTCGCACCACCATTCATCAACGAAAGCATGTAACAAAGTAACTTGTTTTACGGTAATAGTATATTTAATATGGCTAAACTGTCTTGCCCTTGTAAAATTGTTATTGATACAGCCTATTAGGAAAATACTAATGAAGTAGGGAGATAATTCATGTAATTAGTAGAACATTTTTAATGTAACTAAGCACCTTTACGTTAGTAACAATAATAAATATTTAGATATCACGGGTAGCATATATAATTGACAGGTACCACCATGTATATTATTACATTACCAATTCTCGTGCACCTGCACAAAATTGTTTGTTGAAGTTTTAGCAAAACTGCCTGGTTTATGCTGGTGTAGCATGATATGTGTAGATGTAATTTGCTAATGTTTTGATTTTACATGTACTACAATGGAATTATAGTATTGGAACCTTTTCATCCAAAAGTTGCCTCTGCGGTTAACTATACCAAAATTATGTACAGTGAAACATGTGTACAGTGAACATCTTTGGAGCCATAAAATGTGTTCACTACAGAGAGACAATTTAGACAGAAGTCAGTGAGGAATGTGCTGAGAAGAGGTGTTCACTAGACACTGGTGTTCACTAGAGAGAGATGTTCACTAAGGACAGGTTTTACTGTATATGTATGTTTAATCATATTAGTCAATGAATTGTTGAGGTCATACCAACAGAGAAAATGTTATGGAATGCTATTCCTTAAGTGGTAATATTTGGAGATGTGCTTACCAAAGATGCGCTTAATTTTAGAAACACATAGTGAGGTGCTTACACCTTTATATTGTTTCCATACCTTTGTACATAGTGTATAGGTTTCCACATCTATCTTGTAAAATATCTGATTGATATTTCCTTACTGATCTCATAGCATATTGTAAATTAGCTCAATTAAAGTGGAAAGTAGGTAGGACTATACATGTACATTTTAAATACTATATTCTAGTATATGGGAAGGTCACACATTTAAGGAGTAGAACAATAGATCCTGGAAACAGGGGACCTTGTCTTATCTTTCATCAGAAAAAAGTTTGTGGTCAAATGAAAAAATTGCTCTATGGTAGGTTTGAAAAATATGCTTGGTTTGTGGCCAAATTGTGTGGCAACATTTTTCAGAAAAAATATATCAGTCAAGGCAAAAAATGCAAGGTATCTCCTTTAGGAGAGACTGAAGCACTTAATGTTGACATCACAAATTATCATAAAAATATATATTATTGCTAGAATGTCCAACATACAAGCCAAAAAGATACAAGTTGAAAAAACCTTCACCAACCTGCAGCTAAGCACCAATATGCTAAATCTGGCTTGTATGCTGGACTTATCTGCTTTATCTAAGCATATATGTCCCTGCATGTTTGTTAAACTCTCCATGTAAACCCAATATATATATAAGGTCATATATGTAAGGTATGTTATCTTTTAGTATTTGAAATTGTTTTTCACTAAACTATGAGGAACAATGAAGGATGACTGTTTATATGAGATTTCTATATGGTTTTATTACTTTTATACTCATTGGTAGTTTGGATTTTATGTTGAATATTCACAAAATATTCTTGATGAGTTACGTAGATTTTAGTTTACAATTTACAATTCTCATTTACTCAGACATCACAAATTTAATTTCAAAACTGTGATAAATCAAAAGAGAAAATCTATTTTATGTCCCTAAAAGAAATGAACTTTAGGGATGCGAAGTATTTCTGTAATTTGAAACTGTTTTTATGTCATCTAATGCTTGTGACTATCTTCAGCTGTGTTAATGGAGAGCATAATACTAAATATATACTAAGATGTACAGCTGACTGGATGCTTTGAAAAAGCAGTACAAATAAAATAAAACAAAAAAATATAATATTTACAATTACTATACTGTTTGATTGTTTTATCCTTGAATGGTGTAGAAGACTGAATGGCTCTTAAACCTCCCCAGAGTATATAGTCATTCATGGTTTGCCTTTAGATCATCAATAATATTACGTTCAGCTAGGGTTCAAGCTGGTAGCACTACATGTATATAATTGTCTATACAGTGCAGCACAGGACAGGCAAAATCTAGAAGTCCCGGGTACAGCATTAATCAATTAATGACATTGTGTGTGAAGGATGAAGGCCAACCAACTCTGGAAGTTGAGCAATTTGAATCTTTTTTGTTAATTTGTGATATTGCAAGAAGCACCTGTGTACCTCATCCCCCAAATAAATATAAAAGCTAATTTTAGGAAGAAGTTGGGTTAGCAGGTTATGCCTGGGTGTCGCAGGCATTTTCAAAATAATTGGCTAAATGTAACACTAACAATTGGATGAAATTTCATTGTGTTGAATTTTATTTTAGCATTTTTTTTCTGACAGATGATTTATTTCAATACATGTAACTCCATCTATTTATGTTATGAGCAGATAGAAATATGAGACAAGTTATAATAAATAATTCTAAATCAATCAATTCTAAAAAATCATCTAAATACAGGGTGGGCCATAAAAGGGGGACACTGCATCATTTTGCGCATTAACAATTAAGAAATCTGTGAAAGATTGAAGTGTTATTTTACCCTCAGTTTGTCTCTGTGTCTTACTTTTTGTTATGTTAAACAAGTTTATCTTCATGAACTATAGTAGTCGCAATTTAGCAATGAAACCCTGATTTTATGCTTTTTTCAAAATTCTTACGATTATGTCAGCTAAATGTAACAAAAAATATTAAAAGTCATAATATTGATAAAATGCTGGTTTCAAAATACAGAAGACTGCCTGTAATACATGTAATAATAATGATATGCTGGCGAAATTTGAGTAAAATAATGTCAAGGTAAAGAAAAATAATGAATTTTACCTAAATTGACAGACAACACAAATTCTTTAGTTTCAATTCAATTTAGTGCCAATTTGTTGTGTCAAACACAAAAAAAATCTGATCATCATTTGACTTTAAGATTTAAACATGTATCAACAAATGTTAAAACTTTATAATGCTAAATTATCATGACATTTAGTTCATATACACTCCTTTAAATATAATATATTTGAGTGTCCCATTTGTATTGGCCCAACCTGTACATATAAATACATCATTTTTTATTTCCAAGTCAAATCAGCTATTTGAGCTATATGGTCAGAAGGAAACACCACACTAGGTAAAGCCGTATGTTGTATCACCTCTTCATGGGAGGGCATTGGAATAACTTGAACTGTTTCTAGGCTATCAGAGTCCATGAAAATGTAGTCTAAGCAGCCATTGAATCCTCCCACATAGTTTGTATACTTTGGTGTACCACATGCACTTTTCAGGTTAAACTTATGAGATAGCTCCATATCTTTTAAATATTCCTCCTCTCCACCTACAAGAAGAAACAGTGTTTCTATTTTGATACACATTATCACTAAATATTTTCTGACATGTCATCATTATTGACTGACAAAGTTATTCCAAAAAGTTGTTTAGCATACCGATGAATAGTTTTCAAAGTAGTAGTCTTGCATCAAGTCTCTGGTATCCATCACTATGTACATGGCATGCACTCTTAAGATCTTGGGTAGACAAGGGCTTGAAGCATGCCACATTTGTTCATCATGGCATTGCAATTAAATACATCCATTGACACACTACATACATTATTTTCCCTATTTATATAACAAATCTCCCAAGTCACCTGAGCTCCAATCTGGATGATCTGGTCCTACATCCTTAGTAGTTATAAGTTGGTACACCCCTAGTGTAGGTGCACTATTTAGGTCCCCGCAGAACAAAAAGGACAAGGTACCCTGTAATAAAAAATAATAAACATGATCAAATATTACAAGCAATGTTCACCCTAGCACAGGAATGTAGAGAGAGTGGGAGTTAAAATAAAAAAGAATATGGGCCCAAAAATCTTGTAGGGCCTCAATTAGTGGGCCTTTTTGGGCAATACTTGGCCTTTTTAGGCCAAATTATCAAAAAGGGGCTTAAATTTTCAAAGTCTTTATGCGCAAGAGCTAATGTTTTTTTTCCAATTTGAAATGTGGACCCCCTTGTAAGCTTCTGGATCCGCCATTGAGGGATATACCTATTTGAATTTCTGTGTAATTAATTACTTGCCCAATCAAGGTATAATTAAAGGTATTTTTGAATGTTAAATTTACATGTTATTACATCACCTGGTCTTTATATAATTCCCTGACAGATTCTAAATGCTGCAAACAGATGTAAGCCTGGACTAGTCTGATGTTACAGGCCTTGGGATGAAAGAAGAAATGTGATGTAGCAACACATAGCTTTCTACTCGGGTCCTCACACGATTCTAACACAGCTACCTGCAAATGTAGTCAATGGATTTAGGATTAATAAAATATAAATGCATTTTTAGCCTATGTAGGATCTCTATCCTATAACTAAGGAGTTGAGACTAAAAGTTACAAACCTTCCCTTTCTCAGCTAAATTCTATGGACAAATGACTAAAAATGCCATTATTCATCTGAATTGGACTTTGAAGTGACATAATTTACATAAATCATTTTTCTACAGATTTTGAGAATGTGTTTAATGTGAAACCTGTAAAGTGGAACACCTCTAGAAGTAGAGCACCTCTGTTACACACACTTTTCAGAGTCCCAAGACCAACTTACATAATGTTAAATGAACCTATATTAGTGAAACATCTCCTAAGTGGAAGACTTATTAGGAAGTACCAAAGGTGTTACACTTAGACAGGTTTTACTGTACATACTATACTAATTAATTCATAGAATGTACCAACCTGCAGAGTAGTGTTTCTATCCAGCATTTTCTCCTTGTAAGCCTCCTTCTGACAGATTTTCTCATATAAATCTTGATATTTCTCTGAACTCTTCAGCTCCTCAACCATGTTGAGATCATGCTTGCCTAATAACCTAAAACAATTCAAGTATTCATTTGAGATCATATTCTGCAAATTTCTAATATAAATTGAGATGTTGCATATCTATTTAGTTTGAACTCTTCACTAAATCTATTTCATATCATGTAACAAGAAACAGGACATGAACGAAATCACACTATCATCTGATGGTTTTCCTGGATAGGGTTCTAATATCGCTGCGAGGCAACAAATATGTTGGCCAAATACTAAATAGTGAATAGGCAATCTGTAAAATTTGGTACCCTCTTAAACGTTATTCTCTGTGGTTTTTTCATACAGTTCAGTTTACAGTTACATTTAAGCTAACAAATACAGCATATAAATCTAAAATCCCAATATGATATTCTAATATGACAGTGTATGATAAGTGGTGTCACAATAGTGAGAACAATTGATTTACTGGTTTATATTTAATAGGAGTATGTTTGACCACTAAAATTCTTAAATGCAAATAGTTGCTTTACTTGTCTGTTTATCACATTAGAATCATTACAAATACCTCGATTTTATGATTCATGGCAAACAAATGAGCTCAAATTTCATTCTGGCCATTGCCGAAGACCTCAATCTCTACGCGATTCCGGTCTTTTAACAATGAACAGAATTAGAGAATAACATTTTCGGTCATGTATTGCATCATAAATCATAAAATCTTGGTCTTTGTTCCTTAATTAATACCTGAACTTAGACCTCCTGTAGAATATACTTGACCCCTCAGGGACCTGACCATTTTTCAGCTTCAACATGCCATCAAATCCTTCAATGTCCAACACAGGTTGGAGTTCATTTATAAACACTTTCTTGTCCACCTCTTGCAAGCATATCACATCAGCATTATAACCTGAAATACAAGCAAAAATATAATATTATAATCTGTTATCTAAAACATTGTACACACTCTTGATCCCCTTTAAGAGAAATTTTTTCCTGTAGTCAGCTGCTGAAGCAAATTGACACAACAAGGGAACAAGATTGGTAAATACCTTTGACCTCCTTTAAGAGCAACTGTTTTCTGTAGTCCAGTGCCAAGGCATATGGAGGGCAGTAAGGGAACAAGGTCTCCCGAGAAAAGTCAGAGTCAGCGTAGGTGTCAGCCAAGATGTTGTAAGTTATCACTCTGAAGCTAAAATTGTAAGTGAAAATAATGAACATAGTATAATGATGCAAATTCAAATGAAGATTATATCAAACAGATGATCAACCAATATTGAATTTAAACAAGCTACTTTGAAACAACATATCTGCACTTGAATTGATTGATTGTTGATACAACTTACCATCCTGGGTCAGATTGCCGTTTGGTGTACAAGTGGCGATTTTCAAAAGGGCATATCCCAGGGCCAGACTCAATGTTTACAGTTGAATAAACATCTTTAGCATCACCAAAGCGTTCTCCATCACTAGGTTTACATTTCAACTTTAATTTATGGCCTATTTCAGTTAAAGATGGTGTGTAAAGAAAACCATCAGATACTTTTTTCCATTCAACAACATTTGATGAACTAGCTCCTTGGTCGTTTTCAGATTTTATATCGATAAACCATTCAAAACTGCTTTTTGCGATATCAACAAATTCAAACTCATATTTCAGATAAATTGTAAAGCCTGCCATAATGCTATCAGGAATTTCGAGCTTCAGAATAGTAGGTGGATTCACAGTGACAGTATATGTGGTGTCGTCAATGTGTAAAACCGAACCATTTTTCCATGCTTCTGAATTTGGCCAATTTTGGTCAACTGAAATATCATTGTGTAAAAGTTTTATTGTCAAGTTATTGGAAATGTCTGTATTTTCAAGTTTCTGCTTCTTGCTTTTCTTTTTATCAGTAAATTTCTTTATATTCTGGGTTAGTCTTTCTAGAGATTTTGAAAGCTCTTCTGATTTGTGTCTGTTCAAGTTGAACTGCCTTTCTTTCCCATTGTGGCTGAAATTGAAGGATATTTGGATTCTGTCATCATTTTCGACGTGCCTCACGTGTAGACAAGGCATTGTTGTACTTTGTCTACGTATAATTGTTTTAATCTGCTGTCGTTTTATAAGTAAGCTGACTGTTTTTCTCCAACTCATTGAGATTTCATGAATTTTCACTAGATGTTGCAACTGGAAATCGAGAAACTGTATGCTCCCCTGAAAACAAACTTCCTCTAATTTGAAGAGCGTTTAGAGAACGAAAGGTACGTCCATTTTATTACCAATTTGTTTTCTTAAAAATAGCAGTATTTAGTGCCTAAATGACGAGTAATATTTGTTCTAGAACTTCATAAAGGTTTGATGAACCGACTTAATTAAATTTCAATTAGATTTGTCGAATATAAAGAACAATATTTTTCAACAATTTTTAGAGTTGGAAAAAATTGAAAAACAAAACTGAAATTTTTATATGGGTCATGTTTAGAGTCCATTTCACTGCTTCATTGCGTCAGTAGAACGGCAAAAATAAGAAATTGGGAGACCATTGTGCAATAATATATGTAAAAGTATATTCATAATGTAGATTACATGAATGACATTTGTATATTTCAGATTTTTTAGTTTTTTGTGCAATAAGCCCGTGCCGTCTTGTAATTTGAAGAATTTCAGCCATGCTAATCTTATTGAAAATAACATGGCAGAGAAGCATCCAAATATAAGAAGCCACACACTTTATAAGCCAAACTAGAAGCAATCCAAGATATACAAATGTCATTCATGTACAATAGGAATATATATTTCCATATATTATTGAAAAATGATATTTTGATTTCTTATTTTTTAGCTTTTACTGACGCAGTTAAACAGTGAAATGGACTTTACGCTAGCCGAGCTGACAGAAGCTTTTGAGCCAGCTGTGTTCAGTTAGGTCATGTCATGACGACCATGTAGCTAAACTTTTATTGAAATTATTAATAAGATGTATACAATCTCTGTGTGCCAGCCTTGCGCCAATATTTCTGGCAAATTCTTTGAACTCTGTCACTTGATCAGAGGGTGAGAAGAAACCTTTCCCAAGAAAATGACTGAGTTTCTTATGGCATTTTTATTCAATTTCGAGTATCTATTCAGTAAAATTTTAAATGTTTGAAACTTACTTCCAGCGAAAGCTATGTGGATTTTGATACTATAGTTTTCCCACGGCGCACTTGGGCAGCTCAATATAAATAGTGACCTTTAAAATATGAATAAAGATTCCAGCGGCTTACTTTTGGTCTCTAACTGTGTCTCACATCAGTATCATTAATCCGTGCAAGTATTGGAGCGCTGAAATACTTCTTTTTCGATCAAGACTTGTAAATTGTTCATCGAGTGAATGTTTTTTTCGACCCATTTCCAATATGGCGGTTTGCTAGGAGCGAGATACTCAAAGAAAGAAATGAATTTTGAGAATGATTTAGGTTCGGACAACCTCCGGAGATTCACGGAAATGTCCGATCAGAAAATGTCATATTGGAATTTGGCAGTAAAAACATTCACTTGACTAACAATTACAAGTCTTGGTCGAAAAGGAAGTAATTCAGCGCTCTAATACTTGCACGGAAGGATGATAATGATGTATAACATAGTAAGAGAACAAAAGTAGGCCGCTGATCGACTTAATTCGATTTCAAAGGTCACTATTAATCAGCTGTCCCGTTTGAGAGCCATATGTTTCAAAATCTAACATGGCTCTCGAAGTGAGTAATTTGAAACTACTTTGCAGAGATCACGATAGTTGAAAAATTTGTTTGTGCCATTGAGGCTAATTCTTCCAAAAAATTTGTAGCTATTTTAACCGAAAAAAATTAAACACTTCTAATGACTGTTTTTCTTTTATAAAATGGAATAAAATACTAGGAAGACCATATTTGGTTGAAACCAGCTATACTGTTAAGCTGCTGTACATGTATTAAGCATTTTTGAAGGACACAACAACCCCGGAGGGAATGGTACTTTGATTGTTTATTTTTTAGGATTTCCAAGTAGTTCCAAACATTTAAATTTAACTATACTGACTATCGAATGGACACACATTTGACTTAAAAAAATAAGTCATGTAAATATAAGTAAGTAGACCAAATTATTCGATTGAGGCATTTGAACGTTTTCTAAAAATTGATTGTATGACCACCGGACAGAAAGCGCATACCGTAATTATAAAGTCCTGGGCACAAGTGATTAGTTTGCCTGTATTTTTACATGGTGAAATGATCCACGCCTCCCACATACCAACCTCAATACATTCCAGTATTTTAGAATTTATTTTTTGTAGTGGGTAGTGGGCAAACTGAATCTCATGAACTGCTTGGAAAAAACTAGTCCCACTAGGGTGTCTAGTGGCTTGTTTTTATAGTGTATATTATATAAGAATTATGAAATAAATAAAAAAAAATAAAAAATTGAATTGAGTTGAATCCTCAATCATACATGAATCCTCAATCATACATGCCATATACATATAGGTTTATTGGCATATATGACCGCAGACCACTAGCACTGAATAAGCACTGAGTAATCTTTCATAAGATGACAGACACTGGCAATGGTTGTGACTTTACTGACTAACTGTTTTGCCACTTCTTTTTCCATTTGTTCATAACATTAACTGAACCACCAAGGATACTGATGAACAATGAACACTTAAAGTTAAATTTTTTCTTAGTGAATCCAAATCTGAAACTTGTGTTATGCAACTCTTGTGACCAGAATTAAATTCCCGGTCCCAATTACATAATGATTTACCTGAATGCACAATAGGATCAGTTGACTGAGGATATTTTAAAACTTGGCACAAAGGCCCTTTCACCCATGGACGAAAAAACAATGATTATTCAGTGGTCCGTTATCAGATATGAACAAATGACATACCATTGGAAAGAGGAGGCACATAGCTTCATGGTAAATTAAATGAAATTCATGTAATCACCACTGGTTTTGTGGTTTTACAATGTTTTTGCTTGTTGCATTTTTTTGGGACACACTGTAGTTAGGCTATACCACTGGGGATGAACTGGAAACGAGGGAGGTTTTGCCTCGTATCAAAATGGCGGCGCGTGAAAAAATTTCATTCTGTAAGATTTTTGTTTTTTACAATTTTCGTGCTTTTATCCTTCAAATTAAAACTTAATATTTGGCAAGTAAATAGTTTATAAGTTCCGGTTTTATAATATGATTGCAAATTAGAAATCAATACAGACATTGCTGAGATATTTACATTTCAATTCTCTCACTTAGGAAACGAGGCACCTGTCTACATTTTGTAACAATGAAACGAGGCAATGTTTGACTTGCAACGAGGCAACTATTCTTTCTGTGATAGTGTCTACATTTAATGATCTTATTTCCACCGTTCTGGTCACATACGACCGATTACGTTTTACACGATATACTTAGGTGGTTCAAAAAGTTTTGCATTTAATGTCATAACTTCAAGGAAAATAGTATTATTGCAATGAAACTTGGTACACATATGTGTTATATATTTATACATTATATGGTAAAATTTGGGACCTCAATTTTGATTGGTTCTTGAGATATGGTTGCTATGGTAACCAGAGTGGTGGGTACCATGTTCAACCCAAGGAGGATTGGAAGCCAGGGTTCCAACTCGATATTCTTTAATCTCCACGCATGCGTCATTTGCTATTCGTGTCTGTATAATTTGTACGACTGCATGGAGAATGACTCGATACTCTCCAACAAAGCTATCGCTAGGTGATTGTTTTGCAGAATATCGGTGTTGCATTCTGGGAGCCAATCCTCCTTGTGTTCAACCCGAAATTACGTTTTTCCAAACAGTTTTCTTGCTTGAATAAACTCTTTGTAAAATGGCAATTAGCAGGTGTAAGTGTCTTTGGGTGGCTATTTTTCTTCAAATTCTTCAATTTTTCTAATTGTCTCTATGACATCACAATAGACAAGTGACACGATAAGTTCCTTTGTGATGTATACTATCCAAAACGCCGAAAAAAACGTACGCATTTCGTTCGGACTTTTCACGCGAATTACGTATATGTCACGCATTCCGTTCGAAATTTTTCGTACCTAAATATTTCGAAAACGTTAAATAGCATTGTTTTGAGTGTCAATTCCAATAAACGAGCCAGCTATCCGAGCTATCAATGGTAGCGCATATATCGTCAAAATGTTCTCTCAAATAAGAAAAATCTCGTTCAAAGAAGTGCTATTTTAATAGGGAGCTTAAGCTACACGTATTTTAGAAATGGCGAACGTAAACGTGAAATGACCCCTGGGAACTATAGTTCCGTTCTGGATTGACTTATACAAAGACCCAATTAAAACAGTTTAACTGATACCTTTGTAATCATTCATGCAAATAAAGACGTTGAAGACAAGAACTAGTTCTCTGAAGATTGCAATTTTACACGTTTACGTACACTTCTCTTTAAAACATGTGTCGTTAAACCTCCCTACTAATCGTACGCAAATGGGGCATTGTTGTTGCTCGAGATGGCTATATTTGATAGAATATAATTCCAGATACGATAAAAAAATATGACCATGGTAATAATTAAATGACTCGCCTATATTACAAAAATAGCAGAGTCAAGGAGCACACTGGCATTGTCTCATTGGTGTACATTGGATTTTACTGTTTGTATTCTTTAATGTCTGTATGTTCCTTATTATGTCACTATCAATTATGTTATTCTGCATATAGTCCAACGAAATGTGGAAATGTTCGGCGTCTGACGTCTGGAGTTCGGCGTCTGGCGTTTTGCGTCAATAGCAAATTCTTTAGCAATTTTAGCAACTTTCAAAAACTGAACAAATGCGTACCGCTTAGACTGACATCATATTTTACTGTGAACATTATTATAAACTTATTATGACTTTCAAGTATTTCTTAGAACATATGTTACCATGGTAGCAGATAAATGGACTTATTTGTTATTACTAAGTTACAACACGTGTCATATGTTAATGCCTTGTATTTTCTTAAATGCTAGAAATGGTAATGCATTTGTAAATGAAATATTCATAAATTTTCTAGATTATTAGCCATATGAAAAATGTTAATGGTCGATGGCATAAATATTATGATGTCGCTATCGTGAATTAAAATAAATGATGTTTCAAGGTAGAATAAAAGCAAGCTTTGTTCACAACTGTCTATATCTGCTTCCCTATTCAACATAACATTTTTGCTTTTTAGGAAGCTTCACCATAACAATATCAGCAACGTTGTCGTTTCCTGTTACAGAAATAGCATTTGAACAGGGATGCTTCTTTTTGGAGGCCCCGTTCTGTAATAAAAACAAAACATTTTTAATTAAATATGGTTGCCTCGTTTCATTCTTAAGAATGCTATATAGCTGCCTCGTTTCCTTGAGAAACATGCCTCGTTTCCTAAGTGAGAGAATTGATATGTAAATATCTCAGCAATGCCAGTATTGATTTCTAATTTGTAATCATATTATAAAACCGGAACTTATGAACTATTTACTTGCCAAATATTAAGTTTTAATTTGAAGGATAAAAGCACGAAAATTGTAAAAAACAAAAATCTTACCGAATGAAATTTTTTCACGCGCCGCCATTTTGATACGAGGCAAAACCTCCCTCGTTTCAAGTTCATCCCCAGTGTATACACAAGCTCATAATACTACCTTCCTTCCTTCTCATATTCCGATAATTTCGAAATTTTTATTTTCCTTAAAGAACAAGGCAAGGACATTAACATTTTGCCATTAGTTTTGAACATTTATGCCACTTGTTCTGGCAGTTAGATACTGTTAGTGTTTGTATTTAATAAACTTAAATGTAATATATATATAGTTGTACACTGCTGTTCCAATGGTAACAAAAATGAGAACTTAAGGGGAGAAGTAGGAACTATTTTATAAATAAGGTCCGAAATTCCGAAAGTTCCGAATTCAGAAGCCAAGTTCTGAATTCCATTCCGTTCTGAATTCCATTCCATTCCGTATTCCATTCCGTTCCGAATTCTGTTCTGTTCCGTGCCAGCCCTACAATGATATCTAATTCAAACTCTTATGATTGATCATTTCTGAGATCGATGGTGGAGGCAGCTGTTTTAAGGGTGATAACCTGTTTATAGATATTATTTACTCTTATTTCAGCACAGATAAACACAAGATGGCATCTACCAGTGGAGGAAAAGGTTACCAGGATTCAGATGTTGTAACTGAAGTGCCAGAAATGCTTAAAAAACTTGTCAAATTTGTATCAAGAAAATTTTATGGGCCTGAATTTGGTCTTATTATTGACATGTTGGTGCGGAACCCTTGTATGAAAGAAGAAGATTTAGTTGAGCTAATCAAGCTGGATAGAAAACAGTTGAGAATATGTGCAAATGCCATGAAACAAGATAAACTTTTAAAAGTGCGAGTACGAGTTGAAACTGACACTCAGGGTAGGACTACCCGACATAACTACTTCTTCATTGATTATAAGATGTTGGTGAATGTGTGTAAATATAAATTGGATCACATACGACGGAGATGTGAGACGGAGGAAAGGGATGCAACAAGTCGAGCGTCATTTCGTTGTACGGCTTGTGAGAAACCATTCACAGATCTGGATGTGAATCAGTTATTCTGTCCAGTATCACAAATGTTCCTGGTATGATTTTTACATATTTCTGTGTACACAAATGCTTGGTTATTTTCTCACCTTGCTCTTTTTTTAATGGGATTCCATATGGAGAGACTGGTTTGATGAAAGATTTGAGTGATACATTTGCAATTGCTATTTCCCAGAAGAAGTATTCATACTGTGCCACTAAAGCGCAACAACATTTCGTTGAAGGAACTTGCATCATTTTTACAAAACTAAATCCATGGTCTCTACAAGTGTTGACATATTGTTATAGTCTCCAACTTTTATTGATGGTGTTTGGCAGTTGGTGTTCAGTGGTCCGTGTTTGGTATCTGTAACAAATGGCAGGTGGTGACATTTTGCTACAGGGGGACCAATATCATAGATGGAGGAAAATGAAACTTTTACAACCATATATCATATCAATAGTTCTATGGTGTTTATTTTCTGTATTTACAGTGTAGTTTCTGTAAGATGGAGGTCATAGAAGAAGCAAGCAGCTTACCAATGGAAGATACCAGGTCATTACTGAGTAAATTCAATGCACAGATCGAGCCTCTTTATTTCCTGTTACGGAATGTTGAGGATATAAGATTAGCACCAAGCATACTGGAGCCAGAGCCAAGCGATGTGTCTTATCTTACACGAAGGTGCTTTTATATATTTTAATTTTATTATTTCTCAATTGTATTATGTGTCAGTTGTTCATTGTCCATTACTTTAGTGTTGTATTTGCTTTTTTGTGGCACTGGTAATAATTCAGAAATTCATTTGAACATTGAAAACTTTATGAAATAATGTGTCTAATTTTTTCTGCAAACATTGTGGCAGTCCCCCTATTTATAAATATATTTATTTAGTACAATGCATTAGTCTAAAAAGCGACACTTTTGCCTAGTTTCCAGAATAATCACGAGTCCTAAGTCACAAAGTGTACTTTACAAAAAGGTTTGATTGCTAATTATAACCCTCCCCTTCCCCATGTGTGTTTTTTTCAAATAATTTAATTTAATTTTTACTTGGGCAGCCCTTTACTAAGATTTAAAATAGCGAAATATAAATTTCAAAAGAAAACAAAACAAAAAGGAAGTATGATGTAGTATAGTGAATAGCTCATATGAAAGACTGGTTGAATTCAGTTATACTAGTATGTTGAAATACATTCTGAATGTTCAATACACTGCAATGTTCAAAGGCTTAAAGTACTTCAGAATTTAATGTGTTGATACCAACATAGAATTTGTTATTTATTAACTCGAATGGCATTTACTTTTTATTTAAGATTTGTGTACCCAGTTTAAACAATTTATCATCATCAATATTTTTACAAAAGTAATAAAAGTTTAAAATCATTTCCTATATTGAAGAAGATAAAGTACTGTTTTTCATCACAAACCAGTGTTCTTAATGATTGAAGTAACAGTATCAGTTTCAGTTCCATTTTACTTGATAGAGTACTAAAATTTATATAAATGTGTTGGATGTTGAAATAAAGTAAAAATAATAGGTAATTTGTCTTGTACTTGAAAAAACTTTGACAATATGATGATTTTTAAATATTTAAGACTTTTTCCATTGGCTGTCTAGAAACCATATGCCTTTTCCCACTCTGTAGTCACTAGGAGTGAATAAGAAATATATTTTTATTTTCAAAGGGCTCATGGTTCCAAGTCTAGTAAAGAAAACAAAGAATTGTGGAGTGGTGAAGCATCAAAGGGGGTTAAGTTTGGTGCCAGTGAGGTACAGATCAGTGTGAATGCAGAGACAGAATCAGTTGTGCCTCAGACACAGAAAGAACGACCAATCTGGATGACTGAGAGCACCATCTCTGGGCCAGAACCAGAACCAATCAAGGTAAATTGTCACTGTGATATTAAAAGGAAATAATGTCAATGGTATATCTTATGGTTCATACACATTGCTACAATATTTGTAATGCTGTTTAACTTCATGTATATACAACATAGAAATACATTTTTCAGATAATGGGCTCTATTGGTGATTTAAGTCTTTTTGGAGAGAGCATTAAAACACAAATACAATTAATTGTCACAGTTATCAACATTTGCACATATTTCCCTTACCGGATTTTCTCGCATATAAGCCCTGGGCGTATAACTGAAAGAAGGGGTAATTTCGTCTGTTATTTTACCTCTTATTTTTCGCCCATGGGCGTATAAGTGTACTACTTTCGATTTTTGGCCCAGTGGGCGTAAAGGTGAGAAGAGCTGATGAATACAATGGTTCCTCAAAGACTACCGTACCTACTGTTGTAGTCCTACCGCATGTTTTGTAAGAATTATAAAGGAAATGTCACCTACAACCTTGGACTTAATGTTGAAACAAAGTAACAACAGAACGATCCACCACTGCCACTTACGGCACAGCGTTGAACTTAATGTTGAAACTAAGTAACGACAGAACGATCTGCCAGTGACAAAATTTATTGAAAAAATCAATAAATAGTCATTTTTTTAGGCCCATGAGCGTATAAGCGTACTACATTCGATTTTTGGCCCATGGGCCTAAATTTAGGGGGGCGTATATGCGAGAAAATCCGGTACTCTTTCTATAAAATTTTGACAAGTCGTCTCATACTTATCTATTCCCCTGCTGTTGTTTACATTATATTTATTACTTGTTGACTTGTAGTCTGCGGGAGCATCTAGTATGGATATATCAGAATCAGCGCCAGCCCCAATAGAACACACAGACGATGACATCATGCGCACATTGCTTGCTCATGAGAAGAAAAGTTCTAACGTTCCTATACCCACTGCACCTGAGTAAGTAGTTCTCATTGTTAAAACCATACGCTTATCATAATTTAGTTCTTTTAGTTAGTATGGAGCTGTTAGAAAACCAGCGTTTATTAAGCTGTTTGCCGATTCATCATTTCTTATCATGGTCTCTCTAACATAAGCGTTGTCTGTTGTTCATGATTTCAAGTCTCACTTTTCAAATCAAACATAATTTTCAATTGAAAGAAATTGATAAATTATAAAGTAACATATTAGCTAGGCTCTAGTCTACATAATTTAAATTTAAAGATAAAAAACATCAGTATATTGATCTTGTCACATAACATGTTTTGCAGTCTCCCTGCAGCAGCTGCTAGTGACAGAGAGAGTGACACCAGTGAAGAAGAGATGGATATTCCAGGTCCCCCAGTACCCCCTGCCCAACCTGAAAATGCAGCCAATGCCTGGGCAGATCCAAGTGAGTACATCCTCTTCTTGTATTTGTTTTTGAATCTGTTACTTACCTTGTATTCGTGAATGCAACTTACACCTGTCGGCTACTGGATTAACCTACTATTTCATGATCAACTCATTTAAATTTGAATGGAATAGTGGCAGGTACTATTCATATTTAAATGAATAACCCATAAAATAATAGGTTAATCCGGTAGCCGAAAGGCGTTAGTTGCATTTGCAAATACAAGTTTAGACACTCGACTGTGTTTGTGATTATGAACTGGTTTGGTACTAGAGCTGGACTGGTTTCGTGTAACTGTTGATTCATGATCATGATGGCCTAAACAACTTATGTCAAAGTCATCTTTATCTTTAAGAATTTTTGGTGGTCTGCATTCTGAAGTCACGGAAGGTCAAGGTCATATCTATATCTAGTCAGACCAAAAGTTTAGACATTAAATTTCTTCATATTAAGAAATGAGATTTTAACACATAAATGTGACAATGAAAGTGCCCTGAAAACGAAAAGTCAAATAGGATGGAAACTACCATTATAATGGCAAGAACATTAGACAACATGTAATATACCAACATGTATCTTACTTCTGCCTACATTTTCAGACATAAATGACAATAGACAAATAGCAAGTGATGATGAAGATGAACAGGTGATGGTGAATGTTAATGGTGTCAGGATGCCATTCCATGAAGTCACTGATGCTCATATAAAAACAATGAATCCAGAGGAAAAAGCGATATTTGTGAAAATTGGACAGGAACTGTATGACGATATGCATGGTTAGTACCATATGGTTAGTTCATACTCACCATATGTAGATATGTACATGATTAGTACTCACTATACATGGGTCAATGATTAGACTAAGTACTCACCCTTTCTGTGTTGATGAGCCAATGGTGAAAATAGCATAGTTAGCATATTTTCTCATTTTGGAAATGAATTTAAAGCTTTTACTTTAAATTCATTTGTTTGCAGGAGTGCACCATGCAGGGACATCTTCATATAAACAAGGGTGATGTAGTGACTTGTCCAGTTTGCCAGGTGCGACAAATCTTGTACCAGAGTTTCTCTTGAATATGCCCATTGGGTGTTTATTTTGCACAGGGTGTTTGTTTGAAATACCTAAATGGGCCCATTGGCCTTTATTAAGAGGGCAAAAACATTTTTCCAAGGTGGATGGGCGTTTATTAAGAAGTAGAAATAGCTTTTCCAAGCCAGTGGGCATTTATTTCGAGGAATATTATCGCTAGTAAAGTTGACACATGGCCTTCATACTCACATAATAGTATCATGAGCACAGGCATTACCGTTGACCAATATGGGACCTTTTCTCGTATTTTTGCTACATCATGTCAAGTTTACCCCAATTTTCTGTTCTGTTTGCCACTTTTGTTTTTTCGCCGCACTGTTTTTTAATACCGAACAAGAGGTACAATATTGTAGTCAGCTTGGCGGGCGGGCGGCGTCTCACTTTTCAGCTTGTCTACAGGTTTCCAGCCAAACCATTTGAGGGATTCATCTGAAATTTTCAGGGATGTTTCTACATATCAAAGTCAAGAACTGATTAGTTTTTGGGCATTCTGGGTAAATTTTAAGGTGGCCATTTTGGATTTTCCGTCCTAAAATCTTCACTTTCAAGACTTGTCTACAGGTTTTCAGCCAAACCATCTAAGGGATTCATCTGAAATTTTCAGGGATGTTTCTACATATCAACGTCAAGAACTGATTAGTTTTTGGGCATTCTGGGTAAATTTTATGGTGGCCATTTTGGATTTTCCTTCCTAAAATCTTTACCTTTAAGACTTGTCTACAGGTTTCCAGCCAAACCTTTTGAGGGATTCATCTGAAATTTTCAGGGATGTTTCTACATATCAACGTCAAGAACTGATTAGTTTTTGGGCATTCTGGTTAAATTTTAAGGTGGCCATTTTGGATTTTCTGTCCTAAAATCTTCACTTTCAAGACTTGTTTACAGATTTTCAGCCAAACCATTTGAGGGATTCATCTGAAATTTTCAGGGATGTTTCTACATATCAACGTCAAGAACTGATTGGTTTTTGGGCATTCTGGGTAAATTTTAAGGTGGCCATTTTGGATTTTCCGTCCTAAAATCTTCACTTTCAAGACTTGTCTACAGGTTTCCAGCCAAACCATTTGAGGGATTCATCTGAAATTTTCAGGGATGTTTCTACATATCAACGTCAAGAACTGATTAGTTTTTGGGCATTCTGGGTAAATTTTAAGGCTGCCATTTTAGATTTTCCGTCCTAAAATCTTGTCTATCGAGGCTTGTCTACAGGTTTCCAGCCAAACCGTTCAAATTTTTACATATGTTACACAGTGATAAGTTCTAGAGCTGATTAACTTTTCTGTGGCCATCTTGCTTTCTTGGTCAACAAGACCACAATGCTGTGTTTTAGGTACGATATTGTTCACGTCTGTGCCTTGTTTTCATTGTTAGCGATTTCGATCCTTTTCTCAAATGTTTTCACCTACTGGTTGTTGATTGAGAAGTCTTGGAAATAAACTTCCATGGGCCTTTATAAAAAGGGAAAATACTTTTTCATACACCCCTCTTTCAAATATAAGCCCATGGTCCTATTTGCGAGAAACTTTGGTATAGTGATACTTATAACATGGGACTATGAGTAAGGCAGTGACTAAAACTTATAATACTGTACTCCCGGTAATTTTTGTGCGATTTAGTTTCACGCTTTTCGCGATTGTGGTAAAATCGCGAAAATTAATCTTTGCAAAATTGTCAATTAAATCCCTGCGGATTTGTAAAATTTTTATTACCTGGTACTCTACTCTACTCAGATGCTGTTAGTCAAGCTTTTTTAGGCGATTAATGGGATACTTAGTCACAATGTCTGTTACAGTGGCTTATTAGATCAAATAAACATAAAAATGATGATGTTACAAAGGTTAAGGTCAGCGTGCCGTTGACCAAAATGACATTATAGTAGTAGGTGTACTTAGTGAAATCTCATGATCTAGTAGCCGCGAAATTGTGTTTTCTTAAATTTGGGAAATTAAAACTCACGAAATTAACCAGGAGTACAGTAGTTGCAAACAATCCTAAGATGGCAGTTGCCAGAATTATAGCAGTTGCCAGGAGGCTGTTTGAAAAAAGGGCCCCATGTATTTTTTATTATTCATGTATAAATTTTTTTATTTATTATGTGAAGGTTAAATGTTATTCTATAGGCCTATCAAATAGGTTAGGAATAACAATAAGCTGTGTTATAAGACATTAAAGATGCATGTAACCTTGAAAGTTTTATATAAGTATAATACAAATCGTAAAATACACCACCAGATCTTGATAACATTTAATTATCCAAAGTGGCATAAACTTTCAATGGAGCCCTTGCTATAAGAGTGTATACTTTTAAATGTGCATACAGTTCATTAAACATATGTTGTTAGCAAGCAGAAAGCATAATTCTGTACAAAGACTGACTGTATATTTATTTTGGTAATTTTTTTGCTTATAAAGTGTATATTTTATTTCAAAATACTTGTAGTGTACATAAAAAAGTGTTGTTATTTAGGCTTTAAAATAAAACGTAGATTAAGCAAATAAGCACATTACCTGATTACATGTATTATTCAATTTACGCATTATGTTATTATAAAATGAAAAAAGCTTAATTTTAGATGTGCATGTACATGAACATATTTTGAATACTTGCGAAATCTAGTATTTGCTCCATTAGAAATATTGATTTAATCAATGTAATATAAAGTTATACTTGTACTGACCTGCAAAAATTGGCAACAGTTATTTTTGGATGTTCCATCCATTGTGGACAATAATGATAATTGTAGCATCATAAGTATAATGTTTGTAAGGGACTCAGTTATATTTCCCTGGTACATTTGTTCAAAGAATTAGAACATATTTTGCTAAAAAAAGGAAAATACAATATGGAAATGAAAATGCAATAAATATAGAATATTAGAATTGTAGAACCATGCAAGAAAGTGAATAATAAAGTACATAAAATGATGAAATAAAATGTTGTTCTGTAAATGCGCTAATTGAAATGGGGAATTATCAAGAGTGTTTTGACAGGATGTCAGTGGGATCATAGAAGGATTACTGTCTCGCACTGATGCACATGATTGTGTTCCCTTGATTAGATGGACCAAACATACTGAGGTTACATACTGCCATCAGGGCAGTATAAATGCTCAATTCTGAAAGCACCGGTTCCAAACTGACAAACAATATACTGTAGTCCCATTCTGTAAACGCTTCTTGAAATAAGACCCACTATACATGTCTTACTCAAGTCTCTAGCCAAGGTAACATATGTCCACCTCCAGTTGATCTCTTGAAAGATGAGCCTGTTGAAAGAAATGGCGTTTTGAACAAAGATGATCGAGATAAAGAGGGCTGCAACAAGGGATTTCCATTTTGGTAATATGCAAAGGGCAATTAAGCACCTTTTAATTCAATATTGTCTCAGAGGGCACAGTTTTGCAATGAGTTTGCCCCGGGGTTTGGTCACAGTATGAATGCAGACATCTATTTACTGGTCTCGCGATAATTTGCGAGAGTAAACTTATAATCTTAAGTTTAAGATAATTTACACTAAAGAGGGCAAGCTGGTGGTAAGTTTTCATATTAAATGTATAACACAGATATCATAAAACCAGAAAAACAAACTTTATTTGCTTTTTGAACGTGAAATAAGAAAATTAGTCTCGGCAGAAGATCATGTGACATGGACAAAATGGCGGTCGTTCCAAAGCGGGTCGTTGGAAATTTGATTTTAGATAAAACGTCATTTTTCTGTTGTGACATTCAGGAAAAGTTCAGACCTGTTATTAAATACTTTGATGACATTGTTCTGGTGTCGAAGAGACTGGTGAGTTCTATTTCTTGACGTAAATTAAGCATTTTAGGCTAATTGAAGAAAGGGAAAAAAAATTGAACAATGTTTTCAACTATTGGGAACACCTACCATGAGTGACTTACAAATGTTGACCACCACCTTCCTTCCACAGGGAGCACCTGTGCTTTCTTCTAATTGTGGACCTTCCCTTGGCGGCGGAAGATATCGTTAAATAGGGGGGGGGCCACGCGTGATATATGAACAAATGATCATACCCCAGAGTTTCCTTGTTCAATAAGTCGGATTTAGTTCAAATAAAAGCATTACGTCAACTATTAAATAGTTTAATTTGATGAAAACTAAAAATATTGAAATAGACACTTCCCGTTCGCCATCATTGATGCGAAGGTGACGGCCGTTATCTTCGCTTGATACTGACCAGTGAACTTGCAACTTTCATTTACAATGACAACATACCCTGCCGCTACCAGTGATCAATGATTTACTTTAATATAAGAGGGTAGTACATTATAACATAGCATTGAACAGGTTCACCTCAGCCCCCATAAAAATGTAGGCTTTTCAGTTTGAAATTTCAAACTTACTCAGGCTGGTCAAATATGATATATCCTCACACATCCTGTGTCAAAATTAGGATCTCATTGTCTCATGGTAGATTCCCTCCAGGGTGTAAATTTAGCACACTTTCTAGCATGGCCTGCTTCCCTAATATTTTTGAACAGTTGCATCTTATGTTCTTATTGCCAATTTAAGTGTTTTATTTTCAGGTTTCTGCAGCTTCAATATTGGATTCCCCATTGGTTGTTACTGAACAGGTACATGATATGATAATATTCCTGCTGATTATCTAATAGCTCTACAACCCTTTCCTTGATCATAATTGCTTAAATCCACGATGTACTAGTTCATCCCAGAGAGTGATTATTCATTTTCTTAAATCATCTGAAGTTTGAAAAGTAATTCCACTTAGGTCATGTAGGTTCCATTTAAGTTCACCATGTGATTAAATGTCACTCCGGCAAAATTAGGGGAATATGGGGCATGCACTGTACTGGTTGTCAGGATGACCTTGTGTGCTTTGGCGTTATCCCAGTAAAAAAATGTAAAATGTTCATTTAGGTTAATCAAGCCGAGAAGAGTTTTATTCCTTTCGCAAAGTTTTTGCCCCAGTTAACATCATATTGGGTTACTATAATAACCATGAAATAAACCAATCAAATAGTAGAAACTTTACTTATGAGATATGATCTCAGTAATATTTGGGGAACATCTGACCAAGTTTCAAGATGGTTAGTCATGTAATATTAAAATTAAAACCTTGTTGAATTTTCATTGTATAATATTAAATGTTATAATATATGAACTTGAAATAAAAATGATTAATCAGGGTCTGACCTTAACCTTTTTTGCCAGTAGCAAGGATTTGCTACCTTCTCCCAAAACAAGGAGCAAATTCCCATATTCAGGTAGCAACAAAAATGCTCCAAGAAAACATTATCAGGTGGCAAATTGCTCCTCAAATTCTACTCATGTCTTATAACGAATCCCCGGTTATTTCTCGCCTTTTTGCACTGAACGAAACAACCATTTTTTATGTTCAAGAGTCGTCTGAGAACAATTTGTGGTTTTTCAGACCAAAATCCGCATGTTTTCATTGAAAACAGGAGAATGAATCATCTAATCCTAATAAAGGTAGTATAATCAATTGGGGGGAAACAAATTATAGCGTATTCGTAGATGAAACATGTTATCGTGCAGGCGACATTTTTTCGGCAAGATATTCTGTTTCGCTAAAGCGAGTAAAGTCCAATCAGTGATGTTGTCTTATTTTGTTTCATTTTGGGATCCGTATCAACCAATCAGCGTTGAGGTTGTATATCGCTATCGGAAACACGATGAAAAATGAAAAAATATCAGGAGTGGTAAGTTCCATTGATTCTATGCGATAGAAGGGTTGAAATACATGAGATTCATTGCTTAAATTTGAGGTAGCAAGCATTTGCTCCCGGCCACGAAGTTTTTGGAGCAAAATGTGAAAACAGGTAGCAAATTTGCTCCTTGCTACCGCTAAGATCGAACCCTGTTAATAAAAAAAAAATATATTAAAATAGCAACTCCTATGACGTTACTTCTGGATCACCTTGTACATGTGAATTACAGTGAAAATAGCCTTGCGTGTAAATAACACAAAATTGTTTATTTCTAGTACCCCAAGGGGCTTGGTAAGACTGTAGCAGAGCTTGAGATTGACAATGCAGTAGGTGTATTCCCCAAGACAAAGTTTACTATGTTGATTCCTGAGGTGAAGGAAGCCATGACATCTCTATGTGGTGGAACTTTAGAACACATCATTCTTTTTGGAATAGAGGTACATGTAAATAATATGTATGCTGTATATTAGATTTGAAACATATAATCCTGAATTTTCCTTCATCTGTATGAAGGCAATATACTGGAATTAGAGAATGTGGTTAAAGGCAATGTCCTTCGATATGCTTGAAGGAATGATGGCTTTGCTTTTAATTGACTTGTCATCTCCCCTCACACTTCAATCTTTGTCTAAACATGGCAGTTCTAATCTTCTTGACTTCTAGGCTCTAGCATGTTCAGGTGTTACCAGTTTTGAAATTCAACTGAAGACTGCATACAAAATGTGATGCTCAGTTTGATCAATATTATAAACAAGGATTCTTTCTGCTCCTCTTAAATCATTAAGTGTAGGTTAGACTAGAATTGCCAAAGCTCTGTGACTGATTATCTTGTCACTTACTAGCACGCGAAAAATACTGGGCATACAGTATTCTTATTTTGTTACCAGAGATCTTGTCACTAGTTAAGAGGTAGTTAGTAGTTACAAGGTTAAAAAGTCATTTTGGATAATTTTATGAAATAAAGTTTGTTCCATTGAGGTCCACATTCTGATTTTTAATAATCCCTATGTTTTTTAACAGGTAGACTTTTTTTATTTAGGCACATGTGTGTGTCCAGCAAACTGCACTAGATCTACTGAGCTTGGGATATGATGTACATGTAGTAGCAGATGCTGTGTCTTCACGTAGCCAGATGGACAGACAGTTCGCTTTTGAGGTAAGTCTAAGGTTTGTTTCTCGATTCCTGTTGTTTATGTGCATACTTTTAAGAGTTGTTTGTACCGTGGTCACAGAAGTTGTCTGGACAATAGTTGCAGAAGTTGTCTTTATTCTGGTTTCAAGAGTTGCTTGTGCACTGGTTGCAAGATTTGCATGGAGCTTGGTTGTAAGAGATGTCTATACTTTTGTAGCATGAATATGCCTGTAATTTGATTACAGGAGTTATCGTTACCATCATGGAAGAATTGACTATAGCTGGGTTGCAAGTGTATCAAGAGATTTCTGTAGTTTGGTTGCAAGTTGTCTGTAGCTTGGTTGCTGGAGTTGTCTTTATCACGGTTACAAGAGTTGTCTGTATCATAGTTGCAAGATATGTCTGTATCATGGTTGCAAGAGTAGTTGTCTGTAACATGGTTGCAAGAGTTGTCTGTATGAAAGTTGCAAGAGTTGACTGTACCACAGTAGCAAGAGTTGTATGTATCGTGGTTGCAAGAGTTGTCCATATCACAAATGCAAATTACATCAGGCCATGTATGAGCTTGTATGAGCCTCGATGATTACGAGTCATTGCGGGCAAAAAGAGCACGATCCTCATACGGAGCTTGTTTTCGAGGCCCGTATGAGCTCGTTCGATGCTTGTAAATGTTTTTCAGGAGGCATGTATGAGAATGTATGAGGCGTAATTTCGAGGCCCGTACGAGCTCAAGCTTTCCATCACGTTTTTTACTTTAAATCAACTAACGCACGCAAATGTTTTTTGGATGCACTTACTTCACTTGTAGAGAAATATGGTGTCTCCCATTGGTAACCATTGTTTCCTAGCTTTTATACTGTTTATTATATTGATACAGACATGCAAATATTTTGAAATTATTGAAGACATATTAATTCATAATTAGATACAATTGAAATGTCTCTCAAGTGTGCTATATTTTATTTCATCGATCAAAAAATGTTCATCAAAATAAACGAGCAATTACGAGCCTCGTTATGAGCCCCATATGTGTAAGTACAGTGCTCAAAAATTACGAGCCATTGTGGACCTTGTTACGGGCATCGTACAGGCAAGTACTAGGCTTGAAAATTAAGAGCTATTACGGGTCTTTTTGGTTTACTTTTAAATGAGATTAATCATGTTTCATGTTTTAATCATGTTCAAAATTATTTTTCCTTCAAGATAATGTTAAAAACATCACATAACAATCTTTAACCTAAATCTTTTTGGAATATTACCAAAAAGGGGTAGCATGGCAACTCTCATTTTGAAGTTCCCATGTAATAACACAGAGTACCATACACTTTTATTGAATGCCCATGGTATGAGCAAGTATGGGGATTGAAAATTACGATTTATTACGGGGCTCGTTACGGGAACAGTATGGTCAAGTACATTACGGGCATTGTAATTACAAGCTCTTACGAGGGTCGAAAATTACAAGCAATTATGAGACTCGAGGCCCGTACGAGGCCCGTACAAGGTTGTACAGGGCCCGTTAACTCAACGAGCTTCGTACAGGCTTGTACGAGGTCCGTAATGTAATTTGCCTGTGTATATCATGGTTGCAAGATTTCTTTGGATTACAGTTGCAAGAGTTGTCGCTAATCATTCATGGTAGCAAGAGTTATCTGTAGCTTGGTGGCTAGAGGTGTCTGCTATGTTTCTTAGTTACGAGAGTAATCTGTGTGTTGCAGAGACTGCGACAAGCTGGTGCTGTGGTGACGACCAGTGAAGCAGTGCTACTACAGCTTGTGGGAGACAAAGAACATGCCAAGTTCAAGGACATTCAGTCTCTTATAAAGACCAGTGCTCCAGTGTCAGGACTTGTCAGCCAGTTATGATGAAAATGGATATTTTAGTGCAATAGATCCAGTGAATGTTACGAGTGCAGCATAAAATACATAGCTAGTGACAGGACAGTGTCATGATTTCATTGTACAGCTGAACGATCAGGTTTGCTGTGATTGCTCCATTGTTTCATGATTTTTGTGCTGTCAAAATCTTTTATACAACCTTTAATATTATGAACTAATTTGAACAATAAATGTTGTTATCAAAAGAGGGTATTGTACACCCCTCCCAGTTTTCCATTTTTGCAGACTGCCTTGACCCATTTGATCGATTTACAGAATATTTTATTTAGATCATCATTTGCAAAATTTCCTGCAGAATTAGCAAATTTTCTAAGCACACTGAAAAATCAGCCTTACATCTATTTAATGATTTCAATGCTTTTATTGGATCGTCTTGATCATTTGATCATTTTGTCTTGTGGATGTGTTTACATATGTATATGTTTACATCAGTATGTATATGTGTTTATGTTTATTTCACATTTGTTATGATAATATAAACATGTATCAAAGCAATTAACTGCTTTTTGTAAATTGAAATCCGTATCTGGACCATATTTAGCTTTCTCATTCCTCCACTCACCCATAATACCTCTGGGATCTGAACCAATCAATTAAGCTTTGACCCAAAGCACTGTGGGATTGATCACCTCCATTAAATTGATATGCTACTATAGCATGACTTTTGCCTGTTTACCAGCTAATCTTGAGAAAATATATCTTTTGATGAATATTTCATAAGGAGTGGATTAATTATTCCATCATGCAATTTTCTCCATAACACATTGTTTTCTTGAATTTGAATAGAGTCAAAACAAAGTAAAGACAAAAAAACACGAAAAACACACACAATCAGGGAGCAATTTGTTTTTACTGTATCACTAATTAAAATGGATTATAGAATAATTGATAAGTGATTGATCATTGATATTATTTTGCAAAAGAATAATAAGATTATTTAACCATTTAGTTCGGCAATGGCCGGATCTACAAAATGATAGAAAGGAAAGTATTTATCTAATAATGGTATATGATGATACATGGAAAGGATTCATATTGTCACTGATGCAACGTCACACCATTAATGGTTTCCTGATGGTCATTGTCATGACATCATTGATACACATAGCAGAAACTAAGGATGCGACCCCACATGTCAATTCACATAATCTACACTTTCTATACAACTACCAAGATGTCACATCGAACATGAATGATGTGACATCATCCAACAAAGATGTCACATCATACACTAAAGATTTCAGACCACATGACAAGAATGCCACTCTGTTTAGTCAAGAAGCTGCATCACACAACCAGGATGTCACATCACCCAACCTAGATGTCACATCACCCAACCTAGATGTCAAATTACACAACAGATTAAAGCGAAGTCTGAAAAAAGAATTGAATAAAGGATGGGATGTCAAAACTGTACCATATTATTATGATGATACTTTCAGTGAGTTGTTACATTATTAAATGTTTATATAATATTTCAAAAGTAGAAGAGATGCAGAATAAAATTTGAAGAAATGTCATAATGTTACATTTTTTGCTGTTATAATTCCAGCATATTGGCTTGCATATTATAAACAGTTTTACAGTTCTTAATTTCAGGATATTCTTTTGATTAGCTGTTAAAAAGATCGTTAACTTGAGGGGGGTTCCCTTTTTCAATTCTGATGAATTTGGACATTTCATTTGACATCTTCATTATCTTGATAGGATATCTCAATTTTTTTTAAAGAAAATCAGGAAATAAGGAAATCATGCTTTTTGAAAAGATTGCCTTAAACATTTTACATTCTCTATTTTACACTCTCTCAGGCTCTCTACAGTCTTTACTTCCTTTAATGGTGGTCATTGTACATACAAGGTTTCAGCCTTTTTGCTACAAGTAAAGAATATTTTATTTTAAAATGAATTTGATACCAAATTGAAACCCGAATCGAAATCTTTCTTTTGTAGGTAGCTCAGAGAGGTCTATAATTGCTACAGCTATTGAACAGTGGAGTGGGAAGACCTGCCTTGTGTTTCAGCTTTTACAAGGCCCCACTGCTGGTACTAAATACATTCATATACACAAACTCAATACAGATGTGTGAGTATATCAAGTATATTCTTAGTTTTCATTAACAAATAATATTTATGTACAGGTTGGGCTAAAAAATGTCTGCATATTTTATTCTACTTTTATTTTATTTTTTGACATTTCAGGAACAATCACAAATGTTATTCCTGTATTTCCTTGAAAAGTGTTTTTAAAATCCATGCATTATTAAGAAGTTATTGACAAATAAAAATATGGCTGTTTATTGGCCTACCCTGTATATGAACCTTTTACAAAATACATGTAGGCTTGCATTCTGATATGATGTTCAATCAAATCTAAAATGATTTTAGTTTCACTTAGTCTACCTAAAGGAATTAATTTTAAATTTTTGGGGAAAATCATTCAGAGGCCCAAAATGGTCTTACATAATACAAATACATGTACATTTTTATTTCAGAATATCTTTAATGATTTCCTCCCAAGGGTAAAATATACATTTCAGGTGTTCCACATGCTGGCTAATTTCCTGGAGCATTATTATATATTTTGTAATTTTCAGGTGTTCTGCTAAACAGTCAGTACAAGATAAACAAGAACTTGGTCTTGGATCATCATGTTTCAAGGTAGGACCCTTTGTTAATAGGCCATACTTTGTTTTGTTATATTTATTGCAATATTTACTCTGGTTTATCATATTGGACTTATCTTGCCATATATACCCTGTCCTTGCCACCATTGACCACATTATGCCACATTTATCCCATAGTTGCCACATATGACCGTTTATACCACAATTACTGTTTTCCTGCCCCATTAATCATATTGTTATTCTATCTGATAATTCAATGTTGCACTTTTCTGGGTAAATTCTTTTAGGTGTCACTTATAGTGCGTCATATTGGGTTCCTACTTGGCTTCTCCAATGAGCAACAGAGACCAGACAGGGACAACCACATAACTCTGATACCTGGTAATGTAGACCCAACTCAGCTTGGACAGTTTGAGAAGCTAGCTTGGTTCAAGATGCAGCATTTTGGTATACCCTACGATCTTGCCTCTATCATGCATGGATCCAGCGTGGTATGTTTAACATTTTGAGTATTGGTGGCACACATTGAATATGTGCGTTGCACAAAAATAAGTTTCATGATTTGTCTCTGTTCTATAACAGTGTAAAAATGTTAACAAAATGTTTTAAACCTAATCTGAAGACTGGAATTTCTGAGAAGTTTTTGTGTTTCTTTAATTTTAGGCATTCAGCAATACATCAGGCTCAGTTACTATGGTAACTGTTGATCCAGAGAAGCAGGGAATTATGGGACAGGAAGTTGGTGTGTCCTTCTATGATGCCAAGTTAATTAACTATAAAATATGCGCAAGTAAGAAACCAATTTTAGTTAAGAATTTATTTTAACAAAAAATAATTGATTAGTAGTACATGTATATGGATACTTTGAAATAAAGTATAAATAAAAAAAATTAATTGAGAGATAATCCATGGGAGTTTTTCATGTGTATAGTTAATATGGTGATTCATTTCAGGAGAATGCCCTGATTACAACACCCTTGACTGGAGTGAGTGCCAACATGGGGGGTATAGGAACCCTGAAAATTGCCCTGAATGTTTGTGTCCAGATGGCTGGGAAGGGGACAGATGTCAGTCACCTATGGCTCCTGTTAATGGCAAGTATATTGATGTCTTTTATTTCTGAATCATTTTAAAGCATTGCCACTCTAAGGATCTACTGGATGAATGTATCTAAAATGCCTTAAAAGTGTTGTTAATAATCTATTTAAAGTTTGCAAATATATATTTTTTAATATTTGTAAAATATTATGCATGACTTAAATGTTGTTCAAGACCTTTTGAAAATATCATTCTTACTTACCACATATCATTCATTCTTAATATTATAGCAAGTTGTGGTGGCAGTGTAATTGCTATGTTTACACCTCAGTACATAGAGAGCCCTGGTTATGGCACTACTGGGTATACCAAGGGACAACAGTGTACTTGGAGAATAACCACCTTGGTAAGTGCACATACAAGTACAGTACATGTTCATATATATCCTTTTAGAACCTGAAAATTTGGGGTACGCATTGACAAATTTTGCAGAACTGTTTTGATAAAAATTAGTCACAAAACACAAATGATGTTAAATAAATGATATTCAATTAAACCCCAAAACAAGCCAAGATTTACATTTCCAAAGTCTTAACTATAAATGATTTTAGGTTAGACAAACTATCATCAAAGATGGAAAAATCAAATGGATGTAAATTTAATGTTCCTAGTAGATAATCAATAATGGGCGATAATTTATTTATTTATTTATTTAGAAAAATGTATATACAATAATAATACATGACTAATACTGACACCAAATGGCATATAAAAGTATAATGTCAAGTATCAAAAAAAAAGTATCACTAGCAAATATAAAAAATATATATATATAGTCTAACTAGTTTACAAGGGTATATAGGTATATGAGTTTCATATATACAAGTATTTACATGATATAACATAGTACAATGCATACACTAAGCATGTATGTACGTTGTGTTTAAATGATGTGCCATGACTATTGTAATATACAATGCGTGGATAGTAAATAAAGATGTTTAATAAGACAGATTTTTTATAAGTAGCTTGACAAGAGGTCAGATTTGTAGGCCTTTTTAAAGGAGGTTATAGATTTTGACATTTTTGTGGAATTTTTAAGAGAATTCCATAGTGAAGACCCATTCCGTTTTATGGAAAATTTGTTCGCATGTTCAATATGGAAGTTGTCACATTGGCGGGTATTATAACTATGTGTATCACTGTTTATTTGGAAATTTGTATCGAGTAGTGAATTTAGTATTTGGTCACCATCTTTTACTTGGTACATGAAAATTGCTGTATTCAGCTTATTTATATCATATATATTCAGAAGATTAAGTTCTTTGAATAATGGAGCTGTATGATCAAGGTATTTTTTTCCTAAAACAATGCGAACAAATCGTTTTTGAATCATGTGAATTTTATTAAGATAAGATTTGTAGTTGTTACCCCAAATAATATTGCAGTAATTGAGTTGAGAGTGAATAAGAGAGTAGTATATACTGAGCAAAGCACTTTTTGTTAAAAGATTATGGACTCCATACAAGACCCCAATGCACTGAGAAATCTTTTTTTCTAAGTTTTTGATATGCTCTTTGAAAGTTAAATTGGCATCAATAGCTATTCCTAAGAAAGATATAGTGATGTCTTGCTTGAGTTTGGTGTCATTTATTTTGAGAAAATGATTGTTAGAAGTTTTACCTGGTCCAAAGAGAATCCATTTAGTTTTGTCAATGTTTAAAGAAAGTTTATTGGCATTGATCCAGTCACTGAGCTTTGAAAGTTCTTCATTTGCGGTGTCAAATAGAGTGGGTAAATCTTTGTGAGAGGCCAAGAGATTGGTATCATCAGCAAATAGTATGAATTCAAAGAAATCAGAGGATTTGTAAATGTCATTTATGTAAAGAAGAAATAAAATAGGACCAAGCACTGAACCTTGAGGGACACCATGAGATAATGAGGTTTGTTTCGATTTACAGCCATTAGAAATAACAGTCTGAAGACGTTGAGTTAAGTAACTTTGAAACCAAGAAAGGGTAACACCGCGCATTCCGTAGTGTGAGAGTTTATCTAATAATATATTATGATCAATAGTGTCAAATGCTTTTGAGAAGTCTAATGATATCCCTAGTGAAGGAATTTTGCTTTCATTTGCACATCTTATCTTTTCAATAAAAGTTAGAAGTGGCATGTATGTAGACTTTTTCTTCTGGAAACCAAATTGGTTTTTATAAAGTATTTCAAATTTGTTTAGAAAGCTTACAAGGCGAGAGTGTACGCATCTCTCGAGTAATTTTGAAAATACGGATAACACTGAAATGGGCCTGTAATTTGAAAAGAGCTGAGTATCTCCCTTTTTGAAAATTGGTGTGACTTTTCCTACTTTTAATTTATTGGGAAATGTTCCAGTTGATAGTGAGAGATTGAAGATATATAGTAGTGGCCTGACGAGATAAGCACCAACAGATTTTATTATATCAGCCTTGAACCCATCAAGGCCTGGCGCGGCTGTATTTTTTAAGGCTGTTATTTCCGTTGATAGCTCGCTTTCTGTTATCGGGCTGAAAAATAAGGATGAAGAGACTTGTTTAATCTTCTTGAGATGCTCTTTAAAGGATGAATTAGATTTGGGGATTTTATCTGCCAATGATTTACCAATATTGGCAAAATAATTATTGAAACCATTGGATATTTTTGAACTATCATTACTGAGGACCCCGTTAATAAGCATAGGGACAGTTGATGTTTTGTTGAACTTTGAGCGCCCCAACACTTGATTTATTAGTTGCCATGTTTTTTTCATGTTTCCACTCACCATTGCAAATTTGTTTTCAAAGTGCATTTGTTTGGCATATCTAATAATATGCTTGAGCTTATGACTGAATGATTTGTAGATTTTCTTATTCTGTTCATTGGGGTATTGGATGAATTTTTTGTATAAATTATTCTTACGTTTCGCTGATGTCAGTATTGCAGTTGAAAGCCATGGGCGTGAGGGGTCAAAGTAATATGAAGATTTGAATGTTTTTATAGGAAAACATTGATTGAATATGATTGAAAGTTCTTTATCAAAATTGGAATAAGCTTCATTTACATCGTTAGTATTTTCAATATTATGCCATATCATAGTTTTGACTTGTTCTTTGAAGCTTGATTTATTGGTGTTATTAAATTGCCTGAATGAAACTGTGGACGTTTTAATTTTTTGGGCTTGCATTTCAGTAAGGGCGTATATTGGAAAGTGATCAGATATGTCTTCAAGAAAAATACCTGCTCTAGAAATACTTGGAGCATTTGTAAATATATTGTCAATTAGAGTCGCAGTGTTTCTGGTTATTCTGGTTGGTCTATAGATAAGTGGTATAAGGTTATGTGAGTAAAATAGATTTAAAAAATCCTGAGTAGCATGGTTGCTTTCTGCTTTTAAAAGGTCACAATTAAAATCACCAAGAATATACACTGTTTTTTTTTCCTTGGAGATAGTATCAAGAAGTGCTTGAAGATCAGTATTGAATTCCTCTTGATTAGTGTTAGGAGGTTTATATATAATTGAGATTAGGATGTTTTTATTTTTTGAGTTGGTAAGCTGGATGGTCAGGGATTCACATGAGTCGTGGTTGATCTGAAGATCATCACGTCTAACATATTCTACGGCTTTGTTGATGAAAAGGCCGACACCTCCTCCGGTTTTGATCTTTCTACTATTAAATTCAGAATTATAATTCATGAGGGTTGCTTGACATTCGGTATGGCTCTTCAGCCAAGTTTCAGTACATCCAATTATTGAGAATGATTTAGTTAAGAGACTGAGCATTGTTTCTAGTTTTTGTTGATTGGCAGAGAAACTACGAATATTTAAGTTTAGGAGACTAAGACCATTCTTAGGTGAAGAATTGAGAACTTCACTTAATTGATTGGGGGAGTGGTAGTTACAATGCTGTACAAGGTTATCAGTGATACATCTGATTGATTCACTGCTGTTGTCAGCAGCATGGTTAAATGAAATTGGATCAAAGAGTAAATCTTCAAAAGTAGAAGCACTTGGACCATAAGGTGCTATAGATAGGAAATCGCTATCATGAACATTATAAAATGGTAGAGTAGTACAATAGCATGGCGCATCATTCACTACGAGTGAAGAATAATTCATTTGCTTGATAATTTGATTGATAAAAATAGAATATAACAATGATAATAATGATAGATGTTAAAGTCTAATAATAAAATTCCTAGAAAATTGATAACGTAATGCCTATGATTGAAAGCAAATCAAGTATAGGCTGATTGTAAAAAAAACTGGTTCCTGCAGGTGATTTCAGGAGTACTAGTAAATTACAAATGCACAGAACTTATTCTGTAAAAAGCTATGTGAACTATGGACACATTCGAGAAATTTTAATATGCCATAATAGGCATATTGTGTAGTCCTGAGTTGACCTGGGAGGCCTGAGGTTGATGTTGGTTCCATTGCCATCCATAAGGTGGTGGAGCATACTGTGCCCAGCGCTGATGTCCTTGAGGTAAAACATGGGCGGGATGGACAGCAGTGGGGTTATATGAGTTAAATCCAGAGTGTATGTCATGCACATATGGTTGTACAGGAGCATAGCGGGGGTTGTTTGATTGTGGAATCGGGGTATTAGAAGGATGCACTGGTTGGATACTGGCAGTTGAGTCGGAAACAGCAGTTTGAGTTGCGTCAGAGACTTGAGGTATAGATTCCGTGGGGGATTCACAGTTTCCAGGAAGGGATTTTAGAAATGTCTCAAGCTTTGCTACACCAGCATCATTGAGATGAGACTGATCATAGAAAAGATTGCGATCTACTGTGTTGAATCTTCCAAATTGTTCATAACATGAGTGGTAGGAAACATTGGGAGTCGACTTTGCCAATGATTCAAGCATGGTGTTCGCTTCCCTCACAGATTCATTCAGTTTGTGGCTCAGCATCGGTATTATAGATGAGATGAGGAATTTGGCATTTGGAAATTTAGATTTAGCTGTCTCAATAAGTAACATTGTATCAGCTTTGATGTCAAGCATGGACGAACCATTTTTTATGTCGATGATTCCAGCTTGAAGTGTGATGTTTCTAAGATTAGGACTATCTTTGCTAGAATCTATAGAATCCTTGATATTTGATAGGGTAGCACCTCCATAGGTACGTACTGCTACAGGTGCACCAAGATTTTGCGGTTTAACTTTTCTTAGTCGAGAGTCACCAATAATTAGGGAGGTTGTTGACCTATTCAAGTAGAGAGTACGTATTGGCTTTTGGGTTTGATCTTTTGGGGCATTTGTAGTACGACCTCTGGCAGAGTGAGGAGATGTTCTAGGTAAATCCTGATGAGGTTCTTGTCGCTGGGAAGATATGGTGGGAGCTTGAGTTTGGACATTGTCTTTGATGATCTCAGACTGTAAATGTGCCAGGGGCATATCCTCACAAGGCTCATGTGGTTTTGAAGCAGCGGTAGGCGCCTTAGGTTCTTTTGGTTTTGTAGGTGCATTCTGCATTCGTTGGATTGCACCTTTAACTTCACGTATCTCTTTTGTAGTATCAGAATTAAATGACTTTGTCAAGTCTGACGAGTGCTTGATTTCGTCAAGGAGCGATCGGGCCTCAGTTTTCAGACTCCTCATAAATCTGACTTCTTGGTCTCGAATGAGTGATTCCAGTTGATCACATCTCTTTTGGTTTCTCTCATCTATTTGGTTTAATAAGAGCAAGACATCTGCAAGAGAATCTTCTTCACAATTACTTTGTTCTTCAATTGATGTCTGATTGTTGTTTTCGCAATGACTTTTTACTTCAATTGATTGTAATGGTAATGGGGTTATCACCTTCAGTAATGTTGTTGATGACGCGTGTGTCTCTAATGTTGAGTCCAAAAGGGAGTTCTGGTGGACACTGGAGATATCAAAAGATTCATCTTGCCTGGCAATGAAGTCTCTCAATTCTTTTAGGTTGGGGAAGCTTTCTACAAACAAAGTCTTCGCAGACTTTCCTTGTATTACAATTGTGCCGGTGGTCATGTAGATGGTGATTTTATACAATATTTCACTCACGTTTTCGGCATTATTGTGTGTGCGAACATCGGTGCTGGCAAAAGACAGCTTGGCCTCATTGCCGATTTGATAGTTTCTGCTGATGTCGTTTTCATGGTGTTGGTGTTTTACTGCACATACTGTATAATATATAGTGCTGCGTTTATATTGTAACTTGTTTTTTCCAACAGCCAGGAGCAGATGAGGAAATCCTCATAGACTTTGTGAGTCCAAGTAGTCTACATTGCCCTATGGTTGGTGGACAGAAGGCCTGTGTATCAGACTGGTTGCAGGTCAGGTTTACTGATACAGTGGGAAATGGTCCAAGGTAAGGACTAGAATATTAATATTCATAATATAGCTTAGTTGTAGTTTGGAATTTGGATCATCTTTCATTCGTAGACTCTCATTCAAGTAATGGTGTGAAGGTACTACACTTGGTCATCCTTGAATTTAGTATACATTTTTGTTTGTGGCGCGCCTCACACCTTGTCATGACCAGCCCTCAGGAAAGAAGTAATAAATCTTCATGCCAAAAATATGAAGTTTTCATTGATCATATACATGTAGCTCATTGTGTGGGACCCATTTATGTTATGGCTGCTTACATATCTCATCTTGATAGGCTCACTGATTGTGTGTGCTAATGTACATTCATTGCCAGTTGTTTACTTATAGGTATTGTTGTGAGTTTCCCACCAGGCAGTTTGTATCCCAGGGAACAGAGGTGCTGGTTCTTTTTAGGTCTCATTTGTTAACCCCTGGGGAAGTGGCTGCACCCAATACAGGATTCAGACTCTCATACAAGCTTAGAGCCAGTGAGTGGACAGTTTTTATTTTATATGTACCTGACTAATTTGTAATTGAACAACATCTAATGAATAATCTGTAACCTAATGAATTCTACAGATGTGTGTTGAATGTCCTCAATTCTTCATTAAGGATATACCAGTGTAACCCTTACGACAATGGTGATATATTTTTAAATTACAGAAATAGAAAATTAACACCTCTATGAAAAGCTCGTTTGTTAACTTCACGTTTGACAAGTGTTCTGTATTAAATATCAAGGACGCAGAATGACGATATATGACGCTTTACGACATAGTAATCCATAGCAACTAGGAGATTCTCATTTTCAATGTTGTTTAATCATGACGCCATATAAAACTTTTGTTAATGGGTTCTCGGAATATGATACCATTATCTGTGACGTCAGTGACATATTGCCCCATCAACAAATAAACAAACAAATGAACTATACGTCATCAATTCTTCCAAATAATTCAGTAATTTTTTGTATATTCTTGTTTCATTCCAGTTTTGTGTCCGTTTCTTTAGTTTATCCCAGTAGTATATGTGTATGTGCCCAGCCCATGTATTACAAATACGACAAATCTCATTTGTAACTTGCTTCTTATTTCGCTACAGTCTGTATGAGTTTTCATTAAGTTATAGTCTTTAGCCTATGTATTGACCAGGGGTATTTAATATCAAAAGGCAACTGTAAAATACAGTATTCTATTTTCGAATTTCTATAATTCATATACACACTTATTACATGAACCACGGACACTTAAAGTCCGTGCATGAACATTCATTTATAATGTATTTCTATTGAAATCATTACCTTGTTTCGTTTTTCCTTTCTGTCAAAACAAGTACCATCAAACATGTCAAACAAGCCATTCAAACCTTTTCTATATTTTTTATAATTATAGTTACGAGTTAAAAATATTTTCCCAGTGAGTATTAACGACCATAATCGGACATGCCGGATACAATGCGAAAAACGTCCATAGCCATTCACAAAAACACATTATTCTTGTACTAAATTCAGTAGACGTATCTTGCTCAAATCCTACAGCTTTACATAAGTGGGGACCTCGGGGTGAGGAATGGACAGGAATGTACAACCCCACCCGAAAATCATCAAAAAGCACGCATGCTTTATACAGTATCACGAGTGAAATCATTCATGCCTAATCTGTAAGGTTATACTTGTGAAGGCAGTTCATTAAGACAGGACATGTTGAGTTTTCACAATTGTGAACCTCAAATGTAACGTTATCCTTTCCCGAAAAATGAACAGAAATATTAGCATATTAGAATAGGAGTCAAATATGGCTATTATTAGCCATTTTAAATCATCGTTTATTGAACGAATGTCTAATTGGGGCATCTAGCCCTCAATTTATTCATAATTCATAATATTTTGGAATGATGTTTATCATGTGGACTTAGCTAGTTTATGTTTTTGTGAGCAGTCGATTTTGTTAATTCTTGAGAAGACGTCATATATTTAGTTAAATTATGACGCGAATTGACCAGTGGCTTTTGTATCATTGTTAAAGCACACCAATCTTCAACGGCATTTTCAAGCGTAAAACAGACCGTTGACCCTATGTTTTTTTTATATCAAAATAAACATGAGAACACCTTTTTTAGAATAAGCAAATAAAAAAAATACCACAATCCATTGGAAATTTGCTTAATTTTCGATTCAAAACGTGTCAAAATGCGAAATGAAAAAGATATGTTTTTAATGGAAAAACGTTACAAAAATTCACAAATATTGTTGGGGTAGGGGTAACACTTTAAGTGAAAAAAGTAAGAACAAATGTCCTGAGTGTACCAATATTCGAACCAATGTAATTATGTATAAAGGAAGTTTATCTAGGCTCGAAAGAAATCGTCAATACTCCCTAAATCATCATTTTATCGACGAAATATAGGAAAATATGTTTTTTTGCTTTGGAATCAATGGCGCCTCAAATGTTCAAATTAGATAACGTCACACCTATTTTCAGAAGCTTCTCATGAAAAAACTAATCTGTTGACCTACCTTTTTTATTACATTTTTCGAATCGCTACATCTAGGTCTATAATAAAAACCTAGTTTCGTTGAGATTGAAAATGGTCGATTTTTTCGGAGGTTACACTGGTATATCCTTAAGTCCATATTATGTATGATACTGCATTTGTAACCAATGACCAAAGTTCACCACATACAATGATTATTTGAATCTTCAACACTGATGTTCTTTTGACTTGCACATCCATGTACAAAAGTTGTCATACATCAATAAAGCTACAATACCTATATTTCAGGAGTGACACCAATTCCTTGTAAGATCTTACAGTTGTCTGGGATCAGCTCACACCGTGCATCTTACATGGCTGGTCGGTATACCCTTCAACCCCATACATATAACAGTAGACCTGTATACAGAAGGTTCAACACACAGGAGCAGATATTCTATGATGGAACTTTCTGGAAGGTTGCCCTGAGTTATTTTAGCACAGGGAAGATTAGGGTCAATGATTCCGTACCTGTACCTGAGCTCATCAGCGCCATCTGGGAGGTAGATGGTGGGGGCAGTTGGATACAGGATGATGCTGTTACTTTGAAATGCTCATCTGGTATGTACTCATGTTATTAGAGCAGTCATTTTGGAAAATAACTGGAATTTTTTTAAGAAACTTACATTTAGGGTATGAATTTAGTTTGTTAAAACATATTGTTACATAATCTCCATAATAATTCATATGCTATTTTCAGTGACCTCCCCGACACAAAAGCATAAAAACAAGTGGGCGAAGCAGCCACCTCATATTTTAAAAAAGGCTTGCACTGACCTGAAAATACATTTGCACCCACTTGAAAATAAGAAAATCATGTCATCCTACGTATTCTATTTTTACTGCCACAAGTGGTGACATCTTGTTATAGTCTCCAACTTTTTTGTGGATGGTGTTCAGCGGTCGGCATTCAGCGTTTACCATTCCGCAGTCACAGTGTTTGCCATTCTCAGGTCAGCATCTGTAACAAATGTCATATTTTATTGCAGCACCATGTGAGAAAATACTGATTGCCAATGTGGAATCACCTGGTGTATATAAACTACTGCCTGGCCTGTCAAACAACAGACCTGCATATAAACATTTGTATGATGGCATCTATCTCTACTCAGTCACTCATCTAGGGAGGCACCATTGGATTATTGGTGGGTGCTATTGAGGCCACTTTTGGCTGTCTTTTGTTATTTCTTCTCATTCGAAAAATGTGACCACTGGAAAGTTGGTAGTTATTACAGGAAAACCTAAATATTGAACATAAAATTGCAATGAAAAAACCTTCAGTGTTGGTAGGTGTTCACAACAGAGGATAATATAAATAAGTTGATAGAGTATTTCTGGAGGAAGGATGTCCACGAGAGACAGGTGTTCACTATGACAGGTTTTACTGTATTTCGTTGGTGATATAATATCTCAACAAAATCAGATCAAAATTGACCAACTTATAATATAAGTATATTTGAAAAGCATGATTTCCTAGTCTTTAGAAATATGATTCATTAGATAAGAATATCATTCATTAGTCAGTTAGATATTTTATGTAGTTGCCATAATTGCACACAATTGCTATTTTGCAGGTGGTATCTTGGGACATATCAATCAGAATATAGAAGCTGTTGTACAAAGTTCTGTTGAAGATCCTGTAGAAATAACTGAGACTTGGAACTCTACTGTCCCTGACCCAGTGATATCTTGCTTTGAAGGTAAAGTTTCAAATATTGTTTCTTACACTGATCTCCTCCCTCTTGTCCTCTCCCATTGGTCTTGGATCCTTCCCTTGATTGTCTCCATCACACATGCCCTTTGACTTTCCCTTTGATTCCTCTCTCTTGCCTTTTGATCCCATGTTCTTACTCCTCCTCAGTCGTCTCCATGACTCATTCAATTCACTTTTTATCTTGATTGTCCTTCACTCTTGTTTATTGATTGCCTTTCAACCGGACGATGACCGATGCTTGACCTCCCCTCACTTTTTCTTTGACTGCCATGTTGACTTCTCCCCATAACTGTTCTCATAGTCTATCTTGGCTCTGTACACGACACTACAATGCTCTCAATTCTGTTTCCAACAGGTATTGATGTGTGTGATCATATACTCATTAGAAGCACTAACTATGAATCAACTGGAGCATATGACAAGAATGGTGCTTACAAAATAGATGGCCATCTCGTCAATGGGCACCCTTCATACACGCTACAAGATGGCACTCTCACCTTGAGCTATGTCATTAAAGATGACCTGGACCAGTTTTGGACCATCAGCCCAACACCAGGGGAGCCTGGGTCATCAGCAGAGGTCACAATCAGAGCAGATACACCAGATATTAGCCCTGAAACTATTACAGAATGGTATCTCTATACAGGAGGTGTAGCTATCCCAGACAACTCTATCACTAGTGACTGTATACCAGGTAGTATCACTTTAGTTCTACTTTTACAATTTTGAATTCAACCATCTGTTTCAAAGAGAAAAGTCTCAGAATTATATAGGAGTATGGCTATATAATATGCACATTCAGTAATGTCAAAACTATGTCAGAAGTCAGACTAATTTCAGAGATAATTTACATGGATATTTTACATAATGGCTCACTGATTGCAACTAGTGTATGTATAATACATAATAATGCATTAATGTTATCACTCAATGCTCGCCTTAATCAAGACAACACTGGATATAAAGAAATCTTTTATATTTTTATTCTGTAGCTCGCTCTTGGTGCTCCAAAATCTACATCGGATATCTTGATCCTACGATACCAAGAAAGAAATATTTTGGAATTTTCAAAATTGACTATAGTTCTACCCTTTCTGGGAAGTATATATACAAGCATGAGGATCGCTCTAAATTCTTCTATGCCAGCAGTAACAGATGGTTCATAGGTAAGAATGTATATTATCAGTTTAGGTTGGTGGTGGATTTCTATAATGAATAAGGGGTTTGCATTATTGAAGTTTGGTCATGTTTTGTTTGCAGCATTTTAGTATGTATGAGCAACACACTTGATAATAATACAACATATTCATCTCATTTAAATCTCAAAAGAATTAACATGTTTAACTCCACTGTAGGGACCACACCAGGAAGTACGAGACAAGTGATACAATTCAATGATGCAGCTTACTACCCTGAGGACATTGAACAAGGCGCCTATGTGAAATACTCCACAGGTGGAGGGTTCGGCTTTTACCCAAATGTCAACATCAGCTGCATTGGTACGTTGGTTTAGCCATACTAAAATTATCAATGTAATGTACAATATATAAAATATTGGTGAGTTTCTTTATTATAATATTAGATATAAGTATACAGTTGATTCCATGGATTGATGAGTGCAAGGTTGATCCAGGCTTCTTGTTGTCAATCAATGGGGAGGTTGACGGGTTTACGTAAAACACCGACCGCCGACCACCGACCAGTCACTCTCCACAGTTTGGTACATGTGGTCGGTGGTCGGCTGACGGTCTTTTACATAAAGATGAAAAATGCAAAATTAGAAGTAAAACTAAAACTGGGAATCCAATGACTATAGTACTTTTACTAGGTCGTGATTTAAAAACGTATGATTATCATTTAAAATCACGATGAAAACGTTACATCGTCGTGGTGTGTAATGTCATATTTTTAAGTGATGTTTCAGTTGTTAGAAGACCAATTTCATCCTGGTTAGTCACTTTGGAAAAAAACGCACGTAACATTGCATTAAGTTCATTCTTCATTCATATGAAACGCAATAACAAAAACACACAAACATTGTCGATGTTGACGTCGTAACGTTATGTTTGATTTCTCAGTTGTTAAACGTCAACTGGTAAAACTACATTTGATATGACAAAAAAAAGCTTTCTAATGGTGTACTGAAATGGTAAGTCACTTTTAATCCCGATAAGAGAACGCATGTAACATAATATCGTGTTCAGTATTCAGTAGGCTATGACGATAACAAATCATTTTTGTTTCGAAATTGTTAAATTTCAGTAAAAAATTAGAATCCGTAGAAACGATAGGTTGGTTAATGATAGGCTAGGACCTAAGGCAGGACAATTAATCGAGAGGAGACGGTCATGACCAATTTTTTTGCTTGCCATTCGTTGCAAGGTACAAAATCGGTAAAAAACGTTGCCTAGTCCAACGATTGACATTCAAAATCAAATTATTAATATTCTAAGGCTACAAATATGTTCGGTCTTTTATATGATATGGTCGGTCTTTTACACATTTTCTTCAAACCCTGTTTTGAGGCTACCAGTGGAAAACACCGACCGGTCGGTGGTCGGTGGGGTCGGTCTTTTCCGTAAACCCGAGGTTGACTCCTCATGATTTCAGATTTTTTTGCACTAGATTTGAACTTTAAATTAACATGTTTTTGACTGGGGCTATTGAAATCTGTCAGTCTTTGTATGTGGAGGTAAAAATCTATGGACATATGGAGGCAATAGACCTGAATACTAATGTTTAGCAGATGCAATTAGATTTATTTCTTTTTAGATTCACCCAAACTTTTTATTTGTTGTGGTGAGATTATGCCAAAAATATGCTCTTTCCATACCCTAATTTCTTATTTTCTCTTCCCCTGCACAATGATGTTTTAATTGCAGATGTTTTACCAGTGGCTTGCAACAGAGTTGAGATATCAGGGTTGATGCACCCTAATGTGGGGGTCGAGTTCTATAATGGTGTATATGATAGGTCTATAACATCTAAGAATAGACCAGGTTATACCAGTAAGTATCTTAAGGGCTAATAGCTTTTTTTTTTTTTTTTTTATATTGTATTTCTTTATTTCAAATTATTACAATAAACACAAATACATTAGCGGCTTTGTAAGGTACATTATAAGCCACTTTTAGGATGATGATTCACAAAACTAGGTCTGCAAATGATCTGATAGTAATGATACTATTAAGCATAATAGGTCACTAGACTGCCTGGGGTCCCTCAACACAGTTCCTGATAAACACTGCACTCAACTTCAAAATATCAATGTTTTGCTCTTTCTTAAGTGTTTCGTGGCCATAAAGAATAAAGTTTAGTTTTTCCTGCCTGTTCTTACATAAATTTCTGTATCCAATATTTAGATCACAGAGTTGTTGTTCAAAAGTAATAAAATAATTCTGTCGAATGGGACATGAATTGTGGTTTCATTTGTGTGGCCACAAGCACAATCTGGCGAAAGAATATTTACAAAGTTATGTGCATGTAAATGAGCTTTAAATATAAAATCCACTCTTATTCTGTTTAAATAGATTTCAAGTGATCTACTGACATTGATATCAGATGCCAAATTTATGTTTGTGCTCATCAAACTCTTTGTCAATGCCATCTTAAAGGAATGTATGTTAATGCACTCTCTTAAAGTTGGCTCAAGTGAGTTCCACTCTCCTAAACAAGAAAAAACACATGATCTATTTTGGATTGATGATCTTTTCGCGGGGATGTGATATGGTAAGGTTAATCTTAGATCTCTTATAGGTGCTCTTTTAAACTTTGCAAAAATAGAGCTAACATAATTCGGAGCATTACCCTTATTAACTTTAAAAACTAGGAACATCCTATGTAATTTCCTACGGATTTCGAGTGATGGCCAATTTAAAGTATGGAGTGTTTTGATGGTGGATGATCCGTGGATGACACCTGAGCAAATCACAGCAGCTTTATAATATAATTTATCCAGGCATTTTAGAGTCAAGGAGTTTGCACAGCCATAGAGTATATCATAGAAGTCAAAATGTGGCAAAATGTAAGAATTAAACATGAGTTGAAGATGTTTTCCACTGAGTTTTTTTGATAAACTTTTCAAGTGGTTAAGTAGCTTGTCAATTTTGTTTGAGGCCTGAATAATGTGCGGTTCAAACGACAAATTTTGGTCAAAAGTAAAGCCAAGGTGCTTATGTTCATTGACTTTAGGAATTATATCACCACCAAGTAACATTGGTGGAGTTTGTAACTCTGATTTTCTTTGGTCAAAAAAAGTTAGTTCTGCACTTTTGCTGGCCTTAAATTGCAATCTCCATTTTTGTGACCACTCATAAATATTATTAAGGTCAGTCTGCAGTAGAGCCATCTTATTATTTAGATCATGCTCTTTGAAGGATTGATAAATAGAAGTGTCGTCAGCAAATAAGTAACATTTTGAGCTAATATTGTCGGTAATATCATTTATATACAAAAGGAACAGTAAAGGGCCTAAAATAGACCCTTGAGGCACTCCTGAATTTATATAGTTCTCATCAGACCATTTAGATTCTTGGCCATCGATCACAACTCTTACCCTACGATTTTCCAGGTAAGATTTAATTAGGAAACAGATATTTTCCCCAAAACCATAACTTGCAAGCTTACTTAATAAATGAATGTGCGGCATTGAATCAAACGCAGCTGAAATATCTAGGAAAATACTTTTAACATTGTTACCATTATCTAAGCAATCTGTGATATAGTCAATTATGGTTAAAAGCTGGAGCTGGGTTCCATGACCAGGGATAAATCCACTTTGTAAGTTGTAAAGAAGGTTCTGATCCTGAAGAAATTGAAATAATTGATTAAAAATAATTCTTTCCGTAACCTTTGAAATACAGCTTAGTAGTGTGACCGGTCTGTAATTTGAGGGAGTATTCTTATCATTCTTTTTGTGGATTGGTGTGATATTACCAAGTTTCCAGCATTCCGGGAACTGGTTGGTCAAAAATATTTTATTGATTAATTTAGACAAAGGAAATGCGAGAGCAGGTGCTGAAAGTTTAAGCATCCTATTACTGATCTGATCAGGCCCAGATGCTTTATTAATATTTAGAGACATCAAAGCTATATAAACCTCATCTCTATTTGTTGAAAGTATATCAAAAGATGCATTTGTACGTTTTTGGTCAAGAACAACAGGGTCAAAATGATCGCCGATGTGAAAACTTTTAATAAAATGAGCTAAAAATATATTTGCCTTCTCTTTACCAGTCATTACATTTTCGCCATTTTGGTCGACTAAGACAGGAATAGAGCTTAAACGTGTCCCTGTAAATAATCTTGAGGCAACATTCCAATATGATTTAGATCCAAACTGTTGGGTTTCCATTTTATTTATCATGCGTTTTTCATGCTCATCTTTTGCTTTAGAGATTGCATCATTGACTATGGCACACTGATCTTGATACTTTTGATTATGTTCTTGACTGTTAGAGTGGCTGAATTTGTAATGGTATTTATTTCTTTTGTTAATCTGAGTTCGAATTTGATCATTAAACCATGGTTTATCATTTGATTTAACTTTAATAAGCTTGTTGGGAATACATTTGGAATATATATCAAATAAACAATTGGAGAAATTTCCACCAACATGGTTCATGTCATTTGAATTTTCGATGATATTGCAAAGGTTACTGTCGCGTATAGAGTCATTTAACACATTTACATCAACATTAGAATATTGCCATATTCTCTGAAAATATATTGGATTTTTCACAGTGCCCATTAACATTTCAAAACTTAGGGTACTATGATCTGTGTTGCCTACTGGAGGCGTTACGGTTTGAGATACAATCATGTTAGGAATGTTAGAAATCAGGAGATCAATGCAAGATCTGCTCGTTAACGTAACTCGCGTTGGTTCATTTATCAGTTGTGTCAGGCCAAGAATTCGCAATGAATTTAGTAAAATATCACCTTCATATTTGTCAATGTCACCATTCCACCAATGCTTACTCCGTGCATTGAAGTCACCATTAATAACAATAATATTAGAAGTATTAGATTTTGCAAGTGAACAGGTGTCTTCAAATCTACTAAAATAAGCTTCAGTTTCTTGGCGATTCATTGAGGGTGAACGATAGAACAGTCCATATGTTATGACCTTGTGATTAACCTTGATATCAATCCACAGCGCATCATTATAATGATTCATTAAGTCAGGTCTGAGCTTTGGTTTAGGGATTTCTTCACTCACATATATGAGTAAACCTCGGTTATCATTTACATAGATAGGGGGATGAAACCCTTTGATACAATATTTATGACTGATGTCATTTTTAGTGAGATTGCCAACTTCACAAAGACCAATAATCTTAAAATTATCAATCTCGATTCGATTCTTGAGAGCACCAAACCTCGACATCTGATGAGCACCTAAACTATTAATATTAGAAAACATGAATTTCAATGGAATACTTCCCAAGACTGGCCCTGGGTTTAACTCAATGTCACCAGACATAATCAATAATGCAATTATAGTATTGGGTATAAAACACAATAGACAGCTAAACCAGGATATAAATATAGATATATTACAAATAAGATGCACTGCTTTTTTTGAAATTTTTTCATCTTGGCACATCTGTAGATATAGACATTTAAGTCCCAATGGAAGCATACAACCTACAACAATGCAGTAGCAGAATAATACAGTTGAGATAGTTAGTAACACAACATTTTGACGATTTGCCTTAAGTAAAAGGGTAAGAAGTAAAAGTGCAAATACCACAAGTTGGGACTTCTCAATTGTCTTTGCAGTTATATACTTCCATGAAGAAGTGACCACGTTTAAAAACAGCACTTCAGGTGAAATGCATGTACTGATTTTCCCATTACTTGCACAGTTAAAATGACCAATTGTTCTTCGCCATGAATTAATATCTATACCCATAATCTAAATAAAGTAAAGGTGCATGTTTACCAGGTTATATTATTTCTCAAGTTAAAATATAAACAGGTAGTCTTTAAAGTAAATATGAACTGGTCAGATACACTTGATCAAGACTATGATTGAGCAAACCCCAGGCAATCTAGCTCCCTTTATACAGATCAAACAGGTAAGAAAACAAATGGTGGAAAAAATATGCGAGAGGATAAAAACAAAACAAATGCCATATATTAAGTAATCAATACCATAATATTAACATTTGCAACATACACACACATAATTAATATCATACTTTGAAGAAATAATATTGAACTCAATGATTCACTTTCACTTTCAATAGCAGCTAATAGCTGTAACTATCGTCCCTAACATCACTATTTTGAATTAATAATTATGTTTATAACTTACTCAAACTTGAACCTCCTTCTGTAATTATTGATGTTTGGAAAAAATCCACTTTGATGGAAGAATGATGTTTTATTGGATTTGAGTACATTGAGTGTCAGAGTCAAGTATATTTGGTACATGAAGCTCCATTTTAAACAAGCAAAATCAAACTATTGGAAGAGATGGTGATGAAGGTAGTTTTGCTACGGCTTTGTTGCCCCATCCCAAGAATGATCCAGGGGTTGAGAGGCTTATTGAAGACAATATAATAAAGAAAATTACAAACTACAATACAACTAAGAATCCATATACAGAATGGTCCAAAAAATGTGAACATTACATAAATGTATGTAGAAGATTTACTTACTTTAAGATTTACTCTTGCAAGAGGGATTGAAGCAAACTATAGATACATGTACTTAAAATTCATCCTAACCACAAGCCAACATGAATTTTACAGGAAGTGATGGTTACAGCTTGTATTACAGTCTCCCTGCTGGGATGTGGTTTATCAGTGACACTTTACACTCTCCCAATGCGCATATTTTTGTACAAGATTCTACACTTCTGCCACAAGATATCCACAACACATGGCAGTTCCTCGCAACTAGAGATGTCAAGGAAAATTTGACGCCACTTATTATTCAGTGTGTTGGTGAGCTATTCTCAAAAAGTCATCATTTTTAAACCATTTTTTTGCTAAGGATTTGTATAACTTGTCACTCGTGGCGTTTTGAGGCATGTACTGAACCCGATTTATGAAAATAATCCTCATTGGTCCTATTTTAGTTCATAACATAAACATGAATCCTTATAAAAAACAGTTCTATCTTAACTCATACCCTATTCTCTCTAATGAGCTCACAGTTTAATTATATTTTAATACAGAGAAGAAAAAACAGGAGCTGTAGAGTATGTAAACCTTAGTGATTACAACTAAAAAGATCATCAGTGAAATATATATTTTTTTGTAAGTTTTGTACTTGCTCTTATTGGAATCTCTCAATAACATATCCTTTAAAATTTAAATTTGGAAACTGCGCTGTGTGCTCATTAGTTGTAAATGTTGTTTATTATAGTTAAATCAGGTGTTGAGGAGAGAGTTTATTGCAGATGTTGGTGAGAATGTTTATTGCAGATGTTGATGAGAATGTTTATTGCAGATGTTGATGAATGTGTTTCTAACACACACAACTGTCACATTGAAGCTGACTGTGTTAACAGTCTAGAGACATTCAGTTGCGTTTGTAAACCAGGATATACTGGAGATGGAGTGAAGACATGCCTTGGTGAGTCACACTCCAAAACTTGTGTATAAACACCAAACCCTTAACAAGCCGTTCACTGCATTTACATACTTACTGATGGAAGTAAAATTCCTGTCTTAGCTGAGGAACCACATACAGTAAAACCTGTAAAGTGGAACACCTCTGTCAGTGGAACACCTCTGTCAGTGGAACGCTTTTCTGAGTCCCAAGACCAACTGACTTAAAGGACAACTGAAATAGCTTTTCTCAATTTGCAGCTACAAAAATGCGGTTTTCTCCATTGTAAGCCCACCGTAGAGTTCTTGCGATAGCCATTATAAAATAAATGTTAGATAACTGCTAACGGTCATAGATAACGAAATAAAACTAACTGATAAATCAAATTGGCCCCCACGTGATTAGTAACGTCATATACAAAATATAGCTTTGGTTTATTTTTTCCATAGTAATCACAACGTCACGGCAACCATAGGATTGTTGTGTAAACAAATAACAAAACATTTTGGCATTATGACGTCATGATCTAATGGGACCAAAACTGGCCACTTGGGGACCAGTGAGAGATCACGTGGGGGCCAATAACGTCACAACCAAATCGAATATTGCTTATTAAGCAGCTATAACGATCGTTAGAGTGAAATAGTTTTCACACTATTGATGAGAAAACATGTCCAAATACATCTATCAAAAAATTATATTGATTCCTTTAGGTTAAAAATACCATTCCATATCTGCTTTAATGTTGAACCTCTATAAGTTGAACACCTCCCAAGTGGAACACATTTAAGAGGGACCAAAGGTGTTCCACCTAGACAGGGTACTGCGTATCACGTTTAAAATAAGCCATGCACAGTAAACCTTCAGCATCTACAAAGCATTTCTAATAGTCACAAATGCAATTTCTTTTTTTCAATATGAAACAATACATTCTTTTAACACCTTTACAAGGCCAGTTGGGGATTTTCTATTTGCAGTTTATCCATCAGTGCATCAGTAGATATTTAATGCTAAAAAATATTTCGTTCCGACTCATTACCTATAATTAAAGTACAGATAAAATAAGGTTTTTGAAGTAGAATGAAATCAGTATCCACTTTTTACATTTAGGCTTGTGTTTTAACATGTGGGCAAAAGGTCATAATTGATCAATGTACATGTAGTCCCACCTTAACAATTATATCTACCTGTTTACTTGCAGATATTGATGAATGCTCTGAAGGGACAGACAACTGCACTGGTCTACATGTCTCTGGATGTTCTAACCTGCCAGGAAGTTTCACATGTACTTGTAAACATAGCCTTGTATGGAACTCAGTATTGGCAGAATGTATAGGTAAGATTTCAGTTGAGTCTAGGGAGGTGACATATATCCTGTTTATGCATGGTGCTAATGTATGAATCTAGGGAAGTCTCTAGGTAAAAAGTTAAAGTTAATTATCAAAATCTTTTATTTTACTAGGCTTCGCTTCAGCAGAAAATGTGACAATTCACTAATATGGTTGATATGATAATATAGAGGTTTGAGTTGAGTCTGCAGATTAGATCTCCATAATATTCCAGACTAAATCAGTGTTTTTCACTTTTTTCTTTCAGATTCTTTTTTTAACAGTTCTACAATAGATCCATTCTCAACAAATGAAAGTGACCATATAGCAAAGAGTGAAACATCAACAAAAAGTGAAATTGAACTGAATAGTGATGGAATGACTGATGGTGTGACTGCAACACTGACATTGGTCAACTCAACATCACACCCTCCTATACAAGGTAAGCCTGCAATTCATATTGGCCAAATACTCATTATATTATTTTGAAAATTGAATTATTGCCACAACATAAACTGTTCCTTATCAATTTTATATGATGCCCCATATATCAGCCCATGCAGACCTTTTACCATGGAGCTACATGCAATTTGCATATGTAAGGCAAATATACATGTGAAAGAATCCACATAAATAACCCAGGGGGCAATAAAGTTGTTATGAATGCCTAACATCCATTGTTCATTAATTATGATGTCATTATATCCATGGTTACAACAGTTTGTTTTCTTATTATACCCAGCTTACCAATTTCATAATTTATTCTTTCAGAGAATACCAGTAACAGGAATATAAGCAAACAATGCATGGAAGATATGACATGTATCGCTATCGTCGTATCTGTAATCATTCTCCTACTTCTAGCTTCAGTAATCATTATCTGCTTAGGGGTCTGTTTTTACAAACACAAACATACACAAAACCTGAGGAACCCTTGGACTGACAACAATAAAATCACAAATGAACGTTATATCATGACATCATCATCTCTTAAAAATGGAAGTGCATCCACAATAAGTAGGACAGGCAGAGAACGTATTGTGATGTCTAGTCCGAGAAAAGATGCATATAAACATGTTGCATCCAGTAGCAGCAGTAGTAGCTCATGTAGTGCTGATTATTTGTACTCAAATGGCTTCCAATGGCAAAATGTGAACACTCCCCATCTTAAAGTGAATGATAATGACAGAGAGGTTGTAAAATGAAATTCCGATCCAACATGGAGGTTTAAAGACCTATAAGAGATTTCATTCTTGAGACTTAAGCCTCAGTCACATTTGCTCTACAGAGACCATACAGCAGCCATAGCTTTAAAAATCGATTCATAGAAAATCTACATCGAACTGCTTATCCCTATATTTTATGCAGCATATATCTCTTGATTTTGGGAAGCTACAGCCACCATATGGTTGCAATAGATCAAATGTGACTGTGACATTAATAATGAATAACATGAAATGTAACAGCTGATAAATTGATGAATAAATAAAATAAGATGGATGTTCTACATTTAATAAATTGTGTATTTCACTTTTATCTTCACGTATATCTACAATATTATGCTTTAAAGTTATTTTGTAAATGATTAATAGAAAATAGAATCAGTCATGTAAGTGCAAATTATTAAATAACTATTTGGTTTAGTTCATTGACTAGAATAAATAGATCTATGAATACATTTATCACAGTGATGTTAAGAAATATATCAAAATCACACAATTTTTTTGGTATAGGCCTATACGATATAAACAAATTAATGTAAAATATGTTTCAATGTTTGATATTTCTAAAATTGGAGAACTCTTTAAAAATATTAAGTATTCAGTTCAAATATATGCATAATATATTAATAATATAATATATTGTATAATCATTATACATGTGCAATAATCATCCCAGTCAATTTTATACATCATATACAGGTATCATGGTTTAGGCTATTACTATGTTTACACTCAAGGAGGATTGGCTCCCAGAGTGCACCACCGATATTCTGTCCCATATATGGGTATGTCGTAATACAAAATTCGAATTCAAACAGCCGCCATTTTGTTCACTTCAACATTTAAATCGTGAATTTTGGTCTTATTTCCAAACGAAAAATTCCAAAACTCACAAGAAACGATCGAGATATTGGTTCGAATCTTTTGAACTGTTTATTTTGAATTTATAGTCGGTTTTAATTTCAGAAAATAACGACATTTCGACGTTTTCATTGTTGGAAAATATCGAGTTTCGATCCTGGGAGCCAATCCTCCTTGGTTTACACTGTGGAACACAACAAAATCTCATTTTTGGCATTTTTGTTTGGCATTATTCGTTGGTCTTCTCATGAATATCTCATTTAATTCTGCATTTTATTGATAGGTAACAAGCCATAGCCAATAACAATAGATGTCTAATCACCAATTTCCTTACATCTGTATATTCTGCACATATAGTATGTTAGATCATACATGTGAAATAAATTGAATATGATCTGTCTCACAGATTACATGAAATCATTTTATGGGGTTGGCTCAAATATCAGAATACCATTTTTTCGTAGAACTAACATGTGGGTGATTACAATAGCTCACCTATGTGAATTAAAAAGGTAGATTGTGATCATTCAACACTGAATGAGTGATAACGTAACTTCATTGTCTGACAACGTAAAAAAAAACAAATTATTAAACAGTTTCACATGAAAAAATTTGATGTTTCAACCCTGTCTCTAGATCGTTTCTTGTATTGTATACATTTTCACAAATAATGCTTAAGATCAACATACTACATGTATTTTGGTACTCCATTCTATCCATTGCTATCAGTTTCAATTTTCTTAGGATGAATTTGACACATAGGGCAAGTAAATCTTTTTAATATCATTTTTGTGTTTGATATTAATGTTATTGAGTCTTTCATTGAGTAAATATTGTGCGTAGTCCCTCCTCTGGGCAGTCTCTGGCAGTGTCAATGTGTCAACGTGGCTAATCGGGACTCTGTTTCTTGAGGCACTTGACCCTGGTTTGACCTTCACCTTGGGAGTTGTAGTACGAGGTCGGCCAACCTTATCCAAAATTTCACCACCCTGAAGTGAAAAAGATGATTTATTGATTATTGGAAGTAGAGTGAATTAACCCTGCTAGGATAAAACGTATTTAAACGTAGCTTCTACATGTTCTACTTCATTAAATGTTCTTTAGATTAGCACATGAGTGCAGTCTCCACAAAGATGAAGTGGTACGGATGTTTCCATATTTTCAATCAATGAAAGTTTTTTATTTTTTATGAACATTTCAGGCTTTCATTTGATGAATAACAGATTCCAAGATGTATTAAATTATCCTCATTAATGTAGAATTATAGTAAATGATATTTTCAGGGGAAACAATTCAGGTGAACAAGAGTGAAATTGATACTTTAGCAATGCTGTACAATGTGGACACCCCTATAATTTGAACACAGTTCAGAGATGCTCCATTACCAATACCATTCACATTATAACAAACAGTTGCCATCATAAAAACCCAGCTGGTTCCACAAGCATTCACACTCTATTTGGTAAAACTTATCACTGGTAGAACATCTTAGCAAGTGGAACACTTTTTAGAGTTCCATAATCCATTGACTTGGTTTACATGAACCTCTGTAAGTGGAACACTTGCTAAGTAGAACCCAATACATAGAGACACATGCTGTTGCCCTGACAAAGGTTTTATAATATAATAATAATATCTATATGTACCTGTGCTCCAATAGTAAGTTGGTGCCACGTCTTTGCCCTCTGATACTCCTGTCTCAACTTCATGTACAACTCACCTTCACTGAAACAATATGGTACAATTATTGTTCATATTTAGTGAATGAAAATGTTACATTATAAATTGTAATTTTTCCAACAACATGGCATAATAAATGTGATATGCTGTGACATTTTTCTTACAATATTGTAATAATAAAAAACATATAAGCCGATTGGTAAAGCCCATGGTAAATTGGATTTTTATATACTTTTAGGAAAACATATAATATCAGATTTTATATTTATATTAGGCCATAAGAAGTAGATTTTTTTGTTTTGCGTCCTGGCAAAATCCAAATCATGCAAGGGTACAAGGAAAACAAACACAAACTCAAGAAAAAACACAAACTTGTTTGCTGAGAAAAGTATACATTTTATGGGCATAAAAAGGGATGACATACTAATTTGCAGTGATTACAAACACGTCATATCTATACATTTTATACAATATATTTAAACATAGCTATTATTCAAAAGTAAAAAATAAGAAAATACACAATGTTTGCCAAAGTAATCAATAACACTGTCAATTTTGACGCACCTCAGATTATCCGCCATTTCGTCTGATTCTGATTGAACGAAATGCGATGGTACTTTCAGACCCTTGTGATTGCTATTTGGATGTGTTTGTTTTTTCTAATTTATTCAAAATCGTGCAAGCAAGGGGACGCAAAACAAAGAATCTTCTTCCTATGGCCTTATGCTATTTTGCAACAACAAAGCAAATGACACTTCAGCACTTTGAATAAACGTAAGGCTGGAAACAGATCAAGGCTCACGTAAAGTTAGTGTGAGATTCACATTTAAAACCACCATATAATTTACCTGTCAGCTAGTTTTATTTTGTCCCTCATCTCTTCCCCCAACTCAATGGAACTCATCCAGGGGGTAGCTAGACGCAACTGAAAAACAAATTATAGAGAGAATGTGAAGACCTATCCTGACTAAAGCAGTGCAATATCCTTCGAATTACACTAATATCCTTATGAAAGATATACATGTATGTGGAGGATATAACAATAATACTGTTACAAAGTAAAACCTGTAAAGTGGAACGCCTCTGCTAGTGGAACACTTCAGAGTTTCAAGACCAATTTACTTAATGTTAAATGAACATCACCAAAGTGGAACACTTTTTAGAGGTACCTAATGTAGTCCACTTAGACAGGTTTCACTGTGGGTTGGTTATTTTGCTGCTAAATTATCCTCAATATTGTAATTTTTGGTTGAAATGAAATACTCAGCATTAATTTGCTATATGATTTGAAGTTCTTATTGGGAGAGTCTAAGAAACCATTTTTAGTACTTTTGATACCACTTGATTGCTTGACTAAACCTGGAAAACTAGTCTACCTGGTTTCGAGGCAACATTACAGGGGTTAAGGTAGGCAGCGTACGGTTATCACCCCCTGGGTGAGACCGCTTTTCTACACCACCTGTGCCGAGTAGAGTGACGTCTAGCTTATGAAGCAGTACATTACTCTTACTGGTTGACAGGGACAGCAACAGTTGGAGGCAGGCAGACTGGAGAACCCTAAAACAAATCAGCAAGGAATAAAATAGACAGACGTGTAGCCAATACTTTAAATTGTACAAAAAGACCAGTTGCTTAGTCCAATAAGCGATTATATTCCAAAGTCAAAACCTGCATTCACCATTTTGAGGGAATAAGTTAGAACTAGGCTAATAAATGTGAATGCCATTTGTACCTTATACCAAATCTCAATGATCTCCTCCTCAAACTGCTGGTCTATTTGAAACAGTCAATTCTAATCTAATGTAGAACACATACTTATTTTTGCTTATGCTGCAAAAGTTAAGGATGATTCCAATCTGCTGGAAACCAATAGCTGTGAGGAGAGCTCTAGTCTCCTTCTTGTTCCATAGAGGGCGCACTGTCAGGTCAGACACCTTCAGCTGTACTTCCTGTGCATGCTTAGAGATTGCAAGCTAAAAATGAAAATGAATAACAAATAATTAGAACTAGACAATGGCAACTCCGCGGAGTAGCAAATCCCAACGAACAAAATATTAATTACCGAATTCCAATCAATTATACTCATTACTTTGGTTAAAATTGAAAAATTTAAATTTTAGAATTGCGAATTCCTGCAAAGCAGCCATTTTGAATTTTCTGAGGTACAAATCTGAAGAATAATACCATAATTGTGATCTACTCCAAAATTCCTTCAATTTGAGCATAATATAGCCATACTTTGAAGGGATCGAAAAATTATTGCGAAATCGTATATTAGACGGCCATTTTGAATTTTACGAGGCTCGAATCAGAAAAAAGATACAATATTTGCAATCTACTCTTAATTGCCTTTCATTTGAGTATAATAAAGCTATACTTCAGAAAGATCTAAAAATTAGCGAAAAATACTGTTTTCCTGACCCCCCATACACAGCCCCTGGGGGTCAGGATGAAAAACACGGAAAATATGTGAAATAGATAGATGTTGCGAATATACTACCAAAATTTCAAACAATAATATTAATTACTTTGGTTTAGAATGAAAAATTTATGGTTTTTGCGAAAAAGTCCCGTCATTTTTAAAGCGGCGGCCATCTTGAAAAATCTTTTTTTTTGCGTACAACTATTCACCAATATACATCTTTCCACTAAATATGAAGAAAATCCGTCAACTAGTATTTGAGTTATCTTCCGGACGGACGGACGGACGGACTGACGGACTGACTGACGGACTGACTGACGGACTGACGGACGGAGGGCTTCACTATATCCCTACCGAACTTCGTTCGTTGGGATAATAATGTGTTGCCATTTATTCATTTACAGCAAGACATTCATTGTCACTTTTGACCAATTGGAAAACAGTATAACCATGCAAAGTGTGCACAATGCTGACATTATTAATCTATATCTATAATTCTGGAAAGAAGGATAGTAGCAACAACTTACTTAAATCCTAAATTACATATGACATCAATAAATATTGTAATGTATTCTTAATATCACTTTAGTTCATTTTATGAACAGAGCATCATCTTAGTTCAGACTCATTTTATGTACAGGGCACTTACCACATCAATGAGTTGAGATATAGTATGCTGAGAGATGGGGAACAGCTCAACTACTGCTCGCATGCACTCCTCATTGGATAGAATATCTGAATTACAAGTGAGAGAAATGAAATGAATCAATACAGTTCATACATAAAATAGTTTCGCAATAGGCCAATAGGCAATAGGGGTCAAAGACAGAGCATAATTTGATGGTTGAAAATGTCGCTGAAAAGCGTAACTGAAGGATTTCAAAAAAGATTTAAAAGATCTCTAAAACTAACAATTTAAATATACTAATCTTTCCATCTATTCAAATAAATGAGATTTATCCAAAAATATGCGATTGTCTCTGTGCATAAAAATGATATAACTCCCTCAGATGTAAATCAAACCCCCGGAACCAAACCAGACCTCCATATCCCCCTCCCCTTCTGTGTAACAAGCCCCCTCCTGAAATCACAACATATACTGACCACTGCAAGCTTTGAGGCACTCATATGAAGCAGACACAAGATGTTCATCATCATGGTAGGGGAAGATCATGAATGGCTTGGTGAGGTCTTCCTCCTTAGACTGGAACTGGAAGTCTAAGAACTGCAGGAGAGTCAACGCAGACTTGCTGTCATTGATCGCTTCAGGAAGTTGCCTATGAACTGTGTTCAGTTCAGGATTGTGGAGTCTCTTCAAGCTGTCATCCAGCTACAAATGTCATGTGATATGAGATCAGTGAATCGGGTGAATTCCAAACAAGTAGTGGGATATATGTAACCTAGTGAGGCAAGATTAGTTAGTTCCTATTGTTATTGAATTCAACCCATTCTTGATTTGGACAACAGAATTGTGCCAGCTCAACGTCAACATGTATGACCCATGCCCAAGAAAGAAGCTTATGACTTTGGCCATCTATTTAAGGGCACTATGTATACATGTGTCTACCTCACTTTATGGATATTTCCCCAAGAAGTAAACAAGAAGTCTTGGACAAATACAGTACCATATAAGGCTTACATGGACATATTGTCCTGAACCTGATTGCCAATGTTAGTCTTGCATCAAGACCAGGTATACATATTCTCCCATTCCCTCTCAGTCTGTCATAATTAGGAAATGGGGGAACATAAGGGTCTTGGAGCAAGACTAAACAAGGCAATAACATGCAAAATGCCCGCCATATGCCAACCGCCAACCGCCAAACACTGTCCACAAAAAAATTGGAGGCAATAATAATATGTCACCACTTATGGCGGTGACATAAATAATTGTGACGATACATTATCTATGAAAGGTGCAAAGTGAATACAAGAGGACTAATACATGTAATGTAGAAAAGTGAGGAAATGAGAATAACATTCAGTGTTCCTAAGAAATAATGTGAACGTCTTGTATTTATATATTGTGCATTTATCACTGAAACTGAATAATAAATACTGTATATGTAAGTGTTGATTCCTGTGTTGATTATGCCAAAACTTAGGCAAAACCAAGATGATAATTAGCTAAAAATGCCTAATTTCATACATCTTCAAAAATGCTTTTGAAATGTGAACATATTGAATGGCACGTTTCAAAAGTGTTTTGGATTTTATCATACATGCAGAAGTCTGCTTAAAAATAACATATCATTTCACATGCAGTTTTAGTGAGAATGTGAAACAAACCCAAAAACATGCTGTGAAATTGGTCTTTTTCAAGATCTTATAATTGTTTCATGCACACTTACTTTTCTCGATTCAAGTTCCTATCAATATCTGACAAAAAAAAATATATATACCCTATATTTTATGATATGGGAAAACCACTATTCAGTCAAGACTTTACGAGTTATACCTGAAAACATGTCTCCATTACTTCTGCGAAAATCAGGAATTTATAAATGACAAAATTGTTTCTGTAAATAAAACTTCATAAGCATGTACATTACATACATATACATTTCTAACTTACCAGTCTTATAAGGGTATGGAGAGCATCTGGTTTGTCAGAATGTTGCACTAAAATCTGAACCAAGATGTCTTGTAAAGAACTGAGTTTCTCCTCATGACTTGGCACTGGAATACAATTATTGTATTGTATTATATTGCATCACATGATTTAATTTTTTAATTTAAGGTATTACATTGTATTGTAAGGTATTTTATATTTACTGTATTGTATTGCATTGCAGGGTATGATATTGCATTGTATTATATTTCTACTGTATTGTATTGCATTGTATTGTCTTGCTTGGTATTGCATCGTAATGTAGTGTGTTGCATAAAGAAGGTACTACTATGTATGTGATAGATCCCATGAGGCACAATCAAATCAAATACAAGATTTCTTAAGCACAATGTACCCTCTGATCTATTCAAGTCAAAAGTAATAAAAGCAATTTATTGGAAACCTATTTCATTATGAAATAGTTCATCCTCAATTCAAAATAAGTTACATGATCAACAAGAACTTAAGATAATTTCAATAGTACAACAAAATTGCCTACCAATTTTATATAAAATGCAGCTTTCAGAACACACAATATGTGTTCTTTCATGTAGATATATTAAAACATACAACACTAAGAAATGAACAATTTAAAATATTTCAAACCATTTAAATCCAAAGTAACTAAATACAATAACCTATAACTCACATTTGGGTACATAATCTTTGGGGTTAAGCAACGCAGCCTCCTCATCCTTAGCTACAGCAGTCTCTACTTTATCTATTTCCTGGTCCAACATAGAGTGGCGGATTTTACCAAGATCTATGTGTGTGTCCTTGCCTAGTAGAGTGAATGGAGCCCAGTTGGTCAGGGACTCAAATCTAGGAAGTAGAAAGAATAGATTAATGTTATAATATAATATAAATACAAAGATGTTTCTTTGTCAGGTAGAATGAATGGGCTTAATAGGGGGGGGGTGATAGATTAGATAATATAGGAAAGATTAGATAATATATGGCCCTGTTTAATAAGCATATAAAATTTCTTACCTGTCATCCTGCTTTAGTTGATCTATGGCTTCTGCTGTTGCTATGGAAACCAGGCGGCCATTTTGAAGACCATTGTAGAAATGATAAAAGAATTTATCCTGTGCTGGGTTAGGGAGAGACCAGGCTAGACTGAGAACACACTGAGCACCTGCAGAGTAAATATGTGACATGGTAAATTGTAATTCTGTGAAGTCTGGAAAAATGATGTGCAAATGTTCTTTCAAACATTGCATATGCAAGTATTTATGTGCCTTATAAAAAACATTTTATTAATTTATCCTTGTTTGAACATCAGTGTCACGATATAGGGTAGCGATTTTGGGTTTTTTATTTTGTGCTACTTTTGGACTTACGAATTACACAATGCCTCGTATATTTTTGACTTAGACTAACTGAATATGTCATAAAATGTCCAATCTATCGATAGATTTTCTTACCTTTTTTAAAAACTAATACAAATGGGAAAAAGTAGCACATTTCCAGAATATAAACAGAGTTTAATAGCAAGATTTGTATTAAAATGCTATCATCCATTAGCCTAGATGGTTTAATGGCCCAACAGGTGGCCTCACATGTTGATGTCTTGTACTTATTGTAAAAATAGGTCAAATTAAGGTTAGATTTGAAAAGAAGGTCAAATTACAAATGGTTTGTGGATAAGTCTAACTCATATTTCCAGAGCTGTCAAGTGTCCCGCGAATGGCGGGATTATCCCGCGAATTCGATCAAAATTAGGCTAATTCGCGTGTCCCGCAATGTCCCGCGAAGTCCCGCAAATGTGGCTTTCGACCTCCGCGAATTTCCGAAATTGTTGCAATCCCCTATATGGTGATTATCTTATCTTATATAAGAAGCTAAGTTTTTGCACTTTTGAGGAGTAAAGTTTACCTAATTTTAAGTACCTAGCATGCTGTTGTTTGGTATCAAAATAAAGAGGAAGGGTTCAACGTTCATTTTAATTACGACAATAGGGATGTAGGTCACAAATAGTTCCAACGTTGGCCTTTTTACTATCCGTGTGGCCTTCATCTCAGAACTGAGCAAATGTTAGCAAACGCGAGTTACAATAAATGGACGCTGATATCTAGAAAAGGTTTGTAGAAAAAACCGGGTACCGGGTAGTAAATCCTCCATGCTGGGTTCAAACTTGGTACCCGGTACCCGGTCAAAAAACGGGTACCCAAAAAATGAAAAATACGAATATACGAGTATAACATAATTAGATTATCAGAAAACGTGTAAGATTTGTTTTGAATTTACAAAAATGTATGTAACATCCTTCAAAATTGAGCTAGAAGCTTCAAATAAAAAGCATATTTTAAGGCTCTTTTCTTCCTCTATCGTCATGACCATATTTTCATTGGTTATGTTCACGTACCAACATACGAACTCATTGAAAATAGAGTAAAATTGATTTGTCTTGTTATTCAAATCGTCTTACAATGTCATTGGCGTAGCCAGGAGAGGGTGTGATGGTGCGATCGCACCCCCTCCCCCTTCATTACCAATGGAAATATGACCATGATGATAGAGGAAGAAAAGAGGCTTAAAATGCTTTTTATTTGAAGCTTCTAGCTCAATTTTGAAGGAAGTTATATTTTGTAAATTCAAAACAAATCTTACACGTTTTCTAATGATCTAATTATTTTGTATATTCGTATATTTCGTTTTTTGGGTACCCGGTTTTTCGACCGGGTACCAAGTTTGTCTACGTAAATTGTATTTATATTATTAATTGCATTACATTTACATGTACATATTTATATTTACATTTACATGTACATAAATAAGAATGAAGGAATAAAAAAAAAAAGAGTTTGAACCCAGCATGGAGGATTTACTACCCGGTACCCGGTTTTTTCTACAAACCCTATCTAGAAAAGTAACCTCATTCCCTATAATTTTTTGATGTAGATTAATCGAACCCCTATATCATGGGCTTTCAATTGAAAGCCCATGCCTACAGTATGGTAGTAGTTGGTCACGACACCAGAAGCAGAGAAGTGCAAAGTATTGTTCCAAATTTTTAAATTTCGTGTTAGATTACGATACTCACACCTCAAGCATGGTTTTTGTTTTTGATAAATTACAATAAAGTTTAATAATATTTCTATGCGTATTTTGTGAAATTATGTTGACGTTTATTTAAGTTACAATGTAACGGTGCATTATATTTGATTAATCAGTATCTGAAAGTTTGATTCAAGTACTTTTACACGCTTTTACATTAGTCCAAATCACGCAAATCCCTTGAATGTCCCGGGACATCCTGCAAATTTAGGTGGATGTCCCGCGAAATCCCGCAAATTTAGGGCACTTTTTCTAGAAAATCTGTCCCTCTATGAAGTTTTTGCTGGTAAACCTGTTAACTGTCCCGCAATTAGGGTGTTTGTCCCTCGAATGGTCCCGCGAAATCACGCGAATTTGATAAAAAAAAATTGGCCTATAAGCGCAACCCTTAAATGTCCCGCGAAATCTCGCGAATTTAGTAGAAGTCCCGCAAAATCCCGCGAATTTTGGGCACTGGGTCTAAAAAATCTGTCCCGCGAGAAAATCTTTGGGGGTTGACAGTACTGTATTTCAAAGGATATAACCCATATAATAGGATAATTGAATATGATAAATAGAATTGGCTCATCATAAAAATCATTGACTGAAAATCTAGGCAAAATCTTTGCTAAAAATCCAACACTTCAAAATTATAGACTGCCTTGAGAAAAGTGTTTAACCTGGGAAGCTAAAATTGACATTGATATTTGTCAAAATCAATTACAACATGTACATACGTTATCTGAATTGGAAACATCATAAAAATGAAACATACAGATTTGCACATGTACGAGGTACATATTGTCAAAAATATGATATTTTAACAACAAAATAATCAACTTGAAGAAATTTTATTGTTTCCAAATTATGTACCATTTTTACAATTTTGTACCATTTTTATGACAAGTTGGAACTACCTTTATTTTTTGTATTGACTATTGACATATTGTTTATGTGTTTCAATATAAATGTTGATCTCCGAGAACCAAGAATGCTCAGTAAAAGATATGAATTTATATCTAGCAAAGACACATTTTTCATATCCAAGTGTCATGAGATACATTTGATATCTCATCCTGTCTCTTACCTGCTTGTAAGAAGGCACTAGGGAGCAGATATCCAGGCTTTCTGGATCTAGGGTAACTACTGTAGCCACAACTTAATACCACAAGCTGGGCTCGAAGTTCTACTGCAGCCAGTTCCTTAGCGGTAACAAGGAAGGAATCTTCTGGGAAGGGCTCCGAGGAAGTGCTTTTTGGTGCCCATACCAATAAACCATCTTCCATACTACCAAATGTTGCTGGGTAAGAAAGATAAAAATTCACATTGTAAGTACTGAATTTAGCTGATATTGATTGGAACATTAGTTGATAAAAAATATGACAAAATATTTCCGAAATCAATTAACAATATCATAATAAACATTGGTCCAATCAATTCAGCCAATAAGATAATAAAAACATCATGTTATTTGTTATTCAACGATACGGCACTTTTATTTATCATAAATTTAGTTTGTTGAGGTTAAACAATACATAACTCATACAATACATACAATACACTACATAAATCATCAGTATTAAACATAGAAAGATGACTGTACATACCAATATGCAATACAGTGGCTTGTGATATCTGATCTAGGAATACACCCTTGGTGGCCTCCTCTCTGATGATTGGCTCTACCTCCATATAGGAAGCAACCTTGTGGGCCTCAGCCTGGGCATGTAGGAGGCTAATGGGAGGCCTCCACTCTTTGCCACCAAGCCTCAACCTAAAAATACACACAAACAGTCATATGAGCAGGAGACATTTAAACCGTAGTGGAACACTTTTTCAGTGTGAGAGTTCTTTTCTGATAAATCATCTGTAAACCAGTCAAATGACAGCTTCTTTATAAAAAATTTATTCCACACACATATTTAAATTTATATCATAATAGAAACACTTACATTTGAGGTAGTTTAGGGTTTCCAAACACCATACATTTATCTTTCCCACTGACTTGAAGAAAATCTGTCACCATCATTGGGGAAGTCACAATATCACCTCCAGTTGCTGTCTTACTAACTAGTGTATCAATTGTGCTTATACCTAACACACGTCCTAGAGTAGCGGGTGTACCAAGCACTGGACAACTCTTGCGTAGTTTACTGTCAATTTCGCTCTTCCCACCAGTTGAAGGAAATCTTGAAAATGTATCTTCTTTGGTAAAGGATCGATGTAATGGAGAATTTAAGGCACCACTTTTTAACAATCTTGGATAGGATGTCTCTTTAGGGTCTGATCTATCAAGTTCGTTGTCATATTTTAATTCTCCAAGTTTCGTAACACTATGAGATCTGGGAAAAGCTTGAGGCCCAATGATGTACTGACTTAGGCCCCCTAGCCTTGAGCTTGATCTTTCATGTTGTAACTGGCGTTGAATTTTCTCATGTTCTAGTTCATTTTTGGTGACTTTATCAAGCAAGGCCAAGCAAGGTACATAAGTGATGTGTAGTCGTTCATACATATGATGCCTATTCCAGTCCTCCAAGGCATGAAATGGCACATGCCAGAGTTCCCGATCAGGTATTATCACCAGGGGGCTTTCAGGAGGTAACTCGCGTAGATTATCCTCAATCGGGCCCAAGAGGAAGTTAAATAATTGTCTTTCTGCACTTTTTCCTAGGGCAGAATCAGTCGATTCTTTCGGAGAAGACTGATGACTCCCAGGGGCTTTGGAGAGAGCTTGATATTGTCGTCTTATCAACTCCAGAGAAGTATCGTTCCTAGGTAGAGCACGATCTTCACAATTGTATTGACCATTCTCTGTGCCTGGAGTCTTCCATAATCCATCAACCAGATTATTTATATGGTCTTTCATAGTCAGGTCCCTTTTAGGGGACATTATGGAGTGAAATCTTATCAGTCCATTTACTGGGCAAATTATCCAAACCAAAATCATTTTCTCCGTAACTGAGAAATATAGCACAGTTGCATTCTGGGAGGCTACGATGTGACGCAGACGGGTGAAGTCCCATGAACCAGTGCCTTTGATGTCAGCCATATTGTTGAAAAAATGGTGACGAGACATTTCTGCACATTGAAGAGCCTCCTCTTTCTTTCCTTCCTTTCCTTGGACACATTGCATGCCTGGAGAAGATAATTGTTTGGTGTTAATCCTTCTCATTTTAAAGGTGAACTGGGGTCAAAGTCATGTTAAGGTCAAAGGTCAAGATATAGTGAGAAATGGTAGTGATGCTATCTGACTATGTATATAAACTAATTTGAAAAAATTCTTTTCAACAAAATTTTTGTAATTGAATAGTAGTACTTCATAAAGAATTGTATCTATTATGGCTCATAAAAATGAAGTTAGTCATTAAATATTTTTACCAAGTTTACAAGTACATGATCACAATAAAGTAAACATGCCATTTGCCACCTGCAAAACACCATCCCAAAAAAAGTTGGAGACTTAAATATATAACAATATGTATCATCACTTGTGTTGGTATCACCACGGTGACATAATATCATAATAAAAACTGAGAACATCTGCAATTCTGCGTCAATTAAATCACAAAAACTGTACTTTACCCTCATAACACAGCTGCAGCTGTGTCTGAACTTCCTCAGCTGTGAATGCTTCCTCATCTCGATGTGTCGCCAGTCGTTTCTCCAAGAGAGGAATTAGTTTAGAAAAATACTTGTGAGCCTGCGTGAGCTCAGAGTGTTGGGTGGAGTGCTGTAGGATACATGCAAGATTAAACTGACACTGGATTCTCATGTCTTTCCAGCCTAATTCCTCACACAATCTACATCCCTCCTCATAGTAAAATATACTGTACTGGTATCTACAAAATAAGGACACATTCGTACATACTTGTATAATGATAGTTATTACACACAAGCTATCATTTATAGGTAGTCTTGTATACTGGTATACATTCAACAAGATAATGGTATATGATTATGTAAATACTGTTTTATTTGATTTTGATTTTTCTTAAACCTTTATTAGTTAAAGTTATTTATCTGTATACATTGAAGAAAGAGAGAGCGTAAATACTGTTACTGTCCAAAGTACCACTTACTTATCCATTGCCTTATAGGCACTGGCTAGTTTACAACATGCTGTCACTCTAGTCTTCCCCACTCCCTTAGAGGCAACTTTTAACATCTCTCCGTAACATTCTGTGGCTTGTTCATACTCTTTAAGTCCCATTAGTGTGTCACCATAAAGCTCCCACCCTGAGCATGTCAACTTGGCATCTTTGAGCTTGCGAGCTATAGCGATGTGCTGATCGTGATACGTCTCTGCAAGTATTCTGTTCCGTAAGGCACCATATATATTTCCTGTGAACAAGAAATATTTTATTAACAGTTTACAGTTATAAAAGCATTCATACATATGAATTTTAACATTAGCTACAATAACCCCATTCTAGCATTATGAACTTTTCCTACACTTGGATTTTTTACAAAAAAACTGACTAAAGTGAATAGCTGAAGGAATATTAAAGGTTAGATGTCAATGAGTCACATAAACAATAAACATGACTTTTACTTGCTAGGGAAGGGGTAAAGCCTACATTCATAGTAAAACAATATTTAAATCAGTGATAATATTATACTACTGTTATTTCATTACTTTTAATGTAAAGGAGAAAGATTTGTTAAATCACATTTCCTAAAAGCCAGAAATTGCATAACAATTAGTATACAATATACTCACCTAAGGCACCATAAGCTTGAGCCATTCCAGCTCTATTTTGGTTAACTTTACATTTTTGTAGATATGTTTTGTAATACTTCAGGGATTGCTCATAGTTTGAGAGTAGAAAATGGAGCATTCCAAGATGCTGATAAGCCTGAGCCCCAGAGCCGTCACGTGGAGACTCTGGTTCTACACCACCTCCAACAATGCTTACATATAATTGAGCATGGTTAACAGCATTCTTCAAGTTTCCAATAGTCTTATAAGCAATGCTTAGATTGAGATGTAATGCTGTTCGTAAGTCCTTTGACCATGTCTCTGGGATTGTTTCACTTTTGATATTATCCAAATCTTTCTCTAAAGCCGCTAGCTTTTCATAGTAAACAATCGCCTGATGTGTGTCACCGATTTGAAGAAATAAACTAGCGATGTTAACCAAAGTTTTTGTCTGATAAAGGAGATCATGGGTTTGCTGAGACATAGCAAGGCAGTCTTGGTATAAGGATATCGCAACTTCAGGATGCTTTAATGCAGAGTGACAGTTGGCCATAGTTAGAAGCATTTTCATTGTTATCCCTTGCTGGTTGGTCTCAAGCTTTTGCGCCCCTTCTAATATACACAAACTAAGCTCATACTTCTTGCTGTGGTACATACATAGACCAGCCTCTACAAGACGCTTGTAAGGATCATAATCTATAACAAATGCATTTTCAGCCAATTAGTCATTATTCAAGCTAGTCTCTTTCCAGCATCCATTGGCCTAAATCTGATCCAAAATGACCCTCCTTTGTATAAATTATAGCCTGCTATTAGACAGAGGGCTCAAATATTTCATAAGATGGTCAAAATTGACCCCTTGCGGAAAATCTTTGGATTTTACCAAAAAATGGTATCTTTTAAAAATGAGATAAGGTTTCCCCAAAACCGCCAAGTCGTTAATTTTATATATTTTTATGTTAAAAATAAAAATTAGTACCGTGGGTACTGGGCTCACATGGTGTTGCTCAAAAGTGAAAATAAAAAAGACTGGTATAATTGTTTGCAGATTTTTTGTGACAAAATTATTTCATACAACTACTCTTTACAAAGTCATGGCTTTTTACAATGCAGGACACCTGAACTTATTTGTAAAGCTAGGAAATGGGCCAAAAGTGAATTTCCCGAGACAAAAATGGTGGCCATTTTGAAATTAGGCGAGATTTTGAAGCAGGAGTCACAGGTTTTTTTTCTTTATTGATGTTGAACAAAATTATTTTAAATCGGGAATCCTATCTACAGAGGATTTAAAAAGTGTTGACAGAGGTTTAAAACTTGCCACTTTTTTGGACTGACTGAGAGACAGATGGACGAATCAATGTTAACTAAAATAGCTGAAAATAAAAAAAAACGATATAATATTTTGCCAATTTTTTGTAACAAAATTATTTCATACAACTACTCTTTACAGTGACATGGCTTTTTACAATGCAGGACAGCTGAAATTATTTGTAAAGCTAGGAAATGGGCCAAAAGTGAATTTCGCGAGACAAGAATGGTGACCATTTTGAAAATAGGCGAGCTTTTGAACCAAGAGTCATAGGAGAGTTTTTTGTATTGATGTTGAACAAAATTAACTTAAAACAGGAATCCTATCGACAGAGGGTTTAAGGCAAATGGTCCAAAAGTGGATTTTGCGAGACAGATGGACAAATCAATGTTAACTAAAATGGCTGAAAATAAAAAAAATGGATATAATTTTTTGCTGATTTTTCGTAACAAAATTATTTCATACATGAACTCTTTACATTGACATGGATTTTTACAATGTAGGACACTTGAAATTATTTGTAAAGCTAGGAAATAGGTCAAAAGTGAATTTCGCGAGACAAAAATGGCGGCCATTTTGAAAATAGGCGAGCTTTTGAGCCAGGAGTCATAGGGGAGTTTTCTGTATTGATGTTGAACAGAAATAACTTAAAACAGGAATCCTATCGACAGAGGTTTTAAAATGTGCCACTATTGTTGACGGACAGACGGACAGACGGACGGACAGACAGACAGACGGACAAGTGAGCGATTGCAAAAGCTCACCATGTGAGCTAATAATAAAAAGCTAATATTTTTTCAAGGACATGTTCTTTTGTTTGCTTGATTTTGTTTTGCTACACTGACCTTTGGCCTTGAGAGACTTTGGTATCTGACAGAACTGTGCAGAAAGAGCTGTAATGTGTTCGCTCAGCATGCTAGCATGACTGGTATCAAGGGTGAGAGCACGCAGGAATGACATCAATGCATTCTTGTGCTGACCTTGGTATTCTAACGAGACTCCAAGTAGGTAGTGAGCCTAAAACAGTCAACAAATACAATGGCAAGAGTGCATATTCTCTACATGCTGCATGTGTCAAAAACTCATCCAGAAGCTTTTTCCTTCTTACTTCCTTAATTGTTGACTCTATAGAAAAAACTTGCAGGAGGAATATTCTTGTGGATGAGTTCTGGACAAATACAGTAAAACCTGCGAACAGGGAATGCTCTTCGGACTGGAGGAAAGTTTCCTTGCTCTGAGGTTTTCCCTTTAGAGAAGGGCCGCGCTTTCAGCAAACTCAGAATTGCTGAATAAGCATTTTTTGTATATATTTGGGCATTTATTGATTTTACCAATGCCGACTCCATACTTGGTTTCTAGACCTTGTTGTGACATCTTGGAAGATGTATGAAGGTCTCCCACCTCCCTCCTTTAGCTGAGGGTAAGGAGCATTCTGCCGATGTTGATTTTAGCCGCTGCTGCTGGCGTATGATGTCTAGTTGTTGTAATTGTTGATAGATTTGGCTCAACATGACACATGTACTTATTTGTTATCTCCATAAAACAATTGTGTCAATCCCTAGATTATCACAACTGATTAGATGTGGTTTGTTGAAAGGAAGAATTAGTGTCATGACAATCAGTAATGAACAGATTAGTATTAGTTTTAAAATATATCAGGGTAATTAACAGTGGGTGGGATGCTACATCTTGTAAACAATTGGCTTATCTTAATCTCAATCATATTAATCCAAGCTTTTTAGAATCAGATATTGGCTTAAGACTTTCACACCTCTGAAAAATAATGGAATATACAGTGTCACCAATATTCCATATTCCTTGTTCACAGGGAAATTTTCATAATTTGCACCAAAATAGTATTCCTTGTTCCCTGTTCACAGGTTTTCCCTACAGAGAGGATTCGTTAACATGTAAGTCAATGGAAAAATATTTGGTTCTTTTGAAAAGCATTCCTTGTTCATAGGTTTTCCCTACAGAGAGGTATTCCATCAGACAGGTTTTACTGTATATTCAAAGGGTGAGTCTTGAACAGGTCCGTAGTTCACTTTTTAAAAAATTCCAGGGGGGTTCACTTGTGACAATTTTGGTCCAAAAATGGCCAAAATCACTTAAAAAGTGCTCAGATGGGTGAAAAACTGCATGATTTTGAACGATTTTTGGAAGGATGTGTGCATAATATCCTGTAGATGTGCTTACATAAGCAAGTACCAAGTCAGATGAATATTTTATTCATCAAAATGTAACCTCTTTCTAAACTTAATTATGTTATTGCAGGATTGCTATAATTTTCAAATCTCAATTCTCTGACTTTTCATGGCCAAATGTGTTATCTTTTTCAACAGAAAATAGTAAGAAGTAAAATGGGTAGATGTAAAAATGTTAGTAGTTGTAATTCAATTTGTTTCTTGTATCTTATTAGTTTATGGTTCAATTTTCAATTCTCCCTTTCGCGGTTCGCTCTTTGAATCAGAACGTTCGCAAATATGTACTGAAAAAGCAATCAAAAAGGACAACATTTGATTGGTCAATATTTTCCCACTATGCATTTCGCGTAGCTATTTGCGTGACCCGAAAGTTCTAAATCAAACTAATTACGCAATTTTGTTTTTACACCCGCACGCTTAATAAAACAATGACACCATCGGAAGTATTCTTCGTTGTCATTGCTTTAATAGTCAGTATACCGAGTTTAATCAATAAAAGATTGTACAATGACCAACAAATTCGGAAACGAGTATTACAGATTTGCTTTCGGACCACTGAACAGATTGACCTAGATAATAGCGATGCGTCTTCTTTGGTCTACAGCTCAGTTGTGTGTGGGTTTTCAACGTAACTCTATAATGTAATTTGAAGATGAATACTTTTATTCAGTTGTTGCATCGATGTTGCAGTTTGTAGTGCGGTAAGATTGGCAGGAAAGTATTGAAAGTCGGATGGAATTGTTTTTTCCAAAATGGCGACTAGTCAACTGATCACGTGACCTTCTCTTCCGGATTATTTTCTCACTTTTCAATCATCGTTTTCACCACGCTATGAATCAATACAATGAAAAAAATAGCTGTTATATTAAGACTAATAAGAGATCAATCGTTTCTAATAATTTTTTCTGTACTCTTGTACGGGAATATGAACGAATATATCGTTTGAAAAATAGGTGTGAAAATCCCCATGTTAAACCTATGAGGGAAAACAAGGAAGTATAAATTTGTTCCTCCGCGAACTGCATCATGGGAAATATTTTGACCTTATAAGGAAAGATTTTAGCGTCTCCTCTTTTGAAGAGGGAACAACGATTTCGAGAATTCAACTTCACTCTACAGAAAATAGTGAGGAGTAAGAAGTAAAATAGACCAATTACACATTCACTAAAAGTATGACCCAGTAATAATATTAGTAGGTGTCATTCAATTTTTTCATATATCTTTCTTAGTTTATGGTTCAAATGTTTATTTAATTTCACTCACTTGGAATTCCCTGAACTTTCTCAGAATTTTCAAATTCTTTAACCATTTTTGAGACCCTGACTTTTCACAAAATATTGCCATACCTGAGGCTGTTTCTCATTCCTAACAAGTATTTTTTGAGCATCTTTCTGTGCACCCACATAGTTGCCTCTCTCTATATACACTGCAGCCCTGGCACACAGTATGGCTACATTGTTACCATCAATGTCAAGCGCATCATTGTAATGGCGTAAGGCACCTTCATAGCGACCATTCACTGCCTCTTGTTCCCCTAGCTGCAGGAAGCTTTGGATCTACAGATAAACACAAATTAATATCAAAATATAACATAAGAGAATTAATACTTATCAACTGAATATCAACATAATAATAATGGAAAGGAGATTGAATTTTCAACAGTCCATGCTCGTAATCATCCAATTGGAGTTTGTTGACTAAAGATATCTTGATAGATATTGACCTCAAAAACATGCAATCATGGTGCCAATTTTTTCCAAATACCATGAAAATGCTTTTGTTTACGATCCAGTTTTTGTTTCTGAGAAAAAGTACACTACATGTATAAAGCTATTTCACACTATTGTGCAAAAATGTGTTATGTAGTGTCCGTAGAGCTTGCTAGCAAAATAGTCCTATAATTAGACATAAACAAGACCAAGGTATAATTTGCGCACAAAAGTGTGAAATGGCTGATTGAAGTTTGATTTAAAATGAAGAAATTTTCAAATGCATAAGAACTGAAAAAGGAGATACCCCCTTTAATTTTTTGTCAATTCTCTCAATATTCTATGAAAATACCAACAGCTCTGACTTATTTCAGAATAATCCATCAATTTTTAGGTAATTGAAATAACCCTCAGCCATTATTTTGCACTATTTTATATCATGACAAGAGGGTGTACTTTACTGTTATTACAATCTGAACTTACTTGTTTTATCTCATGCTCCTCACTGACAGCATCAGATGTAAGACTGTGAGTACTACCACGTAGGGATGGTTTCAAACGCTCCATCTCCCCATTTGCCTTACAGACTATAATGCTCCCTACAAATATGAGATGCAAGGAAACGTATGAGAAAGATTCATTTAGCTGTGCATGTAACACTGGGGCATCTGTTAGATCAAGGCAAAAAAGTGGTTGCAAATTAGATGAGCGCACAGTGTGGTTTCCAAACACACAAAAAACCTCCTACCTCATACCCACCTACCCACGTACGTTGGACATGATAGTCTTTGAAGGGTTCAATTTTAAAGATCTCAGTTTATAAAATCCTAGTTTAGGATGAATTATACAGTAGATGCATTTGTAACGACCCCTGATAGCAAGTTGCTACTACAGCCCAGCTTGGTTCGATCCCCACTCGGGGCATCGAATTTAGCACACTTTCTTTCAATTACTTTATCTGGCTTGTTGGACCTATGCTCGCGGTCGTTGGTTAGTTATTCCCCTGGGGCGCCCTCTGGTCATTACACATTACAATGTACTCACATGCCTTTACAGTATTTATGGATCTGTCATCCGTCTCAGCCATAAAATAAAGCCGGAATTGTAGAAATGTTAATAATTAGAGCTATTTTGAGATTTAAAAATCTTTAAAATTAAACCCTTCAATGACTGTATTATGTCCCACGTAGGTGGGTATGAGGTAGGAGGTTTTTTATACAAAGCCGTCTTTACGTTTACAGTAATCATCAATAGATATGTTACGTAAATAATGGAACTAATGAATCAATAAAAGCTCCAGCACAATATATCCTAGTCCATTCTCAAAATTCATTTAGTTCGTTGCGTACCTTCAGTAAAGGAGGTACGGATTGCACTGAACGAAAGGCTCGGAAAATGATCCTAGTCCAACATGTTGCAACATTAGACCTAGCCTTGGGCCTCGTTTTCCTATCTGACTTGTCTTATGGCCCCGGCAATATAGGGCTATCTAAGAAACATCAGAATGAATAAAGAAGGCCGAACATTGAGTTCTAGAACTAAATATATCCCACAGGAACCTGTATCAACACCTGACATCTAGATCTATTGCCAAACCTGAAATAGAATGAGCTTCTATTCTTTAGGTTTATATAGTCTATATCTGGGTATTACTCTTCCAGGTTGGGCCACCAATCGATGTCAGGTGTTGATACAAGTTCCTGTGATATATCCAAGAGTGAGCAGTGTAAACAGTCTGAGTGTAGCCTAGAAAATGGTCAGAGTCTGAGAGTGTAGCCTTGAAATGGACTCTAATTATGTAAAAATCCAACCCTTGTCTTTAGAAACAAAATTTTGATCTTGTGTGATCCCTGTTAGTTCATTCTAAGTGGCAAACGAGAGATCTAGATATTAAATCATCATAGAACAATCAACATTACCTTTGGTACAGCAATGAAGTCAGTATTTCTAAATACTTGAGGATATTTTCTTCTTAGCAACACCAAGCCAAAGAGAATATTCTGCAGCCGGAAACTTTTGGTAAAGTTTGGTTTGATTTGGTATCTACTCTCATTGTTTGGTGATCGGGATGTAAAATTTCATTTTGTGGCTATAAATTTAGTTGATTTGATGTATTTGGGTAATTATCTATTTCAACACCGTTTGACAGATAAATATGCTAAATATATTACCAATATGGTAAAAGCAGAGTCAAATAATAGAAAGCGCCATCTAGCAAAGATCATTTCTACGCGGTAAGTTCCAAAATGTTTAATTGATTTGGCCCTGATTTGGCTCTAAGAAACTCGCCTGGATGACTTAAGATCCTATGATTTGTCTAATGTGTCACTGTCACTTTTTGGCTTTTCTGCCAACGTTTCACTAGACCAAATTATTTCAGTAAGTTGATATTGAATTCTCGAAATCGCTGTTCCCTCTTCAAAAGAGGAGACGCGAAAATCTTTCCTCATAAGGTCAAAATATTTCCCATGATGCAGATCGCGGAGGAACAAATTTATACTTCCTTGTTTTCCCTCATAGGTTTAACATGAGGATTTTAACACCTATTTTTCAAACGATATATTCGTTCATATTCCCGTACGAGGGTACAGAAAAAATTATTAGAAACGATTGATCTTTTATTAATCTTAATATAACAGCTATTTTTTTCATTGTATTGATTCATAGCGTGGTGAAAACGATGATTGAAAAGTGAGAAAATATTCCGGAAGAAAATGTCACATGATCATTTGACTAGTCGCCATATTGGAAAAACAATTCCATTCGACTTTCAATACTTTCATGCCAATCTTACCGCACTACAAACTGCATCATCGATGCAACAACGGAATAAAAGTACACTGTCTAATGACACTTTTGGTAGGTGTTCACTTTGAAAAATGACTGCCATTTTAGGCTTTTACTATAATTCGAAAAGTAGTAGAGTGATTTTGTTCATATTTCATTGAATACTACATGTACGAGGGTTGTCCCAGAAGTAATGCACGATATGCTCTCACTTTATTTAATATTCTTCAATTCAGCTGAAATTTTATGTTTATAATAATTAAAGTTTTATCTATTATATCCTGAAGTTTCAGCATCAAACATTAATATTAAGTCTTAATATGGTTGCTATAGCAACATGGGGATAGGGGTGGGCGGGGCAGGTACCAATTTTTCTAATTATGAAAAGATCCAAAGTGTTATTTTATTAATATATCTTTCTTTTAAATAATCAAAATGTTTGGGAAATGATGCTCACCAAGTACAAATAATGACATTTAGCACTGTGATGTCATAATACCACAATTCAATGGTCTCAAATTCATATACAGTCACAGTCAAGAAATTGCAAAAATGGCTGCAATTCTCACCTGATAACAGAAGGCCTTGCGTTTGGTGGCCTAATTTTATACTTCACTTGGACTCAAAGCCACGCAAAACTTATGTTACCATGAAGAAAGTATATAAGGAGTATATACCAGATAGAACTACAATTATGTGGTGGCAGAAGAGATTAAAGAGATGACTTGACCCTGGATGACAACTCCAAACATGGGAGGCAAAAGTCACAGTGGAAGAAATTGACAGGCATCAAAAGTACATAACATGCAACGGGCTATATTTTGAGAAAATGTGAAATGGGACACTGTGCAATAAACATCCATTAAATCTAGGATGTGCTCATAGTAATTTAGTATCTTAAAATGTAAAATTGAGCATTCTTCTTATAGCTACACAAAATGGTATTTGTTGATTAATTATTTCATATTTTCAATTTTTTTATTCCTTTTGACGTGACTGTATAACCTGCCCCACCCTACCCAAACTAACCAAATTGATTTTATTATAACATCAATATAGTTTTATCAGTCAACATGAAAATTTGTAGAATGATCAAAATGTCTGTAAGGAACATTTTATACTGAAAATTTCATGGAAAAATATCAATTATTGATAAAGTTAGAGCATATAGTGCATTACTTCTGGGACAACCCTCGTATAAGCAATTGGCACACTGTCTAAAGACACTTTTAGTAGATGGTGCTCATTTTAAAAAATGGCTTCCTTTTACGTTTTTTGCTATAATTCGAGAGGTAGTAGAGAGATTTTGTTCATATTTCATTGATATGTGAAAACTATAAGCATGGCACACTGTCTTATGACATTTTGGCAAGTAGGCGGCCATTTTGAAAAATGGCTGCGCCATTGACATGTATGTGATTTTGTTGAAATTTTCTGATGACAATTTGACTATAGTGTGCTACCATTTTGAAAATGGTAGCCATTTTTTATGTGTTATGATTACGACATGACCTGCTTAATTAGTATGTATCCAACAGACTGACTAGAAGTCAGTCTGTTATGATGTACTACTTTCCTGTGGAAATTGCAGTGAAATTTCTTGCACAAAATTATCAATTAGTGGAACCATTTCTTCAATAAAATAAACATTACAAAATATCAATTAAATAGTAAGGTACAATTAAATGCAATAAAAAGTAACACAGCATATTGTCAAGTGGAAATAAAGCTAGTTGAAGTAACAAATGTGCAAATTAATTTTACCCAATCGGCCATTTTGAATAGCACTTCCTATGTAAACAAATATTTGGAATTACCAAACTTTAACATAGGTGCCTTATAGTCTGAATATAATTCAGACTAAATAGGATATAGTCTATGCTATACATGCAGGAATTTATCTTTGGACGGGCCACGATACAGTGGCCTTAGAAGAAGGTAATGATAGAGAAGTAATGAATTATCTGTTTTCATTTAACAATGAATGAATATATGATGTTAACAATAGATTAGAACATTCTATTAATACTGATGAACACATTATCTAAGACTGTAGCTTATTAATTTCAAGATTATGGCCCAAATTGAAAGTTATATGTGTAAACTGATCATGTAAGCCACACCTCTAGAACCAAGTGCTTATTATCATCATTTGGTCTGCTGAATATGGCAGCATTATATGCTATATCTAATAAGTATTGTTTTACATTTATTAAGTAGTTTTATTACATCAGTAAAGTACATTTTTATCCTATCAAATGAATTTTGGAGGGATATAGAGAAAGCCTCCATCCGTCTGTACATCTGTTTACTTCTGTCTGTATGTATGTCCGTCTGCCTGTCCATCCGTACAGCCATCTGTATGCCCATATATTATAGTTATTATCCCAACGAACGAAGTTCGTTAGGGATATAGTGAAGCCCTCCGTCCGTCCGTCCGTTTGTCCGTCAGTCCGTCAGTCAGTCAGTCCGTCAGTCAGTCAGTCCGTCCGTCTGTCCGGAAGATAACTCAAATACTAGTTGACAGATTTTCTTCATATTTAGTGGAAAGATGTATATTGGTGAATAGTTTTACGCAAAAAAAAATTTTTTCAAGATGGCCGCCGCTTTAAAAATGACGGGACTTTTTCGCAAAAATCATAAATTTTTCATTCTAAACCAAAGTAATTAATATTATTGTTTGAAATTTTGGTAGTGTATTCACAACATTTATCTATTTCACATATATTCCGTGTTTTTCATCCTGACCCCCAGGGGCCATGTATGGGGGGACAGGAAAACAAATTTTCGCTTATTTTTAGATCTTTCTGAAGTATAGCTTTATTATACTCAAATGAAAGGCAATTAAGAGTAGATTGCAAATATTGTATCTTTTTTCTGATTCGAGCCTCGTAAAATTCAAAATGGCCGTCTAATGTACGATTTCGCAATAATTTTTCGATCCCTTCAAAGTATGGCTATATTATACTCAAATTGAAGGAATTTTGGAGTAGATCACAATTATGGTATTATTTTTCAGATTTGTACCTCAGAAAATTCAAAATGGCTGCTTTGCAGGAATTTGCAATTCTAAAATCTAATTTTTTCATTTTCAACCAAAGTAATGAGTATAATTGATTGGAATTCGGTAATTGATATTTTGTTTGTTGGGATTTGCTACTCCGCAGAGTTGCCGTTATCTAGTTAAACTTTATTTAGCCCACTTGCCTGGATATGGATTTCACACGTTAGCATATATTGACTGTACAAAGTAGTATATGATCTGTACTAGGATTAAATAATTTAAGAACTGTGAAGTTACTAGGATATGGTCTTATTTAATTAATTATAGTGCTTTTATATCATATTTTATGGACATCTCAGTTTACCACTGATTAAGTACCCTTGCTCGCATTGCGATTTGGCATGTCTTGACTACTATATTATAGTTTTTGTTTCAAATTGTAAGATTCAGCAAGAAGTAGTGTAATGAATAAGCCATTATTTTATAACAAAATATCGTAATTAAATGCAGAAGGATATCAAGCTGATAAGTATATTGTATTAAATGTATGTAATATTGCTGCTGAATATGGTAATAACAATTGTTTCATTAGAACCATATTTCTGTTTTAGTTTTGCCTAACAAATCTGTATCAGTGATTTTGTTCTGTTTTTGTACAACAGTTGTCAAATAATCATGCTTTGGAAAGAAGTTTTTATCATATTCAGAGTCATTTTACAAAGTTTAGTTTTTGATAATTCTTGTGCCATGTCTCTTGAGAAATCAGTAAGGCAACTTCTTAAGAACATTTACCTCTTCTGCATTAATACAGCTTGGTTTACATGTGATAATAAACAAATACTGGATGATCGGGAGCTGGATATGGCAGAATACCCATTCGAGAAAAAAATATTTTTTCGATATGCTCCCATACACTTTCTGATGACAGTTTGGCTAGTGAGTAACCATTTTGAAAATGGTGCTCATTTTTTCTGTGTTATTTTACGATTTTTGCTATATACTTCATTTGTAAAATTGCCAGCCATGGCTGTTCGATGGGATTTGCTACGCTTTGGCGTTGCTGTTGTCTAATTTTCAGTGTAATTGACTGTATAATGCAGTAGTATGTATTTTGTGTTTTCAGTGTATGTAACAGTGCTTCATCCAACTGAATATTTTGGTGTAATGGACTGTATAATGCGGCAGTATGTCTGAGATTGAGAGTCAGCTGTCTTCAGCTGAGAACAGGCATAAGCTACAAGATGGAATGGATGCTTGCAATCAGAAATATGAACAACTGCAACAGGTAAGTTTTTCTTTGATTTTAAACCCCACTTAGGTAGCAACAGAATAAAATAAACTGTAGTTTATTTTAAGGAATTTACAGTTGCAACAAAGAAGAGTGCATTCTTTTTCTATTATTTTTAAAAAATGAACACATTTTGAATGTCTTAAAAAAAGTTAGCGAGAGATAATACTTTGTATCATATTTGAATGGTGTTTTTGAGTTTTCATACTTTAACTATTTAGTAGCTTTATAAATAATTTTAGGTGTACGTTGTTGTTAAAGCCTATGTAATTGTTAACAGTAATTATATGCGATAATTTTGTAAAAAGAAATTAGCAAAAACTCATAATCACTTTTTTATTGTCGGCCATTTTGGACTTTTCCATCCTAAAGTAAAGTCTTGTCTGTAAAGTCTTGTCTTTGCGTTTTCAGTTGAACTGTTAAGTAGATCAATTTCAAATTTTCAGGGATGAAAATCTAGATCTGATTAGTTTTTTGGTATCATGGGTAAATGTTTAGGCAGCCATTTTGGATTTTCCATCCTAAAATCTTGTTTGTAGTCTTGTCTATGCATTTTCAGGTGAACCGTTTGGTAGATCAATTTCAGATTTTCAGGGGATGATTCTTAGTATGAAAATCTAGAACTAATTAGTTTTTTGGCATTCTGGGTAAATGTCAAGGCAGCCATTTTGGATTTTCCATCCTAAAATCTTGTCTGTAAAGTCTTGTCTACATGTTTTCCGGATCAATTTCAAATTTTCAGGGCTGGTTCCTAGTATGAAAATCTAGAACTGACTAATTTTTTGGCATTCTGGGTAAATTTTAAGGTGGCTATTTTGGATTTTCCATCCTAAAATTGTGTCGGTAAAGTCTTGTCTACTCATTTTTAGGATAACCATTGGATGGATCAATTTCAAATTTTCAGGGATGATTTTAAGTATGAAAATCTAAATCTGATTAGTTTTTCAGCATTCTGGGTAAATGTTAAGGCAGCCATTTTGAATTTTCTGTCCTGTCTGTAAAGTCTTGTCTAAACATTTTCAGGTTAACTGTTTGAGGGATCAATTTCAAATTTTCAGGGATGAGTCTTAGTTGGAAAATCTTGGAAGTGATTAGTTTTTCCACATTCTGGGTAAATTCTAAGGTGGCCATTTTTGATTTTGGAAAATGATTCTTTGTATGAAAATCTCAAACTACTTAGTTTTTAGGTAGCCCTGTTGAATTTTAAGGCGTCCACATTGGATTTTTCTCTTAAAATCACAACTGATTAGTGTTAGGCATTCAGAATGAAAAATCATGCTGTATATAGGATCACCCATTGGTGGGGACATGTTGTTCATATTTGTGTTCTTGTATTGACTTGTTATAGTCTGAGTCTCCAACTTTTTTGTGGACTGTATTTTGCGGACGTCATTCTGACCTCAGCAATAGTTGGCATTCAGCATCTGTAACAAATTCTAACAACTTCCAATAATTTAACAAGTACATTTAGACTGACTTCAAACTTTTACTCTGAACACATATAAACTTGTTATGGGTTCCAATACATTTCTGCCAATATCAGTTAGCATGGGAACATATTGAAGGTCAAAAAAGGTCGAAATAGTATTTTTTTTAACTTGCTTGAAATTGTTTTCAAAATCATCTGCATGTTCTCAGAAGTTCAAATCTGACTTTAAATTTGATCTTCAATGACCTTTGAAAGGTCAAAAAAGTTGAAAAACATTTATTTTTCAATTGATTTTATGGATCCAAAAAGTCAGCCTTTCGTGCACCAGAAAATAAAATTACCAGACCTTAATGGACAATCATTACATATTCGAACATGACTGTATTCACGCCTTCTATAAACTGTAAACAAAGCAAACATTTCACTCGGGGTATTGTTACAGTAGTGAGCTACATGTATATTATATTCTACTATATTCACCTATAGTTTTTTAATTTGTAATCTATGCTTGCTGTATATGTTGAGCTATTCTTCATTAGAGATCTTAGGTCAAGGTCACAATGACATTATACACTGTATCTTGTAAACAAAACTGAACTGAATGACTCATTAACCCTTGACCATCCAGAGAGTTCTAGAAATTATAACCATTCATTAAAATTAAATCATGTCACTAAAGATGTCCAATCAAGATGTAGTTCCAGAAGATTCGTTTCTGGATCATTCTTTCACATTATAAAAAGAACAGCACAGTGACTCTAATTAGCAGATAAATTAAGTCATCATAACTGGACATCTACTCTGTAGCAGAATTTCAAAGTTTATCAAAAGGTCATCTTCTTAGCTGAAAATTGCAGACACCTAGTGTGGGAACATTTATAACACTACAAACACACCACAACCTGAGGACTTTATATGGACATATATTACAACACACACTATATACGGATTATCATATACATTCGTGGATTATCATAAACATTTGTGGATTATCATCAAACATTTGTGGATTATCATCAAACATTATTGTATACGAACATTATAGGATTACGACAATATTATTGGATTATTACAAACATTGGAGAACTATTAATTATAACGATTATTGAAACTTTCATGATCTGGAACACTCTCAAGGATCGTCAAGGATATTTATCGACATCAAGAATAAGCCGTTGTACCATTGATTGGACATCACTTAAGTATTAAACCTCCTTTATATCATTGTTATATTATTTAGTTTTCAAAATATAAATATATTGTTATCATATTTTAATTGCTGTTTTTACTTTCTGTTATTTTCGAACGTAACAGAAATTGGGGGCTCGTCCGGGATACAACTACAACAAGCTAAAATTCAAATATTTCAAAATTAGAAATCCAAAACTTGTACATTTAAATTGTGAAGACAGCAATTAATTGAAAATGAGTTTTGAGGTTGAGACATTTTTAGAAGCGCCCTCTTTGGAGGAATTTGACGATTTAAAGAAAACTGAACTTCTGGCAATTGCAAAACATGTTGGCCTGTCAGTCAAAAGCTCATACAATAAAGGTACAATTAAAAACTTTGTACTTCAATATTTGGTCGCAGAATCACTTCTGCCTGAGGAGCCAGCCCAGCATGTCGAGCATACTGATCCTATTAGGCTTAAAGAACTTGAATTGAGAGAAAAAGAGTTGCAAAATGAAAGAGAATTGAGAGAAAAAGAGTTAGAAATTCAAAAAGAAAGAGAAATTAGAGAATTGAGAGAGAAAGAATTGCAAAATGAAAAAGAAATAAGATTAAGAGAGCAAGAAATGCAAAATGAAAAAGAAATAAGATTGAGAGAACAAGAAATTCAAAAAGAAGTTGAATTAAAACGTCTTGAATTAGAAGCTCAATCAAAAACTGATGAACATGCTACTATGCATCAACATTTTGAAAATAGGTTTGACGCTTCAAAATTTCTCAAATTTGTACCTAAATTTCAAGAGAAAAATGTTGATAAATACTTTACACATTTTGAAAAAGTCGCTCAGAGCCTAGACTGGCCTAAATCTGCATGGCCAGTTATGCTTCAGAGTGTATTCATTGGTAAAGCAAGTGAAATATTTGCCTCTCTCTCAGCAGAAGTATGCTCTGATTATGACCTTATTAAAAAAGCGATTCTTAAAGCTTATGAACTAGTGCCAGAAGCTTACAGACAAAAATTTAGAAATGCCCACAAACAGAGTGACCAAACCCATGTTGAGTTTGCTCGAGAGCAAGAGCAGCTTTTTGACAGGTGGCTTGTCTCTAAAGATGTATCTGAAGAGTTCAAAAAGCTCAGAGAGCTTATGCTAATAGAACAATTCAAAAACTGTGTTCAGTATCACATTAGAACTTACTTAGATGAACACAAGGTAGAAACTTTAAGTCAAGCTGCCACCCTGTCTGATGATTATGCTCTTACTCATAAGGGTAGTTTTATCAAAGGTAATCCTAATTCTAACTTTAGAGGTTACCAAGGTAACAAACCTTCATATGATTCAAAATCAAATCAGTCCTCATCATCAAATACAACGAACAAAGCAAAAGACCAGTCTAATTCATCACAGAGCTCTAGCTCAAAATCAGATCAATCAAATTCTTCAGGTCCAAAATCAAATGTCACCTGTAATTATTGTAAAAAGCCTGGTCATCTTATTTCTGAATGCTATAGGATTAAGAATAGAAGAGAGATGTCTGGTTCTGCTCATTCAAATGGTTGTGCTACAGTTCCCATTTCAAGAAAGCCCATTGTTTGGGATTCATATACTCATACTGAGAAATCAACTCATAGTGATATTATGGAGGATTATAAGCCTTTCATGTCGGAAGGATTTGTGTCACTTTCAAGTGATGATACCAATTCAAAGCCTGTTAAGATTCTTAGAGACACGGGTGCATCACAGACTTTGTTGTTAGAAGGTGTCCTTCCTTTATCTGAGGAGTCATTCACAGGTACCCATATTTTGATGCAAGGCATTGAATTAGGTTTTACTAAAGTTCCCCTCCATCGTATTCATATCACATCAGAGTTAGTCAAAGGGCCAGTTATTGTTGGTGTTAGGCCACAACTTCCTGTTGAAGGAGTCGCATTGCTTTTAGGCAATGATTTAGCTGGGGGTAAGGTATCATTAGACCCCATTGTTTCTGATCAGCCTTGTTCTATTGAGGATTCTGTCCAAGAGGACTCTGATATATCCTGCTTGTGCTGTTACTAGGGCTATGGCTAAAAAGTTAGCTGATAGCGGGGATTCGTCTGTGGGAGATGACTTTGATAGTGGGTTTTTAAGCTCCTTGTTTGATGATGAATGTCACTCACCACTTGTTAAAGATGATCCTTATCCTATTTTAAAGGCAAATTCTTCATTGAAACAGCCTTCTGTTCGAGCCAAGCAGTCATCTATTGAGGCAAATTCTTCATTGAAAAAGCCTATTGCCAGAGGTGATTCACCTTCTGAGCAGGATCACTATTTTAATGCGGTTTCGCCCGCTCTTGCTAGTCCCGATGAAGTTTCATCTTCTTCTGCTAGTGTTCATGAGGTTTCATCTCCTCCTAGTTCTGAGGTTTCATCCTCTATTTCTGATAGTGATTCTTTGAAAAATGATCCTCATTCTAAAAACATGTTAATTTATGAACAAGAGCATGATCCATCACTCATTGATCTTCATAAAAGATGTCTTACTATTGATGAAGCTGATAAGGTCCCTGTTTGTTTCTACAAAAAGGATGGCATATTAATGCGAAAGTGGAGACCTCCTGAAGCTTCCCCTGAAGATGATTGGGCAATTGTGCATCAAATAGTTGTCCCAAAATCATATCATAAGGAAATCTTGAGTCTAGCTCATGATTCTCCCATGGCAGGTCATTTAGGAGTAACTAAAACATACCATAAAATACTCAATCATTTCTATTGGCCCAAATTAAAACAAGATGTCCAAGAGTATTGTAGGTCTTGTCATACATGTCAAATGGTAGGGAAACCTGACAAGAAAATCTCAATTGCTCCTTTACAACTTATACCTGCATTTGATGAACCATTCAGTAAGGTTCTTATTGACTGTGTTGGTCCTTTACCAAAATCAAAATCTGACAATCAATATCTGCTCATTATTCTGTCCATGGCCACACAGTTTCCAGAAATAAAATCACTCCTTATGCTTAGAAATAGCAAAACCAAGTATATTGTGAAATCGCAAATCAACAATTTCACATTAGTTGGGCTACCAAAGGAGCTTATATCTGACTTACAATCTGACTCAGTGCTGAATGATTTCATTTGCATTGATAAAACTACTTCTGTGAGGTGTAGAGAGTTACATATGATGAAAAAGTATGTTGAGCGTGATAAAATTTCTTTACTCAACATGAGCTTGTGCTCTTAGCTCATAGGCCAAACTTGTATGTCAATGACAACTATACATGTATGTTATTCGAGAGTCAGATATTGTAAATTATAATGATTAACTCATGAAGATTATATTATATGGTAGGCAAATTAGAGATTTGTGATAACTGTCACTTTATTTTAACAATATATAAAAACATTTGCCTAAATAGTGAAATTGCTATTATATGAACTACAAGAATGTTTCTAGATTATGTGAGCATTATAGGTGATCATTAAATAGTGTCACAAGATTACTTGATGTAACGATAGAAAGTATTATATACTTGTAAACATACTGCACATAAAAGACTATTGTAAACAAATATTATGTAAGTCTCAACCTCACTTTTAGAAATTGTAACGCTCGCTACTCAAGATATTATTGTAAAAGTTTTTCATTGCATTCAAAACTTTTCTTTTAAGGAGGGAGGTGTTACAGTAGTGAGCTACATGTATATTATATTCTACTATATTCACCTATAGTTTTTTAATTTGTAATCTATGCTTGCTGTATATGTTGAGCTATTCTTCATTAGAGATCTTAGGTCAAGGTCACAATGACATTATACACTGTATCTTGTAAACAAAACTGAACTGAATGACTCATTAACCCTTGACCATCCAGAGAGTTCTAGAAATTATAACCATTCATTAAAATTAAATCATGTCACTAAAGATGTCCAATCAAGATGTAGTTCCAGAAGATTCGTTTCTGGATCATTCTTTCACATTATAAAAAGAACAGCACAGTGACTCTAATTAGCAGATAAATTAAGTCATCATAACTGGACATCTACTCTGTAGCAGAATTTCAAAGTTTATCAAAAGGTCATCTTCTTAGCTGAAAATTGCAGACACCTAGTGTGGGAACATTTATAACACTACAAACACACCACAACCTGAGGACTTTATATGGACATATATTACAACACACACTATATACGGATTATCATATACATTCGTGGATTATCATAAACATTTGTGGATTATCATCAAACATTTGTGGATTATCATCAAACATTATTGTATACGAACATTATAGGATTACGACAATATTATTGGATTATTACAAACATTGGAGAACTATTAATTATAACGATTATTGAAACTTTCATGATCTGGAACACTCTCAAGGATCGTCAAGGATATTTATCGACATCAAGAATAAGCCGTTGTACCATTGATTGGACATCACTTAAGTATTAAACCTCCTTTATATCATTGTTATATTATTTAGTTTTCAAAATATAAATATATTGTTATCATATTTTAATTGCTGTTTTTACTTTCTGTTATTTTCGAACGTAACAGTATATTCGTGAAGAATACCCCTGGTAATATGTGTAATGTGTGACGAAACATTTTGGTGAGTTTTCATGTTCGAATCGTAATATAGACCTCAGAGCAGGGGTAATATCGTTGAATACAGACCTTAGGGCTAGGCACAAAAGCTTTCGAACCTCTCACTCCTGACTAGTGTGTCTAGTCCTGCGGGGTGTATTCAACAATATTACCCCTGCTCTTCGGTCTATATTCTTAATTAATATCAAATTTACTTCCTCATTTTTTCTGCAATGATTTATAAACTAAAATTTTGTTGTTTTGAATCTCTTTTTTTACTGTTGCTCTTTGCGGCAACCTGTTTAGGTCCTTTGTGTTACGTTTGGGATTACACTTCTAATCACAAAGTACTTATTGAAGTTCAAAAAAGTAAAATTTTCAAGGTCAAAGGTTATGATTATCAAAGTAGATCACAAATGGTGTTGGCAACATATTGAAGGTCAAAAAAGGTATTTTTTCAAATTGACCAAATTTTTTTCTTCAAAAATCATTTACAAATTCTCAGAAGTTCAAATCTGACTTTAGGTTTAAACTTTGACCTTTGGTTGACATAGACTGACATGACTAAACAATGTTCATGCATTGATGACTACAATATAAGCCAGAATGGTTTAATCTTTATATGGGGGCTTTAATACACTATACATAAGACATTATTTCTCCGTGATTGTCCAGTATGGAAGCCATTTTGAGAAATGATGGCTGCATTGGCTAGCAACCTGCTCTATAACTTTCGAGATCTTTGATGATATTTGTAATATGATGGCATTGCTGTTATGTAATCAGCAAATCATAACTCCTTTCTATTACTTTAGAAACTGTGAAGAACAACCACCTCAATATTGCCTCTAGGCTTTTTAAAATGTATTTCTGCTAAAATAAGTCACTTTGCTGTATGTCACTGTTCATATTTGGGTCACATGTATATGTGTCAGAGATTGTATTATCATCAACACCTGTTTGCATGTCTATGTCAATTTGTGTCATCTTGCAAACTGAACGATTCACACACTGTTTCCTGTCTTTATAGCTTATTTTTTGGACCGTAGGAATGATACTCTCTTCACTGACAGCTGAAAATCTTTCGTTTTTGATTTCAACATCATTGTTTCTTGTGACAGTATCATGATCTAATGATACAACACCATTGTTTATTATATCATTATCTGTGTCATGAATTGTTGCTTCCCCCTCTTGCTCTATAGGCTCTAAGCTTGTTTTGACATCTTGTCCCAAGCATGGACATTTCTTTAGTGTACACATAACAGCATGCTTAACCTCTTTGTGTCTCCAGGCATAAATAAAAGGGTTTATAAAGGAGTTTCCTACGACAATATAGCTTGATACATGTGGTACTACTAGACTCCATGTGTTTAATGACCGTCCTCTTGAATCGCTTTCTACAAGCGAGAATATGACGAGATATTGTAAGAAACATAGAACACTTATGAAGTCAATCATGAATACTGTTTTGGTAAGTCTTGGCTCAAGTAGATCTTTTTCTGGCATGGAACTAGTTTTGATTCCATGACAGTTATTCTTGTTTTCACCTAATGTAACCCCATTTATATCCAAAAATTTTGTTTTGTTTTTTTCTAATTTTTGGGGTGAATTTCGTTCTTCATAAGCATTGTTTTCCATATTTTTGTCATCATTTAATGAGGTGTTTTCTTGTTTACCTGTTTGAAGTTGTGTGTTGATAAGCTCACTCAAATTATCCTGTTCATCATCATTTAGACCAACTTTATTCCTGATTTTCTGACTTGTAATTTCCTGTTTCGTCATTCCAGTATTTGAGCAACATGCTTGTCCTTGTGAAGGTCTATCAATTGTTTTAATTGAATCAATTCCATCTTTATCTATATCAATACTCAAGTCATTATTTTTCATTGTTTTTAGTGGTATATTATTCGACTGCAGTGTGTGAATTTTCCTTTTAGATCTTTTGATATATATGAAAACTGTGGTCAGTAAGCTACAATTTAGGAGCAACAGTACGCCAGCGTTAAATTGTAAGAAATTCTTAAGTGGCTCTGTGATGACTAATTGGATCCTACAAGGATTGTCTGGGGCCCAAGTGTATCCTCCCAAAGCCATTGGACCAAGCACTCCTGATATACCATATATCCAAAGAACTGTGATATAAATTAATGTCTTTCTCCGTGAAAATAGTTTCTGGTACGATTGTGCTAAGATTGTTCTAACGAGACGCTCAATGATGATTAGGTTGAAAGAAAGTAGAGAGATCATACATGATGAAATGATACATGTCATTCGCAAAAAACATAGTATCCTATTTATGTCCCCATTTGGTTTATACTTCATGTAATCCAAATAATTACTCAATGGGTGAAATGTAGAACTGGAACATCCAACAATGAAGTCCACAACTGCCAGATTAACAATTAGTTTATTCATTATTGTCCTAAGACTTCGATGCTTGAAGTATATGACAAACACTAACCCATTACTCAGGCAAATCAAAATCCCTGTGACTACATCTATGGTCACCATGACTACTGAGGCATTCATGGAAATTGAAGGAACCTCTGCAGTATTATTGTTAATTTCATTACCATAGGTTCCCATTTTAGGATTTCAAAATGCTTCCATCTAGTCCTTCTTCTTTTTAGATGTGTCCAAGTTTAGTTAATTGTTTAAGTGTAGATTTGTTATTTAATTAGCAAATATAAGCAATCAATGGACCACAGTGTGATGTTTTTTTCAATTATTGAAGCATCTGAGGATGGTCTAAATTCATAAACATTGTTGAAACTCTCCAAATTAAGGATGGAGGAGTAGTTTTTAAAATCTTAACTTTATATGAGGGGTTATCATTAAGTTCTGACAATAACTCTCTTTATCATAATGTCACCACCAAAAAGGGGTGACATATTGCTATGGTCTTATGGTTTTTTGTGACAGCGGTTGGTGGTTGGTGATTGGCGGGTGGGGGTTGGTGGTTGGCATCTGTAACAATTTTTAAAACTTCCAATAACTTAACAAATACTGTTTAGACTGACTTCAGCGTTTTTTCAAGATCATCTACAATTTTTCAGATGTTCAAATATGACTTTATATATTTGAGATTTGACCTTCATTGACCTTATCAAGGTAAAAAAAGTCAAAAAGGTATTTTTTCAACTTGCTTCAAATTGACCAATTATTTTTCAAAATCATCTCAAAGTTCTCAAAAGTTCAAATCTGACTATAGATTTGACCTTCAATGTCATTCTCATGGTCCAAAAATATTTGACCTTCAATGACCTTATCAAGGTCAAAAAGGTCTTTTTTCAACTTGCTTCAAATTGACCGATTTTTTTTCAAAATCATATACAAGCAACTAGCAACAAGCATCTTTGAGCAACTAGGTGGTGACATTTTGTCTGGTTAATGCCTTGTTTTTATTTACTAGTATTTTTTTTTTAAAATTTTCACAGGATGTGTAAAATGTAATAAAATATAGAAGTCATTGAAGATTTAAGATGCAGAAATATATTCAAATTCATTTGAACTTTTAAAATTACTTTTCAATTTTTGCCAGAATGAAATAACTTTAAAAATTGAAGGATTTACCTGAAAAAAGTCATATAGGTAAGACTTATTTCATGAGCTATATTAAAAAAAGAGGAATGACATGGAATAATAAGAGCAAAATGTTGTAAAATTGCAGAAATTATTTTGAAACTTACCCTTAATATACTAGTGCTCCTTATATTCCCTAACTGCAGATCAAACTAACTAAAATATTTATGTATTTTTGTATGTAAAATAACACTGTGATCCCTTGATTGCTGTTTATATCCATACTAACCAAGTAACTTTGACTGTGAAGTACTGAGTTAATTTCTGTCTGCTCTTCCTTCTAGATAATTATCACTTTGAATAGAGCTATGCTTGACACTCCCTTCTTTTATAATCCTTACCTAGATAACAGCAATGCCAAATGTAGCAAATCCCATCGAAATTGTATTTAAAGGGTTGTCTTTGTATAACAAAGGATAAATAGAAAGTGGTGATTACTGGTCAAATCCAAATGAATGTAGAAAAAACCTTGAACGAGTCATTAGCCATTAATACTAAATTGGTAATGAGTATGAGAATGCTATCCATTGGAAATTAAGTATAAAATACCCAATGTATACTTGACACTATACCTAATTACTTTATTTTTTAACCTTCCACACTGAAGTGGACATGATGTGTGTTTAGCATGCGAGGAAAACACAACTGACATTGTCAAGCATGTCCTACTTCACCACTGTTCTAAGCTATATGCAGCTAGAGACAGTTGGTTTGAAAATATTGTAAACATTTTAAATATAACAGACTCTGTAAATGAGACTTGTCCTTTGCAAGTCTGTTCTCATATGTAATAAAATGAGGCTTTGAAGTTTTAAAGTCCCCGTCTAAAGTTTGAAAATATTTTTTTATCATTCATTTACTATTTGTCATGACTTAAAAAGTTATTCTAGAGATTTTTGAAAGAAAAATTTTTTTTGAAAAAAAAGTTGTGAGCATTTCATTTCTCAAATATTCAAATTTCCCGCCATTTTTTCAAAAAAAGTTGAAATTTTTTAATCATCAAATATTTCTTAATGCATTTCGAAAAAGATTATCTTTTTAACACCAATGCAAAGATTGATCACACTATTTTAATAATAAAATGCCATATTTAATGGGCCACTTCAATGTTTTAGCATATCAAAAATATTTTGCACCATTAGTGATGTCACTAACACGCGGTAGTATCTCTTCGGGACGTATCGAAACCACTCCGTCCCGAAAAAACCGTTAATTTGAATTTAAAACCTACCCCAGTGTTTGAAAATCAAGGATTGTGAGTCTCACACTTCACCGTTTTTCTTCAAACTTGTTCCGTACAAAGCTTCACAGAAATACCTTTCGGTCGATACATTGTTTTCGTGTACAAAGTACCTCGTTTTAGCGGCGTTTTGGTCCCCAGCTGCGAGATAAAGCAAATTTTCATAACTTTCAACTGTAAGTCAAGTTATCTCGCCAGTCTTTTACCCATTCTCGCTCATAATTTCAGAATGGACTCCCATTACAACCTTCCATCGCTACGTTTTGATTTTTGGGCATCAAACGCAGCAGTTTCTAAATCATCCACATATCTCTTAAAATTTGACTAATACGTCCCGTCACCTTCCACTACGCCCCGCCGAGTCTATGACTACAAACGTGGAGTTGTATTCTAAAACATTTTGTTCATCGTTGTGTAATTTTACATAGGTTGCCTTGGTCGATTCTTAACACCAGTCTTAAGTTTAGCATACATACGGAGTATAACTATAACTGATTGCATGAAATTGATAATTTAAATGTTTGTGAAGATGTTGCTTTTTAACTTTAATTATATGTAATTGTCCTGTATTTGATTTTGTGAGGAAACCAAGTGTCTGGTTTGAAACACAATAAAATCTGGAATCTTGTTTTGCTAATGTTCAACATAAATAATTTATAAATTATCGGCCGAGGGCAGATTAGAGCGGATCAATCAATGAATGATGTACAAAAAGTAACATGTAAAAGAAAAAACGCTATACTATTGTGATGACTATTTTATGGGGAGGCGGTAATATAATCTGAAACAGGTCCTTTACCGGGATAATAGTTTCAATAATGCAGTAGCAGGTTTCGTGTAATTGGTGACAAAATATTACATGATACTGTCCCCTCCATAAGTTTGGCAACCTTAGCTCCCCATTGAACTACGTGTTAAAGCCTATTTATGTTTGAATTTTATCTACATAACCTGCGGGGGAAATACTTATAAAATTGACGGAAATATAACTTGACTTTATTGCCAATACCTCCAAATTTTCTTGATGTTTTTCCTCAATTACAATAGATCGGAAATGGATGATAAATCTGATGAATTTTTGAAAATCGACATTCCCATGTAAACCCATGAGAATTGATATGTTTGTCGCATGTCATACGACAGAATATCCATCAATCTGAGTACTAGCAAAAAGTACAAGTTAGGTACAGTAGACAGCTGAATTTGCTATCTTTATTTAACAAAAAGTTGATACGTTTCTTAAGGTTCAACAAAGTTATAGGTTAGGGTTGTCCAAATCTGCAAAATTTCCCAAAAATCTGTCATCTGATAGATTCTAGTTACAAATTGACTCTTGGTACAAATATTTCCACTCTAGACCCCTGGGAAATTTTGCCACGCGTCTCACTTGAAGTTTTGGTAATTTTGACATATATGCCGTTTTCATAAATGGTTTATAACTCAAAATTAAACTGTTGTATTTCAGGTATATGTATTTTTTCTTCATCATGTATGATTTTCAATAACCCTACAGGCACCACTTTTTTAAGCTAAATCCATCGGGAAACTTTGCCACGCTTAATTTCAAAATAACGGAGATGTTATCAAAATTGAGCAATATTGGCACAAAAACGTTTCTTGATTCATATAAAGAATGCATCATCATATAACACTAATTGGTATATAAACAACATCTACTGACTTGGTCTGATAATGTAATATAAAGATTTTAACTGTTGTGTATCAACCTTTCTTCTGTATCACGGTGACCAAGAGTTAACAGTGCAAATCGGCCCGGTCGTGTTTTTTTAAACTCTTTAGTCGTGTTTTGTAAGACCATGGGATGCGACATTCGATAGAATGGAGCAAAATGGTAAGAATATTCTATATTTTACCAACTTACATATCTTGACTTCTACCTAAGATGTTCTTCTTCATACCAACGAATCTATTTTGGGGATAAATCCATCATACTTCATATCAATCGCAATTATATACCAAAAGTGCCAGAAATATGTACTTGATTTGCATTTAGTGTTATTTAATCAAGTTTAAACAGACAATCCATTCAACAACGTGGAATAATATTCACTACTCTAAAGATCGTGTAAATATTTTAACTGTATTTATCTTAAAATTGCCATAAATGACCGTAAATGTAAAAAGTGGAGTTAACTATGGAGAAGGGACAATATAACGTCATGGACGTGTCTTATAATAAGCATGTTAACGTTTTGGAATTGTAAAGATAATGTTTTAGACGTGATAAAATTAACGACTTTGAATTGTCTTGTAATATTGTTCACATTGACCATGTTTTGTTGCTTAATAATTTGTCTGTGCTTCTGAAAATAATCGTATTAGTACTAAACACGGGAATATACATTATGTGTCACCCGTTTATTGTAATTTGTAGTCAAGATATGAATAAATAAAAAGACAGATATATGATTTAACAAGATCAACAGATGTTGTAATTTAATTCGCTAGAAAACTATGTTACACTACAGTTCATAGATCACTCATAGAACGATGTAGCGTTTTTTACCTATTGCAATTTGAAAATTAAAATTGAAATTGTATTGC